GATGTGAGAGAGGCAAGATGTGAGAGAGGCAAGATGTGAGAGAGGCAAGATGTGAGAGAGGCAAGATGTGAGAGAGAAGTCCTCGATACGACAAGATGTAAGAGGGGTCAACTGAAGAAGGATATTCGACAGTTAGAAGTGAAAAGGAAGTGAATTGTGTAGAGGCCTGGACGAAGAACATGTGAAAGAGGACCACATGTCGATGGTCGTCGATGGCACCATGTCTCCTGTCCATGAGATAGTGAGGAGCAAGGAGGGAAATGTGTTGAAGACATTGATATCTTTGCCCTCTGGTTGCGTGGATTTTGAGAAGAGCTGTCGTTCCACGGAGCACTCGAACCAGATGCAGTCACAGGCGAGTCAGACGCAAGGTTAGGCTGAGTACAGATGCACAATATCGAAGAGGGGCATGTGATCTTCTCACTCGACTATGCCCTCAATAGGAAGAGCACAGATACTGATGGTCAAGTCGAATTTGCCCAATGCTGAGAGCAAAGTGAGAGGCACAGAGCACAGAGAGTGAGAAGCCACTTAACGATAGACCCGGGGAAGTGGCTCGAGTGGTTAAACCCTGTCCGGCTTAGCGTCTCGGCGCAGACCATTCGCTGTACTGCGGCTTCGACGTCAGAGTGAGTCTTGGACTCCAGCTCTGCCATTTTCCTTCTTGGTGAAGCTATACACGTAGAGCATCTGCATCAAGGCGATGCGATGCACTCGAATTTCGCGGCCGTCGCTGTCACACAGGCCAATCAGATTTAGGAGTACCCATCTCTGGTCGGAAAGATGGCGCGCCGACAGACAACGCCATCGACCGCTGGGTTTCCAGAAACGAGATTTTGGATTAGGATCAATTCCGGCTCTTCTGGTGCCACCGGCGGTGTTTGGAGGGCTGCTTGTGACACTATGGACGTACAAATGCTTGATGATGGTCATCTTTCAGAACAAGATCATTTACATGCCTTCAGTCCCGCCGTTCTCGAGATCAGAACGAGTCGACGACTATGCTGCCCAATGCAGACCCGTGGAGTGGGTGGAGAGAGATTTGACGGCGGCTGATGGTACGGCACTGAAGCTTTTGGAAGGCTCAACCGTTGCTTCAGTTGACTCTGACGTGACCGAGCATGTAGTTGTCATATATTTCCAGGGGTAAGAAATTCATGTCGAGGTTGTTCCTTTCTGATTGTAGCCAGGAATGCATCCTCACTGCCCCCGCGGCTTCCGTATCTATCGAATATACTAAAGAGGCTCGCTAGAGACCCAGGAGGACGCAAGTACACGATCGTCGCGTTGTCCTATCGCGGATACTGGAAATCCAAAGGCAGTGCTTCCCAGGCCGGAATTGAGCTCGACGCTGAAGCCACTTTGACATGGGTACAAGGACGGTACGACTGTGGGCGAACCAAGATTGTCGTGTGGGGACAGTCCATTGGTGCAGGTGTTGCATCTGTGAGCCTGGCCAACCTGCTGAGAAATGGCCAGGACAACCTTCGGCGGTTCTCCGGTCTGATTCTTGAGACTCCCTTCGTAGACCTGAAAAGGATACTTGTGGCTCTGTATCCGCAAAGGTTCCTCCCTTATCGGTATTTGACGCCTTTCTTGCGGTCGACGTGGGATACCAGAACGGCACTACGTCGGGTCGGAGCGAGCAAACCAACCCTGAAAGTGTTGATTTTGGAAGCAGGCAATGACGAAGTTGTGCCTCCTGGGCAAGCCGAGACCTTGGAAGGAGTGTGTATCGAGGAGCAACTGGAAGTCGACCGGAAAAAGGTACCAGGAGCCCTACACACGGAGGTCATGGTGAAGGGCCAAGGACAAAACCACATTGTGAAATTTGTTCAGTCGCTTTAGGTGCGTGGAAGGTCGATTGTACTGGATCGTCATCTGGCTGTCGGTGACCAAAGACAAAGCATATTTGGTATAAACCAGACCAGGCGCCGCCCTGACTGTGGTCCCGTTCCGCCTTTTGATAAATATCGTCGGCGGCCAACAGACTATCCAGCCAAGCCGAGGTGTTCTGCAGCGCCTCAACTTCCGCGGCCGTCGAACTCTTTCGAAGGTCCCATCGCGGATCTAAAAGGGCGTCGTGCTGTCCCCCGCCTTCAAGTACATAGGCTTGCAATTTTGGCAGTCTGGCTCCTCTCAAGGCAGATTTGATCTCGAAGATACGTGTGACTTCCCAGGCTGACCGTGCGCCAGACATATACACATGTACAGTCCGTGACAATGACAGGTTCGATGCGGCGTTCAGTACGTTGGAGAGGCCATCAACGTCAGTCCTCGCTCTCCGTAACCTCGTCATTAGCCGACGAGACAAGTAGATTTCTCGTACCGCTGTATTGTCGGCGAGCCAGCGAAGAAGCGCCTCGTACGCCTCGGCATTGATAGCGTCGGGTTGACCGCTGAAGACCCGCGCCACTCTGACCCGCTGTAGATGGCGTTGCGGACAATCCGCAAACAGAACGTCTAGCCCAAAAGCAAGATTGTGCTTCGGACAGTTGCTGTTTAACGAGTCGAACATGTACGGTGGCGGACGCAAGGGTGCTATGTTGAGAATGGCGCGAGAATAAAAGGAGGCCGCAGCCTCCTCAGATACTGCTTTGTTGGCCCAGAACAGGCTTGGAAGTCCCGTGGGCTTCTCAGCGTCTGCCCATGCTGGGTCTGAGATGTGCTGAACTTTGAGCTGTTGGGCCGGCAATACCAGATCATAGATTTGTTGCCGAAGCTCGAATGGAAAATCGAGGAAGCCGATCATGACGAAGAAGCATCAAGTTCGAATGGAAGACTGGGAGGCAAGCTTGGTGAATGCTTCGAATTCAGGTGAGGGTATTCGACATGGCGGGACGGAGCATACGGAATACGAGGTACACAGTACGGAGACACTATGGACCGGGACTTTGCGCTACCGGCCGAATCTTGATAAAACAGAACTTCTCCCCGTATATCTGGCCCGTCTCGGGCCGGACACTTGAAGAAAGACCCAGAGCAGACCATATCTAGAAGGTTTAATCGATAGAAGTACAATGCGTTGGAATTCCGTTTTACAGTTGGATCGCAGCAGAGGCACGTTTCCAAGCCTCGAAAGCCCCGGCGGGCCAGGAAACATGTTGTCATGGACCTCGACACCGGCCCTGCCCGGAAACCAGGACTAGAGGGAAGGGAACAAAGAAAGAGCACACGTTTATGATAGACATTTCTCTGTGACGGAATGGTGGCGGCAAGGTTGCTGTCACTTCTGTCAACCTTGGGCAGCAACCTTGGCTGCCCCAGGGTTTGGATGCGCCGTGCTACCCGCGGGCTTCGCACATGATTTAAGCGGAACAGGGTCGCGACAGACCTTCGATACCTCTGAGGGACCGCTCAAGGGGCCTAATTACTTCGTCCTGCAGCGGCCTTTGCCTAGGTCTAGGCACCTGTGCACGGTACGGAATACTCGTACCGTTTCCGGGCACCTTCTCGCCCCTCTACCCAATGGGGGAGGTTGTGGGCCAAAGTACCTTGGAGAAATGCACCGCTGTAGAGAATTCCATTCGCAGGATTAGGATGAAATCCACCAGTCAGATGGCTGTTGCAGGTGAATGCCTGGAAGGCAGCGATAATCATCTGCACGATGACGGGCAACAATGAGCACTCACCCTGCAGATGGGCGAGGTTCCCTGGACTGACTAGTGGTACCAAGAGGACGGCAGCTTGCAAGCAGCACGAGAATATTGCGGGGAGGTGACAAGTTGAATTGTGGCACAGTCAAGCGGTGAAGCACACGGGCAGCTTGCATGAGTCTCCCATGACCATCACGTCCTCGTCTTTGAACTCACCCTGCCGACCATTGACTCTGGTCATTACCTATCTAGACTCATCATACACCCACATCTTCCTGAGGCATTCGGACTGCACCTTGTGCTCTCGGGGTCTCCTGCGATCAGCTCGTATCTTCACCTGACATCCCACGAACTTCCTTATTATCACCGCAGCGTTTGTCGTTCCTGCGCACGACTGAGTTTGGGCGGCCCGACGATGAGAGCGACACACAGCGGCATTGAAAGCAAAGAATCACATGCTGTGACAGTCCGCAGCACCAGGCGTCCCTCACGAAGATGATGGATCAGCAGCAGGCTGCTCCTGGCTTCTGGAGGTACTTGATCAATCCAGACAAGAGCGCTACACCTCAATTTGAACAGCTATGCGTGGGGATCGCAAAAGTCATTGTAAGTCGATGAGCAAGAAATGCGCCTCGCGACTTTGGCTAACCACCGGCCCAAGGCGACTCTCGAACCAGGGCCCAACAGCGAATTGACGCCCTCACGTCTGGCCGCTTTCTACCGAGCCGTGGGCGGTAACTACGACTCCCTCTTCCTCAAATCCTCCGACCATGCCCTCTCCTTCATGTTCCAAACCCTCGGCTGCTACCACTCCTTACAACCCACTCCCAGTCCGTTCGAGACTCCCCGAATTCCGTGCCTGACGCCAATCGGCTTTGCGCGATGGCAAACTATCCAACTTCTGCTATGTCCAGAGGAGAATGTGGGCTTCGTCCAGAAGGCCGTACAGTTATGGAAAGTGCCCACGCCAAATGGTGGCACCTATCCCACATACATTCCCAAAGAGATGTTTCCTGACAGACCAGACGAGGCCATGGAAAAATGGTACAGGATGGTGACCGGCAAGCTGAACCAGCAAAATTACAACCTGCGCCGCATCAAGAACTCCCCCTATCAGTCCCCCCATCCTGAACCTTACGACCCACGAGATGGCTATTTCTCTGGAGCTCAAGATGGGCGGCCAGCAAGACCCTCGCGAAGCAGTTCCCGCGATGACGATCAATTGGCAGCCATGTATCGTAGACGAAGTAGTGTCCCCGACTTCCCTTCTCCGCCTGGTGATAGAGGGTCGCATTGGGATCCACGAAGTCAGCAGGAAGCCAGAAAGGCTCGGAGTCACTCGGCTCAGAGATCATCGCCCAGGCCACCGACGCGTCAACGATCTCAAACCACTACCGGACAACCTGGCCATCACAAGCCATCATCAAGCAGTCCATCGAGTCGCAGGCACGAGACTGCTCCACCAGAGCCATCAGGACGACGACCACCATCTGGGTACAACATGGCATACCGCTCTCCAGCGCGCACTCCCTCGACGGTTGATGAAGACACTGGCAGCGAAGGGAGCTCAGAGGCTTCACAAGCGGGCCGACATCATCGCAAATCCGATGAGGACAGAAAGACTCGTCGTTCTTCCCTCTGGCCGCCCTCGTTCTTGCGGTCGTCACACAAGCGGCGTCATTCGTCAGATGCAGGTTACCGTGCCCCCGGTGCTCGATCGCGGCCACCACAACCGTTACGGCCAGAATACTACCCACCTCCTGCGACGAAACCTGCACCCCAGCCACAAGCACCACTGTATCGAGGGTCTGGCGCAGCTCCACAATGGCGAGATCCAAACTGGGACAATGAAGCGCCCAGTTCGACACCTGGGACGCCCTTACAGACACAGATGGATCCACGCGCCCCATCCATTCGCTACCCTGACCAACAAAGCTTCGAGCCGCTAACAAGAGAAAGTAGCAGCGGAAGCGATCATAGACACAGGTCCTCGGATTGGGAGAGAGGCAATTCCCACAGACGGCAAGTCCAGCCTCCTCCAAGGATCGCGACCATGACGGGAGTGTCGGGGAGAAAGTACCCGACTCCGACAGACGCTATGAGTCCAATTGAACGTCATCGGACTCATCCTCACCGTGGGAATGTTTCCGCCATGGTTTGAGGCTGAAGATATCATAGCGCCAGTCACATGGACAAAGCCGATACTGCCGGACCAGTACACGCGAGCAACACTGTGACCTGTTGGAGAAGCGTAATCTGGGAAGCACTGAATGACTTGATGAAAAAGACACGAACGTGACGAAAGAATGGGACAATGCAGGAAGCAAGGTGTTCGGAAAAGGTTGATATGCCTGCTCCACTTATACAAGCAACGGCCTCGCGGCAGAAAAAGAGCTGGATCAAGCTCGTACAGTGAGGGCGGATGAGTCACGGCCATAATTGTTCTCTTGCCTTCATGTGCTTTACATACAAACACACGTTGGATAGCCTGACATTCTCAATTCAATCGAAATATTTTGCCGCCTACTCTTCCAATCTTTGACGATCTGATGGTGCACTTTTCCTGGTACCCCGGCATCAACTTGTTCTTCAGCCTTGTCCTTCACCCCACTATTATTTCACCTCTACTGTTTAACCCCTTTAATGCCAGAAGTTGACTTTCAAGCCAGAGACTATGAGGATCTCCAGTGACCAGAAAACCTACAGAGACCATGAAGACCTCCAGTGACCAGAAGACCTACAGAGTCCATGAGGACCTACAGTGACTGGTGCTGGCAATACTAGAGACCGGCAGTTCCTCCTCAGCATATCCTCTCGAACACGTTCCCGTCCCTTCCCATCAATGGCAAAGGCTCTAACCGTTTAACGTGCGGTACTTGGACTCTCATCTCACATTGACTAAGTCACTCCCTCACTGAATCATCATACCGATGCCGCTGCAATTGTCGAGAGGATCCTCACCTCTTGCGTTCGTTTTCCTAAGTCATTCCTGTTTCGAGTAGTCTTGCGTTGAATGACGGCGCGGCGAAGCCTGCAATTGTCGAGAGGATCCTCACCTCTGATATCGGTTTCCTAACTCAGTCCTACTTCGGATGCACTGGCATCGATATAATGATGGCGGACGAAACTTCTGCCGTTTGTCGAGAATCCTCTCCCCACGCGCTGGCGAGTTGAACATGTACTGTACCTAGATGATGGTTCTTCTCTTCCACGCGAGTTGAAGACACCCTTGACATACCACAAGTAATGAATGACACGATTTGCTGTTCTTTTGCTTGTCTCTTTCGTAATACAAGACCCTGTTGCAGCTTCTGTTCGTTCCCTTTCACTCTGTTCTTTCCCACGCCTTCGTCACGACGCGAGATTTGGTTTCTTCGTCTCCGGTTGGTGCCGTGGCAACTGGTTGGTTAGTAAGTTAGCTAGCCGGCGGTGCCTAAGTATCCTCAACGAACGCGTCCGTGCGGCTGAGAGGCTTGCTGGGTGTACTGTTCCGAACCGCTAGGCATTGCTGCCTTTGCCGCCATCACCATCATGGCAGACTAGGTTGAGTAGATGCGAGGGATGGCGAACAAGAAAGTCGCGCAGATTGAGATTTTCATTAGAAACTGCTTTATGGAAAGGTATAAGGAAGGAAATCGGGAAATAAATGTCTGGCGTTCACTCGGTCTTGTTTCATAATGAATGAGGGTCCTTTCATCGAAGTAGACGGACAGGCCAATAGTGCGTCTTGATGTACGTGTGCATTGGGGGGAGGCTACCCACGACGGTGAACAGCCCTTGATCAGCATTTACGTACTATACCATACCATACCTTACCTTACGGGAGACTACTCTCGCTAACGATAATCGCTGGCTGGCTGGCAGGTCGTTTTGAACTGAGGTCGTCTAGAGATCCGGGATCGAGAAGACTGTAAGATGAGCTGAATCTGGAGCATTTTTCAACCAGCTTGGGAGGCGTGCCCTATAGATAGAGCAGTGCATTAGCTATTACAATGAAGGGTAGCTCAAGAAGTCGCACGGGTCGCAGCTCATGAAGAGTCATGTCCTTTAATTAATTAATGAGATACCTGAGTTCTGTGGAAGCTGTGAGCAGGATCTTCAGCCTTGCGCGGGGAGGAATGAGCCTTGCCGATCCTAGCTGCTGGTGTAGAACCCGCCAATGGTGCCAACACCAGCGTGGAGTTGGGCGTACGCACCAGCGAGGGTCTCGTTACCCTACGGTGGATGCGAAAGCTGGTGCTGAAACCACATCATGACGGCGCATCTGAGATGTAGCGAGTAGATGAGCATTCTGGGACGGGAGTCTCTGTCGTAATGATAAGCACTTAGTAAGATCTGCTATTAAATGATACAAACAAGAGCTCAATAATCACGCAAGGTGCAAGGTAGATACGATCACGTCTTGTCGGGTGCGAGTTTTGAACGTTGGGAAGCAATGGTAAAGCGGAAGCTGTCGATGTGCGAAGCCAACTTGGTAGGCGTATGGAGTTGAGAGAGCCGGTACGCACTGCCTGCCCGGGCCGCATGGACTGCATGAGGAATGCTCAATTCCTGAATGACGATAGACTCATCAGTCATGCAGGGGTTGAGCATGAAGCATGGCTGCTCTAATGCAGGTACCACGAGGAGACATAAACATGCTTCAACGAGGACCAACTCGATACCCCAGGGATGAAGCCTGTTGTCATTAAAAGGCGAACAAGCGCAGGTCCTGGGGGACGTGGACCGCTTGCATGTGGACGAAGGTAGCAACCCGTACGAGTACCAAAGTAACTGGTGGAGGGAGATAGGGTCGCCCAAGACGGTCTGCCACTGGTGCCCTAATATTGCTGAACCCGCATGTGTTTAAGTAACCCGAGAAAGTCTCTATTATGGTCCTCGGGCGTGTTGGAAGAAGGTGCCTAACAATCCACGATCAGGGGACACGAGGCGAGTGCAACGGCAAGCTGGGCGTCAGCGAGAAGACTCGGTCTTGATTCCGTGCTTGAAACCTGGGCCTGTGACTAGCGGCGTTGTGGGCGGCAGGGAAGAGGTGTAGGAGCGCCCGCAAAAGTCGCCGAGACGCACCTTGCTTTGAGGTAAGAGTCGTAAACAATAGGCACAACCGCCTTCCTGACTCGGCGGCTCTAGCTGCAAGCCCGATGCGCGCCGGAGCTGACTGAGTACAGTGCCTGGCAAGCCCAACAACGATTGGGGTACGGCGGCTGGGCGCTGATTTGTCGGAGAGGCCCTAGAATTGGGGGTCGAAACTTGGACCTGTTGGTGACCGTCAGCAGCATCTTCGCGGGCGTCCTAATTCCCAGGTCTTGCGCGGTCTGGCACCTATCTGGCAGCCGTAGGCATCACTAGAGAGCCAGTCTGACAACTGAAATTTGCTTGGGGTGGTTGGCTGCCTAGAAGCGCTTATGCAGGCGCTCGTGGGGCATCGATGATCACAGTGCGAAGTTGGAGGGTGGTCTGACTGCCGGCTGCTCCGTTGTGATCCCGATCGATTGCCCTCCCAACCACCCAGCTGGATTTTAGAGGGCACCCGTCAAGTCTACTTGTGCGCAGCTTGTCGCCACTTGTGCGCCTTCAACAGGGACTTTTCATTCTCGAAGAGCCTGAAGTAGAGCACAGCAGCTCACAAGCAGCAAAGTAGTGCAAGCTCTCCAGCAACCCATAGAAGATCTATCAGCGGACGGAAAGCGCGCATTCAGCATAAGCGACGACTTGAAGTTGTCAGACATTTGCTAAGCTAGGCTAATCAGGCGCCGCAAAAGGTGCGTGCAATGGCAGAGGAATGCTATGGGGGATATCGAAATTCAGTCAAAATCGCGTGCTCCCCCCAAAGCTCCGTCGCCTAAGCAGATCAGATCCGTCTGTCTGTCTCTCATCGGCAGTGAAGGAAGCCCGGGTTCAGGACGCCTAGTACGAACGAGCCTAACTAGGCTGCTTTGGGGTTGCAGAAAGAGCAGGGTGTGGTGTAAACAACCCACGAGTTGTCGCAAGAATAGGTGAACTCTTTCACTCAGAGGCGAATGAAACTGAACTTTAGAGAGCTTGGAGCCGGGACAGTGCAGCAGATGCACGCAGGCACGCCCAATAGAAAGCCTGAAGGCACGCTTAGCGCCTAAAACAGGCGGTGGCAGTGGAGCTTGCAGCACACCGAAACGAACGTTCGCAGGGAGGCACACAGAGCATCCCGGCCACCCTCAGAGGCGCGAGAGGAGCGAGAGGGGAGAAAATGGGGAGAGCTGGCTGCTGGCCGTGATTGAAGCTGCGGCTGCGTTCCCCCCTGCCCAGTGGGTTGATCCAGCGGCTCTCTCCCGGCTCGCTCGCACCACTTAAACAAGCCGTCCCCCACCGACTCGCCCGTTTCTCTTCCACTCTCGCTTTCTTCCACCACCAGGAATCGTTCGCGTTTCCTTGCTTCACTCTGCCCGCCACCCATCCTTTAGTTAAAGCGCAGCCTTGCAGACGCCCGCGCTCATAGGTGCCTATATCATCAACAACAGATAGTCTCTCTTATCCGAGCAGCCATTTAGGGAGCTTACCATGGCAAAGAAGACGCAGCCGCCGCCGCAGGACCCTGAGTCCGCCACAACCCAGGTCAATATTGCTGATTTCCAGCGCACACGGGATTCGGTACGTGGATAGATTTGGTCTATCGCCTATTTTGCATTTGCTTCACCCCATCACCACCAACGCGTCTCTGCACCCTGGACCCCGCGACGAGGCTCTGCTCTGATTTACTTTTACCCTCACCACTCTTTTGCTATATCCCCTCCGCATGTCAACCTCGTCGTCGCCGCACTTCCACCAAAGATTGAACACAATACCCCACACACTCAATGCCCTCAACATGCCTTCAACCGAGCGGCTTCGGTGGGGAAATGGTCTAAACCACGCTGCTATCGCTTGTGTCAATGCCCTCACAGAGGATCTCAACGCCCTCACCCACCAAGTCTATCGGCTGCAAAACTCTCCACAAGCATTTGCTGACGAGTCGCCTCAGGTCATTGTTGCTCTTGCAACTCTCCAGCACTCTGTCCAAGATCTTTCCCGCGCCTACATTCAACATGCCAACACGGTGCTCGCCCCAGGTAAACAAGGCTTGACTCCCATTGACGCCAACCTCACCAACATCCTCACGGAGTCTGGTCTTTTGACCGGCCGGCCTGCCGAGGCTGTTCCACCTCCCGTCGAGGCAGACACCGATGGCAAGAAAAAGCGCAAGAGGACACCACATGATCCAAATGCGCCTAAGCGTGCCCTCACTCCCTACTTCCTCTACATGCAGAGCGCTCGCGCAACCATCGCAAAAGAGCTTGGTGACTCAGCGAAGCCTAAAGAGGTCGCAGATGAGGGCACTCGCCGGTGGACCGAGATGAGCCCAGGTGAGAAGAGTGTATGTGTTGCGACCCAGCCCTGTTGCCATGTACCAGCTAATCGCATTTCAGGTCTGGGATGACAAGTATCAGAAGAACCTTGCCGCCTACAGAGTCAAGATGGCAGCATACAAGGCTGGGCAGCCCGTGCCTGACGATGAGACTGCAGCGCGTCTAGTCGAGCTTGGCAAAGCACCTGAACACGTCGCTGGCATCGACGCCGAAGCAGAAACCGAGGAAGAAGAGGCAGTTGAAGAAGAAGAGGAGGAGGAAGAAGCACCTCCGCCAGCTCCAGAGCCAACACCCAAATCGAAGCGTCGCAAGACCAAGGAAGCTGAACCTACTCCCAAGCCCACGCCAAAGGTGGAGGCGAAGTCACCAGAGAAGGAGAAGAAGACCAAGAAGACCAAGAAAGAGGCTGCTGCTCCAGCGTCGTCTGCCAAGGCAGAGAAGTCGAAGAAGTCGAAGAAATAAAGGCTCAAGTACGGAGTCTTTGATGTGTGTGGTTCTACATGGATGCGTGGATATGATCACTTTCATTTTCTTGTCGGTCTGAAAGAGTCCAAGTTCGGCTCTTGTTTTGCAATGGATGGGTCCCTGTTCATAACGAAGGCGTCTTCTTCCGGTGCAACGAGGCAGAGTTGTTATGGTAGTAAGAAGAAGCGCGAATGTCAATAATGACGCATCAACCAAACAAAGTTCCTGTCTTGGTGTCTTCTCCGCATCAGGCTGAGCTCGTCGCCAGCCGCCAGCGCAGAAGGAAGCTCGAGCACGACCAGGATTAAGCGTGCCTCATGCCACTTTGAGATGCTCCTCTGCCCCGCATCAGCCCCTCGACCATGATAGGCCGAATGGGCACAGATAAACGATGGTCGATGCCATGGTGCGGGACCGAGTGTGCTTGACAAGCTGGACTTGAATCTGCAAAGAATCCAGAGACAAGCAGGCGAGCAGAATCACCATGCAGCTCGTCCCAAAAGAGGTACGAACAGACGACTGTAACAGCATGGCGCGATAGAGCATAATGTTGACACCGTCGACGACACAAATAGCTAGATAAGCTCGTGATATCCCAGCTGGGACTCCTGGCACAACGGAGACTCGCTAGGGGAGTCAAGCTCAATCATTCTGAAGCTTGCGTGAGGCCATCTCAATCCATTATCTAAGGAAATATCTGTTGACATGCTCTCCAGGCTCTGATCGCCAACAATCTCCAAGAGGTACCTGCATGGAACTGGGACGCCGCTCGGATATTACGTACTGATTTCACGCGTGGCAGCTCATTCGCGATGGGAATCATTCTGTCGCCGACCTCATGTCCATTGGCAAGACCATGCTCGGTCGACGCCATGTTCTCCCCTCCGTCGTGTCGACCTTGACCGAGCTGCAAGTCGAGGGCACGTTCAAATCGGGTACTTACCTTGTGACTGTCCATCATCCCGTCAGCTCCGACGATGGCGATCTTGAGAAGGCGCTCTACGGCAGTTTTCTTCCAGTTCCGTCGAAAGATGCATTTCCGCTCGCCGATGCAAGTGAGTATGAGAGCGCGAAAATGCCAGGCGCCGTCGTTCCAGTCAAGGAAGGCAAGATCACGCTGAACGAAGGGCGAAAGAGAATCCAGCTAAAGGTCACCAGCAAAGGTGACAGACCGATACAGGTACGCAGGGATACAGTTTTGCCCTCGCCCCGGTCCAGCTAATCTCTGTCTCGGCAGATTGGCTCGCATTATCACTTCATCGAGACGAACCCTCAGCTCGAATTCGACAGAGCCAGAGCATATGGTTTCCGTCTGGACATCCCAGCCGGTACCTCTGTACGCTTCGAACCGGGAGACACCAAGACGGTAACTCTCGTCGAGATTGCAGGCAACAAGGTCATCCATGGTGGCAACAACATTGCGTCAGGCGCAGTCGACGTCTCTCGCACTGACGAGATCATTCGGAAACTTCAAGAAGCCGGATTTGCGCATACACCGGAGCCGGCAGGCGACCTGGCCCACATCGACGTTGCGGCTATGAGTCGAGCCGATTACGCTGGTATGTTTGGACCTACGACTGGCGACCTTGTACGACTTGGATCCACGGATCTGTGGATCAAGGTGGAAAAGGACATGACGGTCTATGGTGATGAATGCAAATTCGGGGGCGGCAAGACTATTCGCGATGGTATGGGTCAGGCGTCTGACCGCAAAGATGAAGATGTACTCGACACGGTCATCACCAATGCTCTGATCGTGGACTGGTCTGGCATCTACAAAGCTGACATCGGTATCAAGAACGGTGTGATCGCGGCCATCGGCAAAGCTGGCAACCCCGACGTCATGGAAGGTGTCGATCCAAACCTGGTCGTCGGGAACGGCACAGATGTCATTGCAGGCGAACACAGCATTGTCACCGCCGGCGGGTTCGACTCACACATCCACTTGATCTGTCCTCAGCAGGCTTACGAGTCCGTCGCGGCCGGGATAACCACATACTTGGGAGGCGGTACCGGGCCCAGCACAGGCACAAACGCAACCACCTGCACGCCAGGCAAATGGCACATGAAGCAAATGCTCCAAGCGCTCGACTCGTTCCCAATCAACTACGGCGTTACAGGCAAAGGCAATGACAGCTCGCCCGTGGCACTTCGAGAACAATGCGAGGCTGGAGCGTGTGGGCTCAAATTACACGAAGACTGGGGCACGACCCCTGCCGCGATCGACACGTGCTTGTCTGTCTGCGATGAATATGACGTCCAATGCCTCATCCACACAGATACGCTGAATGAGTCTGGCTTCGTGGAATCCTCCATCGCAGCCTTCAAGGGCCGGACCATCCACACGTACCACACCGAAGGCGCCGGGGGTGGCCACGCACCGGACATCATTTCCGTGGTCGAGCACGCCAACGTCCTCCCTTCTTCCACAAATCCCACAAGACCGTATACCAGGAATACGCTGGACGAACATCTGGACATGCTCATGGTGTGCCATCACCTCTCCAAGAACATCCCCGAAGACGTTGCGTTTGCGGAATCGCGCATCCGCGCCGAGACCATCGCGGCCGAAGACGTGCTCCACGACCTCGGCGCCATCAGCATGATGTCCTCTGACTCCCAAGCGATGGGCCGTTGCGGAGAGGTCATCCTCCGGACATGGAACACTGCGCAGAAGAACAAACAGCAACGCGGCAGGTTGAAGGAAGACGAAGGCACCGACGCCGACAACTTCCGAGTCAAGAGGTACGTATCCAAGTACACGATCAACCCGGCCATCACACAGGGCATGAGCCACATCTTGGGGTCCGTCGAGGTAGGCAAGTTGGCGGATCTGGTCCTGTGGAAGCCCAGCAATTTCGGCACGAAACCGAGCTTGGTGTTGAAAGGGGGGATGATCGCGTACGCCCAGATGGTGAGTACATAAATCACGTTGTCTGCCCCCCCCCCCCCCCCTTTTTTTCAATACTACCTTTTTCTCTCGCCAGAAGGGCGCCTGAGGGCCGCCTCAGCCTCGCGCGACCGGTTCAAATACTGATGTTCACCGTCTCCAGGGCGATCCCAACGCCTCCATTCCGACCGTCCAGCCGGTGATCATGCGTCCCATGTTCGGCGCCTACGTGCCGAGCACGTCCATCACGTTTGTGTCCGGCGCGTCCATCGCCTCGGGCAAGGTCGCCAGCTACAATCTCGCCAAACGCGTCGAGGCGGTCAAGCATTGTCGCACCGTCGGCAAGAAGGACATGAAGTTCAACGACTCGATGCCCAAGATGAAGGTCGACCCGGAGTCCTACCGGGTTGAGGCGGATGGCATGCACTGTACGGCCGAGCCCGCCGAGGTCGTGCCCTTGGGACAGACGTACTACGTGTATTGAGTGAGTGAGTGAGTCTAGCCGTGCCCTTGGGACAGACGTACTATCGTACTATGTGTATTGAGTGAGTGAGTGAGCGAGTCTAGGTCAGGGGGCTGACGGTAGGGGCTAATAGTAGCGGCTGGCGACCAATGGGGGCCCCGTGGTGACAAACACGGTATGGTATGTACCTATGTACCTATGTACCAGCGATCAATGAGTTCGAGGCGGGGGAGGGGAGTTTGTGCATCGAACGCGTATGTAATTATCGCACCGGCGGGCGGACCTTCCACCACGAAGGTCGTGCATAAGATGAAGTTTTAAGCCGGCTTCCCGCTTTCTCGGCGCAAAGATCCCAGAGTCGCACAAGAAGTGGCGGAGGAAGTAGAGAGTATAGGTAGCGCGGGTTTGCCATGAACAAGCGGTGAAGATTCGTGGTTTGAGTAGAAGAGTAAATAGGTGAGTGAGTGACCTTATGCAAGAGACTAGCATCCCACGCAGAGGGGTCCCGAGGCTGCTTACTGTACAAGAACATATACTGTGTTGGACAGTTTTTTTTTTGATTCTATATATATGTGTACAACTAGAGCTTCATCGAGTGGTTGTACATTTTTCTAAACCTCCAAGGGGCCTCTTCCGGGGAAACCCTGTTTCCAGGTCCTGGTCCTCCGAAACGGATGTCTCCCTCGAGATCCTCTGCTTCTAGCTCCCGGCCCTCCGAATCGGATGTCTCCCTCGAGATCTTATCGAAGGGACGTCGGAGGAAGTGTCAAGATCAGTCGTCGCTTTAGAAAGCAAGCCCGTCTATGTACGAAACAATTCGGCTGCCCCCCGTGACACGCTTAGAACTTGAAGACTTGCTCCTTGGTGTACCCCAGTTCCTTCAAAATGCCCGACAACTCGCCCTGATCCTGGGGACTGACCTTGGGCCCGCTGACGGCCTTGTACAGGCCCGGCGGCCCACAGACGAAGATCTTGATGTTCTCGGTCTTGGGGTCCGGAATCACCTCCTTCAACAGTTCCTTGGTGATGAAGCCTTTGCCATAGGGCCACGACTCGGGGGGATTATCCAGCGTGTAGAACACGCGGAACCGCTGCGGGAATTCTTTTTCGAGGTCCGAGAGTTCCTTCTTGAGCAGGATGTCTTCCTCCTTGATGTTGCCGAAGATGAGCGACACCTTGGTTTTGTCCTCGGGGTTCTTGGCGATCGCGCGGATGAGCTGATACATGGGCGTGATGCCCGTGCCGCCCGAGATGAGCGTGATGTGGCTATGCTTGTTAGGAGACCAGGGGTATTTCGGGATGGGGCCTTTGAAGCTGAGCGTGTCGCCTTCTTTCAGGCCATGGATGTGTTCCGACATGGGACCTTTGGGGTAGACCTTGACGAGGAGTTCAAGATAGCCGCGCGCGTCTGCGAGGGTGTAAGTTGGTTTGTAAGGGATTGTAGTGGGACAAGTCGAGTGGGTGGGGAGGGACTTTACCTTCATCGTTGATGGGAGTATACGGTCTGATCACGGGCTTTTCTGCGTCCTCTGGCTTGAATTTCGTGATGATGGCAGCTTTGAGGCGCCCACGGTCAATGACTCTCCCACTTGAGATTTCCACTAGCTCAAAACTTACAAGCAACATTGAGACCCGAGACGTGCTCCTCGTCAGGCAGTGCAAACTTGAACCTCTTCGTGTTATGGTTGTAGGGAATGATCTCCTTGAGCTTCAGATCAACAAATCCTTGCTCTCCACCGGTGAAGGTCTTGCCCGGGGCTTCTTCCTTCTGCTTGTTAATGTTCTTCTGGTCTTCGGTCGACTGCGACGGTGCTCCGTCGGTCTTGGAGGTCTTGCTGGATGAGCCTAGGAAGTTGTACCCCAGGATACCCGTGCCGATGGCGGCGGCGCCGACGATATACGGTGTTGATGAGGATTTCGGGGCTTGTGCTTCGGACGCGTAACCACGGATGCTCTGCGCAAGAAAGTGAGCGTGAGTTCAATCGGACTCCTCAAGGTGAAGCATGATAGAGACGGAGGCTTTCCGTACCTGGCGCACAGGCCCGCAGGCCCTCAGAACAGACCTTGCAAGCATGATGGATCGGGTGAGGGAGGATGGTAATAAGGGACGACTGGTGAGGGAAGCGAAGGGCGGAGGTGAACAAAATGTGAGATCGAGTTGAGCTGGAGATGCATAAATCACGATTGCGTCAATTGGGATCTAAAGCTCGCCTGAAAGTTCATCGGCGCCACCAATCGAATTGCTTGCCCACGGCGAGGGTCTCGGTACTGAACCGCCCTGGAGTCGTGTCATGGCCGAGCTACAATAGCTGGAGCCCAGTACTGAGTGCTCGCTCTACATGATACGAGGTGGGCTCTTTGGCCTATATTTCAATCTTATCGGAAGCGACATCTTCCCTACATCGAACAGCGACCGAATCTCAAAGAACCCATTCTACAGCTCAAGCTCCTCCTCGTCGTGGCCCGGGTGGCCAACACTTCTTAGAGGGACAGAGTCCCATTCGCTAACGTCGTTATGGAGAATCGCATGTCTCGCAGCAAAATACGCATCAATTCTTGCTTGCTTTCTCTGCGAGTTCTCGATGCGAAGGTGCGATGACCTGTGTCCACACAACGTCAAAACCTCATGGGTGGCCTGGGGTTCCTGATCTCTGAGACCATTGTGTACATGGACGCCCATGCTAGAATCCAATGGCTGGTCAGGTTGACTGTCAAAGGCCGAGGATGAAAGAGGTTGACTATCAAAGCCATCAAACGAGGTATTGCCGTCCAGTATAGTATGATGTTGCCAACCCGCATTCTCTATCTTTCCAAGGCGATGATCCCGTGGAGTAACAATATTCTCTTCCTCAAAGAGCTTCGAAGGCGACTTCGTATCTTCTGGGCTGCTTGCTTTGATGGGAGAAGTGAAGACGACCGGGCTCGAAGGCTCATAGCAGCCACCATTCTGGGACTGGGTTCTTTGAGAGTCATCATCGTCGTCGTCGTTTCGTCTCCTCTTACCACGAACCCCGTTGGACACTCCGTTATGCCCTTGCAATGCCGCGACGGCATTCCTCGTCTCCTGATCGTAGTAGAACACCTGCTCTTGACAGAGATCTCCGAAGAGAGATTCCATGCTAAGATCTTCTGACCACGCTTCCAGACTCACAGTGCAGGGACAGATATCCCTCGGCCTGAACACGCCGACGAGGTGGCGAAGCTCGTTGTAGGAGGAATGACGGGAGTAAGGGAAATGGATTGTGTCGTTCTGAGCAACAGGCTTCGGGTGTTTTTCTGAAGGCGCGTTCCGGAAAATCGATGTGTTCATCTCATTGAACTTCTTTGATACCAAAGTCACGAAATCTCCAAGCTTGATAGAATCGTCGTCTTCAACCTTCACTTCCTCAGCTTCATCAAGAATCATGGACAGATCACAGCCGACTCTAGGTCGTGATAGGGCCTGCGCTAGTTTCGATCTGATTTCCTCACTGTCGGCATATGAGGCGCAAAGGGTCAACAGCTGCACGATATTCGCGCTTTCCTCCAGCTTAAGTTGCGCCTTGGGATAGAGGTCTCTCCAGCCTCCTCCAGCTCCGAGCTCTCTAACCTCGCTCCCATCTTTGAGCCTCGAGATGATGGGACTAATCCACACAACGCTCCTGGTGTTTTTGATCTGGGAATGGCAGTCCAGCCCAGGCTCGCAGCTGTGAATCCTGGCCGTCTTGTCATCAGTGAGGCAACCCTGTAATCGACTATTGCCCAGCGTAAATCCGGTGAGAGCGGCACTCTCGGTGTCATTACCGTCACGAAATATCCCCAACTGGTAGTCATTCACGTGGATCTGAGATTGCAGGAAATTGGATAAAGCAACCCAGACAGCTTCGTAACCGAGCGTCCATGCCCGGAAATAGAAGATTGTATCCTGAGGGTATTGGGCGACTTTCTCGAGAAGTTCCTGTAATCCTTGGGCTTTCGTAGGGAACTCCTTGTACGGCTCGTCATGGGTAGCGAAGGTGGTATCGAGATAGATGCAGTCAAGGCGTTTGAGGCCACACGCATAAGGCAAGAGGACTGGGTTTTGCACGATTGAATTCACCCACCAAGGTTCAGCTCTGACGTCGCCCGTGTAGACAATCGCTCTGCCATCACCTTCGACAAGGAACATCACAGCCCCAGGGCAATGATTGGCATCTAGCAAAGTCACCCGGATGACCGATCGCGGGCCCAATTCGATTTCGGTAGCGGTATTCAAAGGCACTGCTCGCAGGATGTTTTTCAAATGCTTGTACTGCTGCTTTCGCGCTTCGAGTATGCCTTTCGCAAAATTGATGCGGTGCGGGTACTTCTCCATCTTCAGCAAGATGCGCTTTGTGGTCGCTGAGCAGTAGACAAACGGCATCTTGACGGACTCCAGGCCCATCAGGTGATCGCTGTGGACATGGCTCAGGAACAACGCGGCGGGTGGAGGTCTACCGGGATGATTCCTGAAGTAGTCTATCCTGATGGTGGGGAATTCCTTGACCAGGCCGTCAAACGTCGACATTGTTGTCGCCTATGACTCGAAAATGAGAGCCCAGCGAGGCAACTCATACCTAATGACGGTGCGGCGTGCCAGGTGCACCGAGGTCTCCTTGTCGAAGATAGTCAGTGCGCCCGCTGTATCCAAGCAGGTGCTGAACAAAGACTCGCTCTGCCTGAACATCTATCACGCAGACAGGCTGCACTGGTTGTCGTTGAAGGCAGCCTCCCACACTGCAAGGCTGCACTATCTGCCACACCCCGCAGCGTCAATCTCAAGCCGATCCTGAAAAGGTAGTCTTATTCCAGGTGGCGGCTTGAAACAGGCGACCAGTCAACAGGCCACTTGGGACGGATCCCTGGCCAGCCAAAGTCGTGACCTTGTTTGACCCGAGGATGGGGGCTGTCAGGAGCTGTCGCATTGGAAACGCTGGCGGAAAGAGGATTGGAAGAGGCTCGGCCACGCAGAAACAAAGGCGTAATAGGCAGCTGCTTATTTGTTCGTCTGACCCAGACTGGGTTGGCACACATGCACAAGCTGGCTGACCTGGCCACCTGACAAACAGGAAAAGACACCTGGAAGCGGGTGTGGTCGTGGTGAAGGACACGGACCTGATTCACAGTTCGTGAAAGCAACCAAAGCTAGTAACTTTGTAGTCTGGTGGAGAGTGAGTGAGTTGGCAGATCCAGTCAAGCGCAGGAAAGAGTGATCAAAGGATGAGTTTGCCAACGCACAATGCTGCTGCCGGCAGAGTTTGCATTACTGAGTACATTCTTCATCCGGCATCTCTACGGAGGATGTTGATCGCCATCTGAACCGTAGCCGCCGTGTCAGTTGCCGCTGTCAAGGCTGGCAAGGTCGATAAGCATCGTCAGCGGCGGCACCAGCGGGGTCATGGACTGAGCGCATTTGGTGTAGTCGTACCTGGAGCTAGAGGCACGATCATCACGGCCTGCATCCTTCATCCCTGCCTGCAGGTGACGGACGGCTCTCCAGCCTAGAATCTGGCACAGTCTCTTGCATTCCATCGACAGTCTGATCCTCCACAACTCCTCACCCCTACGACAGAGCACTCCTTGGCTCGCAAACACCTCAAAGCCACTACTTCGTGTCTACAATCCCCTTCCGTACCCAGAAGCTGAGACGCTTTCCCGGCGTCGATACGTCGGCTCAGGTGATCTTGACCCGGCTGAACAGCTCCGAACATCCTGAAGATCAGCCGCCCACCGACCTCCAATCCTCGGTAGCCGATCGTATTCCACCCACCGAACAGTCACCTGCGAAGAGATCAAATCCCTCGTCCTCGCGCTGGTGAACATTTACTGGTTGCACGAAGCACCTCCCTGCAAGACCGAGAGTCGCCTCTGTGACTACTTGGCTTGGGACAACCCAAGATGAGGAAACCATCTATTCCAGAGTTGATTTACCAGAAGACCTTTCCCAAGCCGAAGCAAGGCGATCCAGTCTCATTCTATGCACATGTGCAACGCTATATTGTGGGTGAGGTCCGTGTTGAAGTCCAGAATTTCTATGGCGCCCTCGATACCCTTGAAGCCCAGTATCCCGGTCTCGACTACTGCTTTCCCCCTCATCGCCGCCGACTATCGAGGTACCCCTGGCATAGACGCCTGTTCCGTGTGTTCGATGAACTGGGCTTGACCGGCAACGAGATATTGAATCTGTGCCAGTGGGAGGGAACCAGAGCTGCAAAGGAAAGATATGAGCGCGAGGCAGGAGTACAAGTAAGGACAACCACCGCCGACGAAGTCGTGGCAGCGGTCCCGGGAAACGGCCCAATTGCAATCTTCGAGGATTTGTCTCGGCCAGCGTCTGTGGGTTCCACATCTTTGAGCAACCATACGTTAGTTGGCGCTCTAGGGAAAGAGGGAGATAAGTCTGGCGACGTTGAAGACCCTCCGTCACCGCCCGAAGACGACGTTATCGACCTACTACGGTCCGCGATACAGTCTCGCCTCCTAGGGGACTCTATGTCCCTTGATCACGCTCGAGAGCAGTGGCTGAAGGAGATCCTGGACGGACGTGGCGAGATTGACGTGGATGCAATCATGGCCGCAATCGAGACTTTGGAGCCCGAGACCATTGGCGTTCCTCAGCAGGCAGATGAGACGGACGATGCAATGTCACGCTCACCCACTCCTCAGTCACCGGGCCTCGCTTATGATACCACCACTCCTCTTGACCGGGCAGTAGCCGATCTCCGTCGCGTTCAGTCACTCTTCCTCCAGAGATCACAAACAGAAGCAGCCAGGTGAGATGTTTTCCGGCCAAATTGGTTCCTGTTGTCACCATCTTGGGGGGCTTTGGCATATTGGGTGATAGCGCAGACGAGTTTTGGGAGGCACGTTTGGCTTTTTGCATGGATACCTCAAAAGTTGCGGAGTTTAAAGCATGGCGTATTGGAATGATGAGCGATTAAGGCTCCGGTGCATAATCTTTCGGCGTTGGACAGGTCCAGAACCACTTACTCGGCCCTGATGTGCTAGGCAAGCAGAGCAATGGCAAAGACGACGATTCTTAATGGCAGGGGTAAAGGCAAGAACTGCTGTATGGGCGCGAATTCGGGAGCAAACCAGGGATAGGCGAGGTAGTCAACCGGGCCAACAAAGAGACGTTGGAGGCATTAGATCTGGGCTTTCATGTGCAGGGATTAATGCATATCTTACAGGAACCCGCCCTTTCTGGTGTTTCCTAAACTTGGGCTCTTCGACATCAACTCGCGGTATTCTTCTTGACCACCCCTCTCGCGAATTCGCCAAAAGTCAACCGGGTCTTCAGATCGACCACCTCATCCAAATTCGGCTGCGTGAACACAGCCAGGGTGTTCCTCGCTATCCTGCCCTTTCCCTGCACACTATTGGCATCCACGCCGCGCACGAAGTGCGGCACCGCTTTGAACCGCCCGCCCGTGATCAGTTCCAAGGCCTCTCCCGTCTGAAATGCCAGTGCCCCCCGTGGGATGCCGACCTTGTGGATCTCCTGGCTCCGCGACAAAATGTACAGACCGGACGACGGATCGGGACTCGATGGCAGTTCGTCCAAGCGCCCAGAGCTTTCGTCGACGAACATGGCGGACGTGAGGCCCGTGAGACACCCGTGGTCGAGGTGCGTGCTGCACCAGGAGTCGTCTATCTCCAGCTGTGGCGGTGTCTTTTCGCCGTCCGATGTGGTGCCGTTGACGGCGGGCCCATTGCTCTTCGCCGCCTCCGGTTCGTGCGCGGGTTCAGCCTCGGGCTCAGACCCGGTCGGGAAATAATGCAATAGCCTCGCCTTTGTGGTCTCGCTCTGCTGCACCATGCGCTCCAGATATCCGCTCTCGTAGCCTTCAATCTCGCTCTCCGCGAAGCGATCGCACGCCCGGGCCACCAGCACGGCCGTGTCGATGATCAGCTTGATCAGGTCTTCGGCGTCGGCCCTGAACCCGGGCACCGACGCCATCGCCGCCGCGACTGCACCCTGATTGCCGTGGTTGTTGTCCTCGGCGTCGGCGTCTTCGTCTTCGTCTTCCTCTTCCGGCGGCCATACGTTCGGGGCGGTATATTCTTCGAAGCCTGGGAATTTGGCCCCGTCCGCACCGTCGAGTGCGCTGTCCTTGTAGAACGCGCAGTTGATGTAGTAGCTGCCCTTTGCGGTGTCGACGACGCCGGGCCTCAAGGTCTCGACGCCATGGGACCAGCCGACGAGGTATTTCGCGGCCGGGTTGGTGAGAGACGCGAGCGTCTGAGCGGGCAGGTGGGCGATGCGGGAGGCGTTGCTGAGCACGCGCTGGCGGAGGGGCGCGAATTTGTCCGGCAGGTCGGTCACCACGAGGATTCCTAGGGAGGAGGGGCCGAACGCTGACAAGAGCGTCGAGAAGGGGACGGTGCCTTGTTGGAGGTCGGTGAGGGAGACCGTCACGGGCGTCGCGTGCGTGAATTTCATGGCGTGACTTTCCGAGGGTATGCCCGTACAGCGCAGGTATATACCTACCTAGTATCGAGGTGTTGTTTCGTAGGAGTATACGGACTGAGTACCTAGTAGCGAAGAAGGTCGATTGTGGCGGCGGCGGTGGTCTTTCAACTCAGTTCCGCATGCAGAGGTCACAGTGGCGGGCTGTCCGGAGGGTCATGTCGCCGCCTCTCGTGTTCAGTGTGTGCGAGTATACAGTAAAAAGAATGGCCACCTCCCATGTCTGTGCAGTCTTGAGTATCGTCCTCCTATTCGGTGGTGCTGTGTGCGGTGGTGAAATGCAACACTGTTTATCTTTTTTACCCCACAGTGGGATGGCGGAGGCGCCTGAGGGTCGCGATACGTACTCGGTGGATTAGCGTTGGCCGCTTCGGCGACCTCCGAGCGATCACGCTTGGGTTTGGGTCCGCAGTACCGTACCTCGCCATATTACATTGGCTTTGTCCAAATATTCACGGTCCACATGGATCTATAACGAAGAGACTGCGCGAAGAGGATCGGATTCTATGTGTACAGTCAGGTACTGCGGACAAGCAGTCCACTGAACCAACGCCAACCACCCAGTCATGCTTCGCTTGCCTTTTTCAAGAACTCAATCAAATATCGACGGCCGTGTCTCATCCGCGCCTTTTTCCGTACGTTTCTTCCAGATATGAGTCCAAGTCGGCCTGATACCGACTTGTCCTCGATGATCTTCTGTTCCTGCGCTCTGTGTCTCTGCAGGATCGCGGATCCAGCTCTTCATAGAATGGCTGGCGCCTTCTCGGCTCGCAGTCGCCGTCCTCCCAACGGTCGCCGCTCTTCCTGTACGACCCGGCCTCAAAGTCTCTCCTAACAGGCCGGCTGGCCTGCTGCGGTTGTGGTGTCAGATGAGTTCCATTGCCTTCACAGACCTCTTCCGTCGTGCTTGACTCGAACACGCCGCTTGCGCCGAGGAAAACACAGCGATTCCAATACGGATCGTTCCTCGTGTTTTGGTCCATCGGTCCCCCACGCCGCATCGGTTGTAAAAGTATCGCGGCCGATGAGCACCGTGCACAGTATTTGCCGGCGCATCCAAAGGTCGGCCGGCTGGGGCCTGGCCGAGGGTGCAGAACAGCAATGCGGCTGAAAAAGCAAGGGCACGTATGCCAATTTGTGCGCTTGTACAGCTTCAGTGATGGTAGGGATAGAGGCTTCGGCTGGCTGTCGGCGGTGTTGGGCTGGGCCCCAGGAGACTGATATGGACGTTTGGACAGGTACGAGAATAGAATCTTGGCGTCTGTGGACGAATCTGCCGTCGCGTTATGTGCAGCAGACGAGTTTGAGGTTGCGACGGAGTGGAGGACAAAGGGACAGAGGGGCACGAGCAAATTACACATGCTGAACTCGAGGTGGGTGGAGAGGCTGAGGCTGTAGAGAGTTCAATCGGGCGCCGTCTATTGCAATATTGATTGTTGTGGGTGTAGGACGACAACGAGTTCAGAGAATGCAGTTTCATAACCGACAGCGAGGTATCACTTACATTCTTTTCTTCCTCTTCGCAGATAGGCAGACATGACAACTATGGGCCACAAAGAACTTTGGACCAAAGCCGAATGGATGACAAAGGCTGGAATGCGAACTGGCGATGGCCAAAGGACCGCATATGGAGGACGCTGATTGGTCTATACGGCGAGGCAAGGCAACAGATGCCTGCAGGCTTGGAGCACGGTTGGATGCTCTCAGCCTCAAACAACCCTGCATGGCGGGCATCTTGTGACGTTCGGGAGTTGCTGCGAGAGCACCACGCCGACTTCTGAGAGAAACAGGCAGATGGCGGGGTGAGTCAATTTGGATGATTTGAATCTTCTCGCAACAGCCACCGACGTGAAGCAACACTCACCCAACGCTACGAGTACAAGGCCCGTCTGATGAGTCACCACATCAAGCGTATGATTGGTACCTAGGCAGGTGATTCGACTTCAGGCTTCGTACCTATCTGCGACGACAGGAAATGCGAGGATTTAATACATTCTGTGCTGCGTTAATAAGGAAAGTACTGTGAGGAACTGTGAGAAGGAGGACTTGACACAGACTGGTTAATCAAGCGCGCTGTCCTTATCTGAGAGTGCCACCAGCTCCATGTTCCACAACCTGTACTCCGTACTATCCTGGGAATCAGGGCTGGTCGGAACTCGTGCTGTCCATGCCGACTAGCGGCCCAGCGCTCAATCATTCCCATCCTGCAGGAGCAAGATTACATAGTGTCTCGTTGCCCTCGCCTCTCGGCCATAGATGTACGAAGCACAAACCCGCAGCGTCATCGGTCGGCGGCGGCAAGCTTGCACCGGTGCGCACGGCTGGTCTGCGTGCTGCTTAAATTACGCGCATCCGCCTTCTCCAGCCAATCGCAAGCCCCAACACGCTGAAAAGGTATTCTACGCCCTCCTATTTCGGCAGGTAGAGCTCAAGGTTGCATCTGACTATCAAAGAAGCTTCCCTCGTCGATTCCTCATATCTTGTTTATTGCTTGTCACCCCACAGGCTCCGTGAGAAACATCTCCGGAGAGATGTCGATCCTGCCAACGACTTCCGCGATGCTTAACCTCAATCTAGAAGCTGCTAGGCTATTGTCCAATCCTGTGTCCAGGCGGGCTACCTCGAAGTTCTTCTCCATGCTGTGCCACCGCCTTAGCGTAAGGGCTAGCGATCCGTGGAGAGCTTCAATGGTACCTTGATGCTTGTCTATCTATGGGCTATCTCTCGGAGCTGCCTCAGAATGGCAGACATGATGTTGTGGTGCGTTGCCGTCGACACTGCCGCTCCGCGAGGTGAAGCCAAAGGAACGCTGTCCACTCCGGCTACTACCTTGCCAATGTCCTTAAATATACCTAGGGCCCCCCCGAGCTGGTGTTAAAATACTTGAGAGAGGATCTGCTCCCGACTGACTTGTCGTTCGTTTTGTGTTACCCTGGTCGATGTCTCGAGCGATTGCAAGTATGGCCCCTCTTCGAGCACCCACCATGCTTGCCGCGGCACTGTCGCTGCTGAGCTGCTTCCAGCCGTCCTTGGTTGCAGCCGGTCCTGTAACTCGCCGCTCTGATCTTGTCGTGAAGGACTTCCATCGTGCTCCCAGGGCCTGGACAAACCTGGGCCGTGCTCCCACCGAACATCTGATCCACTTGACCATCGGCTTGTCACAAAGCCGCTTCGATGAGCTTGAGCGCCATCTGTATGAAGGTAAGATGCTTGGGGACGCGATAAAATCCAAGCCAAGCTAATTGAGATCAAGTCTCCGACCCCTCTCACCCACGCTATGGTCAGCACTTATCGGTTGACGAAGTCAACGAGCTTGTCAAGCCCTCGGACGATGCCTCCGCAGCTGTTCACGAGTGGCTGGAGGAGTATGGCATCGACATGGACCATCTTGCGTACAGTCCAGCGAAGGACTGGATCTCTATTCCGCTGCCCGTTTCGACCATCGAAGACCTGCTGAACACTGAGTACTCGGTGTGGGAACATCAAGACGGTTCGACCATTGTGCGCACTGAGGGATATAGCCTCCCACATTACGTCCACAAGCATATCACCACGATTCAGCCAACGAACTCATGGGCGCGTCTCGAGGGTCACAAGAAGAGAACGGAAATCATGAAACGCTCCGTGATCAATAAGCGCACCACTCATGTCCTTGAAGCCGCCGATACATGGGACCCACCGTCTTCAATTCCACCCCCAGAAAACTCCACCGTCTACGCCGCATGCAACTTTACCCATGTCACGCCAGACTGTGTAAGGACTCTCTATGGTACGATCGACTACGAGGTCAAGGCAGCGGGGTTGAACAAGATGGCCCACACAAATTACCTGGAGGAAGCCACAAATCGGTCCGACATCAGCCAATTCTTGACAATGTACAGGCCCGAGGCTGCCTCGTATGCCTATGAGTTTGAAGCTATCTCCATCGCTGGTGGTCTTCTCGATAACGGTACCAACGTTGCAGCAACAGGCCAAGACAGAGAGGCCAATCTGGATGCAGAGTACATGATCGGGATTGGCTACCCTACGCCCTTGATCGCCTATCACACCGGCGGCAGAAACCCGACCTTCGTTCCCGACATCAACACAGAGGACAACACCGACGAGCCCTTCTTGGTGTGGACACAGTATTTGGCAGGCCTGCCGGACGACGAGATCCCGCAAGTTGTCTCTACCTCGTATGGCGATGATGAGCAGACTGTCAGTCGAAGCTATGCTCAGGCGGTCTGCAATCAATTTGCTCAGCTCGGTGCTCGTGGCGTGTCACTTTTCTTCTCCAGCGGCGATTTCGGTGTGGGCACTGACGAGACGTGCATCAGCAACGAGGACAACACGACAGCCATGTTTATGCCATCTTTCCCGGCTGACTGCCCTTATGTGACAGCCGTCGGGGCGACTACCGGTTACCCTGAGTCAGCGGCGTGGAGGAAGTTGAGCAGCGGTCTCTACTTTAACAGTGGCGCTGGCTTTTCCAACTATTTTGACATGCCTGCGTACCAGGCCGAGACCGTCAACGCATACGTCGACGGCCTCGGAGGACTCTATGACGGTCTGTACAACAAGTCAGGTAAGTTGTCTTCCGTAATCTGGATGGGCACAACCCTCGTTCTAACCAACTACAGGCCGGGCGTACCCCGATATAGCTGCGATCGGTCAGCTCTTCCCTGTGGTCTGGAACGGCACTACCGTGAACTTGGTCGGCACGTCTGGCTCTTCGCCTATCGCCGCGGCCGTCTTCGCACTCCTGAATGACGCCTTGATCTCCGAGGGCCGTCCTCCAGTTGGTTTCCTTAACCCTTGGCTGTACAAGTCGGGTCACCTCCTGTTCACAGATGTCAACAATGGATCCTCTGCAGGCTGCAACACCAGCGGCTTTCCTGCGACGGACGGCTGGGATGCGGTCACCGGTTGGGGTACGCCGTACCTACCCAAGCTGCTTGAGGCTTTTGGCTTGGAGAAGTAAGCACAGCGATTCCAATCAGTGAACGGTCTTGTACATAGTCACTTACGATCAGGAAGCGGTACAGACGTTGTAATGAGGAATGAACATAATGCCTTCTCCAGCTACCTGTCATGGTCCACTCTGCTTTCGTTGTCGTTGTTAGCCGTCCTTGCGTCCTTTGCCTACCTCGATTCGCAGTATCCGTGACTGAAGTACGTCGAAGGCAAAGTACAGTGTTTCATATGAGGTAGCGGGTAAAATACATGCGCGGCCTCTGAATCAGAGGCTGATTTGCCGGCAACAAATCTACGCCAAAAGGGGCACCGTGCATACTGACAGCAACCTTGTACGACGTGAGATTTCGATTCAGCCTCACTACGGTACATGACAGACGACAAGTTGAACACTTCACCGTCGCAAACAGCGGACCAATTTCTTCTTCGAACGGACACTTTGAGGCCACCAATATGTCCAGCACACCAACCTGTGCGTTCTGGCTCCGAGGGAGATGCATGAGAGGAGCCTCCTGCAGATTCAAACACGGAGCGACCTCAGCAGATGAACCAGGCAAGGCGATGCTGGTTGACACTGGCAGGATTCTGGAAACGATCGAGCCTCACAGTCTTCGGGCACATGTCGACAACGACGATGATAGCGTCATCTCCCTGACTGGCTACGAATTCCTCTCGTCGTACAACTGGGTCGACGATGACAACCCGGTCATCTATGTCCCTGGTAGGCAGCGCTATCTTCTTAGGCAGCAGCAGCCTCGCTGATCAGTACTAGGAGCCCCTGCCATTTGGAAAGCCAACGAACCACCCTTCGAGGTCACCAAGGACCAAGGCGCGTACTTCATCGACCAGAACACTGCCCGTTGTGCCACATACCCTGCCGAGGCTCTTTTCCGGTCCCTTGCCGTCATGCAGCCGGACCTGAGCATGCGAGATTTTGACCTCGTCACCGACCGCAACTGCCTCCGCAAGTTATTACGCTTTGTCTGCGCTGACGTGGACCAGACGTTCCGTATCGACGTCCAGCTACAAGGCGACGTCATGTTTCTCTGCCGCTGGGAAGCCGAGCTCAAACGCATCATTCGTGGTCACGAAAACTTTGGCTACGGCCATAGCTTTGAGCACGCCACCACAATCTTCGACAAAGCCATACGTGACAGCACTGGACATCACCGGGTGGTTCGGTACAGCCTTGGAGGCGTCCGATGCTTGGTCCGATACGAGGCGGATGGGTGTACCGACGATGCAGGAGAGGCAGGTGGTAGAGCAAAGACCGCGGAGCGAGACGATACCGGTGATACAGATGATTTGCTCGGGGCATTGGAGTCAATGACAATTGCTCCAGCTCGGGTCAGAAAAGCGAACGGATCTGTGCAAGTGTTGGAAGAGGGTCGCGTGGTGCCTCCGTCCACCATTATCGAAATCAAGACACGAGCATCCCACCGCAGGCTGAAGATCGACGAGGTTCTTCCACAGCTATGGTTTGCACAAACACCGAACCTCTTGGTGGGCTATCACACGAATGGCCACTTCCAGGAAATACACAAGGTTCCGATGGAACCGGAATTCGAACGTTGGGAGAAACAGCATCAAGCCCACCTGAAGAACCTGGTCGCCCTGCTCAAGAAACTCCGCGGATCTGCCCGGTCGACCAAGGGTCAACGATGTGTGGTCGTAGGCATGAGAGGTCGGACTTCTCGGTTGCAGATTTACGAGTCTACCAGAACGAGGGCCGTCTTGCCTGAAGATATTGTCAACCTGCACGAGTGGGAGGAGAAATCACAGTAGCCGCGCAGAAGAAGGATACGGAGTACAGAGTACCCCGTACTTAAGGAGTCATCACCAGCAGATTGGTTACTGTAAATGTGTCTGTGCCAAGAGGCGCAGCACGCGACCCGCGTCTTTCGAAATGAGCCTCGCTCGTCTCCTCATCTCACTTCTTCCACAGCTGGTGGTCCTCAAAGGGGTAATCTCACGAACTGTCATCGTTAATCGTTGAAGCACTCCGCACTGCGTATGGCAGGACCTGAAAATGTAATTTGTCCCCTCAACGGTAAGTCGAGGAAGAGGTGTGTTAACCAGCCGTAGACACCTGTGCCTGGTAGACGTTTCCTTCCAGCGTCCTCTTCCTCTTCGACCACGAAATCAGTTGATCGGCCCTCTGCACGCAGGAACCCATTTTCTAGTTCGCGACCGGCGCCGGTGCCTTCCTCATCCTATCCCGTTGCAACACCGCGCTTCCAACAGTCAACGCAAAAGACAGATGATATCCAGACAAGCTTTGATGACGAAGCGGATAGCCCTCTCTTCAACGGGCGCCTTACCATAGCTTCGGGGGCTTCAGTCGATGTAGTGGACGATGATGAACGCTCTCCTTCGCCACTCTACAACCGGACTGGTGATCTAAGGGTAGACAGCCATTGGCACGCTGAAGACGAATCGTCACCTCTCCAACAGCGACAGGTAGCATTCGCGCATACCGCCAAGAGACGCAAGGTTATACATCCGGGAATCAGTGTCGCTGAGCTCATCAACGATTCTTCCCCGTCCGAAGACGATCGTTCTGACGATGTAGACCATCTGTCTGACGCCGAGTCTCCGGCTTCGTCGTCTGAGCTCGAGGACGACCTCCCATCGGCTGTACGACGCACCCCAAATGAAGAGTCTGGCCGATTTAGCCATTTCAGATCGCTGGCTTCGGAGCCGAATCGACCTGGTCCTAGCTCGAGACCGGCTTTCAGAACAAACCCCGAGGATATCTCACACGGACAAGCTGTCAGTGGGCCAGTGCTACCCGACATATTCTCCCCGTCGCGTCGAAAAGGCAAGAAAGACTATATCCCTGGCGGTACCGCAGATCTGGTCCGAAGTTGGGTGTTAGCTATTCCTACTCAAGAATCTCATGGTCACGGCCAATCACTTTCGGAGGAAGCGTTGTCCATAACCCAAGTAAAGACCGACAGCAGTGGGCGTTTCTGGTTGGCTACTGATGACAATGGCGCACTGTGGCTTCTTCCACATCAGCAAGAGAAAGCCGGAGCTGGCTCTCTTATGTCTCTGTCAACCCTTCGCCCTGGCGCTCGAATTCTGGTCAAAGGTCAAGCGACAAAGTGGAGTCTGAATCTCGACTCTTGTGGGTCGAGCACAGTGACTGTCGCTGCGTATTGGGAAATCGTCCTCCCTGGCTGAACGGTTGAAATATCGAGCAAAAGTCAATGTCATCTTCACCCATGAAAGACACAGTCCAGGAGACGGACTCGTGCCATTGTACGGAGTGGCTGCTAACGGCGCTCGAACGGAGCACGTCTCTATCCCTTCTGCCGGACGAGTTTGCGTTCGATCGAAGACGGGAGGGCCACTGATCTGACACCGTCTTTGGCGCAGACCGGTTTGCGAGACCCTGAAATCCTCGTAATACACGGCTCTCTTTTCGTGCAGAAGGATATCTGGAACGAGTCAACATATCGACGGTGTGACTGCCAAGTTAAGATATTTTCTCTGGAGACGCTGACCATTTCGACAGATGATCATCTAAACACTTTTTGGTCACCACCCGAGGTTCCACGGGTACTTTTTCAAGCCCTTCTCATTCGCTTGCAACATTTTTGCTCACAATATCCATCTCATGGCAACGAATCTGGAAATGGACAACACGTTTCTTGAGTGTCCGGGATATGTTCTTGAAGGAGGAGCTAAGGACGGAGCGTCGAGCATTGAAAATTCTCAGAGAGACCGGGAGAAAGGTCTCCACGTCTCTCCTGCTAATGACCGAGATGGTAGTTACAGTGTTTGCTAGTAACGCGATGGAAGAATTGTCCTCAACTCTGCCAAGGGGAAACCTCAGATCGTGGCGCAGAATCCTCTATGAGGCAGGCCGCCCAACCTACGAAATCGTCAACACCCCCGATCTACTTCCTTCTGGCTCATTGATGGTGGGTGGGCTATATGACCAGCCGTGGCCACTTGTGTGAAGCTCGGCTTATCTGGACCAGAAGCAGTAAGGCTTCCATCACCCTGAGGGCTTGCTGAGCAGTATCGGATGTGTTGAGACGACAGAAGAGAAGATCCTGGAGCTTGCTCTCGCTGCCTTCTTCGCAGACTGCTCGAATCTCTGGGAGAAACAGCATTTATGCCCCGGTTGTGGGAGACGCTCGATCGATACGGTTGCAGTTCGATGCCAAAGGGGGTTACAGTACGCATCTCACAGCACACTCCTCTTAGCAGCACTTCAATCTGCAGCCAGCAACAGCCACAGCCGGCTCGCTCATTCTCTTCGTCGCCTACGCTTGGGCGCCAGTCAAATTTTTCATCAATATCCAGCTGATACGAGACTTTTTGCCGGTCTCGCAGGCGAAGTTCCTGATGCGGTGCAGAGAAGATGTGGAAGGAGTGACCTGGGCAACAGGGACACTATCGAGCAGATTCGCGTCCACCATGTACATGCCGCTGTAGTGGTAACGTAGGACGGAACACCGCACACTACGGAGTACAGGTCTACTTACCTATAAAACCTACCTGAGCACTCTTCGTATCATCATACGTATCCATCCCTGTCTTCTCGTGCTATGGACATCCGGGGATAAGGACTGACCTGCTCCGAAATAGTGTAGTGTGAGGTGTACCGTGTCCATGCTCTACTGTGTCTGCTCACTGTAAGCCAACGGAGACATTTGGACCGTTCGACGCAGCGTTTCGTCCGACGCCTTCGCTTTCGCAGACTCTCTGGCATCCACCGGTGCTAATTACTGCGGTGTTAAGTACTAATTACATAGATTTCTGAGTCTCTCGTAGAATGTATTTCTAAGCTGGCACGCTCTTTTCTATCCTATTACCATCACTGGCTAGTTGTGACGCCATCGGCGAGGTACAGAGGTGCTGTATCGAGGTACTGTATCACGGGCACGGCACATCTCAGGAAAGGCCGGGTGTGCAGTATGTCATTACCACTAGCAAATGGGATGGAGCAGAACATTTTCCTACTACTACTACTCCGAGTAGATTCTTTTCTGGTCCGGTCAAGTACGGAGTCCAGGCCACCACAGATACAGCCATACCTTAATTACCTGCCCCCTACCCAGTCACCGTTGTAAAGGGTCAGGTTTATCCCGTCCGGTCTGTAGAGGCCGATGATTCGTCTCGTCTACCGTGTACACGCGCGTGTCGTCCGCCGGGTCTTGTCCTTTGTCCTTGTCCTTATCCCCGAGCGTGAGTACTCACTCGTGTGTGAATGTATCCGACCGCGACGGCCTGGCTATAGTCACTCGATTGGTAAGGTCAGGTCAGCATCATGATGTCTTGTATTTATACCCAGCTCCCACCCACCACCCTTTCTTGCCCTTTGGCCCCCCCTCATCCCTCGTCACATAGTCTTTGAGTATCGTGTCGCATCTCTTTGGAGATAGTCGCGAAAGTTTCATCCATTCATCTCATCGAAACCATGTCCAAGATCTTGCTCATCCTCGGCTCGGGCGCCAGAGTCGGAGCTCACACCGCCAAAGCCTTCGCCGCGCAGGGGTATAGAGTCGCGAGTGCGTCTCGCACGGCGCCCCAGACGCCCGACGGTTCGCATCTGCACGTCACTGTCGATCTGTCCAAGGCTGGGACCGTGCCCGAGGTGTTTGAGAAGGTTAGGCAGGAGTTTGGCGGCGAGCCGAGCGTGGTGGTTTATAATGGTGAGTGAGTGAGTGAGTGAATGAGTGTGTGAGTGCGTGCGTGCGTGGCGGTGGAAGGTGACGCATGCGGTTGTTGCGTTCAATGCGCTTCGTGCCTGGCTGGACTGTCATGCGTGAGCCTCGCCCGACGTCTGGGGTCGAATATCCCTGGGCCCGGACGGAATCTCCACGACGAGAGGAAGAGGGAGGACACGGGAAGAAGACCAAGCTTGTTACGGCCGTGACTATGGCTAGATATGGTCGTGGGCACTTCAACAGATGCCGTCGAGCAGAGGAACGGGCCAACAGGACCAACATTTCTTCTTTCGACGCCATTACACTGCCTCTCAACCAGATATCACTTCCTTCTCCTTCTACTGCTTGCTCTGGGAAGACCCGATGACCACTACTGACCACCCGCCTCACCGCGTCCAGCTGCGTTCTTCAGCCCCGACCCACCCGACAGTCTCTCCGTCTTCACGCCCTCGAGCATCAGCCACTATGAAACGTCGCAAGCCGTAAACTGCACGTCGGTGCTGGTCGCCATGCACGAAGCGACAAAGGCGTTCCGCAACGCCGGCCCGGACGCCTCCAAGACCTTCATCTTCACGGGAAACGCGCTCAACACGGCGACCTTGCCACAAATGCTGATCTTTGGACTGGGAAAAGTCGTCCCCTCGTACGCGATCAAATACGTCGTCGAGCAGAATGCCTACAAGGATGATGGGATCAAGTGAGTTTTGCTTGCCCCACCCACACACTCTCTCTCTCTCTGTCGATCGTATCCAGGGATTTGCCTGGCTGTGGGGGGCTATGTGTGTTTGTGTATATGCGATCGGTGGTTCGTGAGAGGTCAACGGCTTTCAACTACCTGCTATGAGCCACCAGCTCTCAGCTCAGCTATCACCTTTAGCTCCAACGCTGACTGTCTTGTCCGCTTGCTCGAGTCTAGGTTTTACTATGCCGACGAACGTACTATCGAAGGCGCACCCGCGTACAGAGATATCTCCGGCGAGGCCCACGCGGAGGAGTACTTGAAGCTTGCCGACAGGAAAGACCAGGGTCCTTGGTGGTACACGTTTGTCAAGGGGACCGGGTATAAAGACTTTGAAGGGAAAGTGAAGTTGTGAGTGAGTGCTAGGAACTAGGTGGAGGCGCAAATGAAAATCGAGGTGAAGATGAGATAAAGACAGAGGTGAAGATGAGATAAAGGCAGAGGTGAAGATGAGATGAAGACAGAGATGGAGATGAAGATAAAATACTGGCGGGCTGGCTGGCTGTGGAAAGGGTGACAGACGGGACCCAGCTCGACAGACACCCGGCAACCCGAACGCGATGAACCAAAGCCCCGGCGTGGATCATGCCTAAGGGAGGAAAAGGAGGAATCGTTCAAGGTTGATCATTTGATCATTTGATCCATGCCAACCCGAGCTGCAAGAAGCATAGTAGAGCACAGTAAAGCACAGCACTGCACTGCACTGCACAGCACAGTACAACAAATAACATACAAGCTTTGACACTGCGAAGGCAGAACTAGATTGTCTGCTCTGCTCTGCTCTGCTCTGCTCTGCTCTGCTCTGCTCTGCTCTGCTCTGCTCTGCTCTGCTCTGCTCTCCAGTGCTGCCAGGATTCCACCGAGCACGGCCAGGCCAGGCCAAGCCTGACTTGGCCTTTGACGTGGGTACCTTCGTTCGGCCCCCTAACGCACATTCGCGAGGCAGCGATGTAGTGCTTCCCTCCGTGCGGTGGAATCATCGTGCCGCGGGGACGGAAGAGTGAGAAGGCGTACTTCTGTAGCGTACAGAAACTTGTCTCGTCCCAGCCTTTTTACTACTACTACTACTACTACTACTACTACTACTACTACTACTACTACTACTACTACTACTACTACTACTACTACTACTACTACTACTACTACTCTAGGTCCGTCCCTGCTCCGCCACTTTCATCCACATTCGAGCAATGCATTAGTTTCAAAGGATACCCCTTGTCAGACGCGAAGACGACATGTATGTAGGCTTCCAGCCTTCCAGGCTTCGTTGCGTTACAAGACACTGGCACGGCACTGTGAGGCGAGGAAGAGAGAAAGGACTATGTAGGTAGACCACGCGTAACGTTGAGTCTGAGCCTGAGTATGAGCCTCAGTCCCATCGTGGCGTAAGCCGTCGGTGTCGGCGTCGGGCGCAGTTGGAACTGTGACTTGTACAATAACATAACTGGAAGTGCAAGAGAAACGGGGACAGGAATATTTACCTCTTCTATATCGAGAGTCTTCACAAGAGCATGACTGTGTACAGTTCAATGAAGGAGAGAGCAAGGAGAGGGAGGGGAGGAAATGAACACTCAGTCTGCCTCGTGGTCGTTACAAAGCATCGCTATCATTGCTATCATTGCTATCATGGCTATCATGGCTATCCTTATATTCTATCCAGCACAGCTTCAATACAGTAACTCAACTCGACGCAAGCTAATATTAGTACTGTTAATCATATCAGGCAGGCAGGCAGGATGTAAGGCAGGATAAGGCAGCCCTTGTGCGCCCGACTAGCCGGTGGGTATCTTTGATATTTCAACAGGAAGACAGGCTCGCTTGAATCCGGCCCGGTGCAGTCTGGACACCCCTTCACTGTGCTCCCTCTGCGTCGTAAAGTCATGTCCTGCGTGAACTCCGTTTGTCGTCAGGCAGGTTCTCTCTGGTCATTGTCTCGTCTTGCTTGTCGGCCTTGATGTGCAGACTATCAGGGGTGGCGGCAGCACTCGGTAGTAGTGTGCCCCTAGCAATGAACTGCTCTTGGTCGTTGTCATCCTGTCAGTACGTGTGGGCTCTTCTTCTGCAGCGCCATGTCTTGTACTTTTTCAGGCCGTCGGTGCTTGTCATTGCCGCGTCTTCGTTCCGAGGGCGGGTTCAAAGGCACCCAGGCTCTTAGCTTGGATTGAAGCGAATGTCTTGGTCGGATACGATGAGACGGATTTGGTAGAGTAAAAGAAATCATTCCACCTCTTGAGACTCATTTGGTCGGCGAGCGCGGGTGATGTACAATGGAAGACTGTCGAAGGTCTTACTTCCCACCACGGCCACAGTCCGAGGAAGTGAACACAGACTCCGTGACACCCAAGGTCAGATCCGAAGAATAAGTGGACTCAAAATTGCAACAGGTTAGAATTGAAAGTCGTCAGAATGCGTCTCTCGATATGATGGCTGATGTGGAACCGGCAAGCCGTGGTAAGTTTGGGCCATGGAAGAGGCGTAGAAAGGACCCATGTCATGGTTTGTAGTGTACATCGGCGACATGATATGGCTGGTTGTGTATAGCCCGCTCATGCCAGCGTGGGTCGCATACACGGGAGAATGAGGTGTCATCCTGGGAGCCACAAACTCCGGCGAGAGAGAGCCACGATGTGCCATGTTGGCTTCGGACGAATCACCTTGGGTCTGCTGGGCTTGGCTTGGCCTGCGCTGATATGGATGGTTTCGTCTCCCTTTCGTTTTGTTGGCGAGATTGTGGAGGCCGTTTCGGGGACGTTGGGTGGTCGACGGTTGGTAGTCATCCTCTACGAAGAAGCTGTCTTCGGCCTCTTCGTCTGACGAGGCTTGGAATTCTTGCTTAAAGTCTTGGTCGCCCTGACCTCCGAGGCTCAGCTTTCGAGAACAGGCAGCATGCAGCAGCTCGACGGTAGAATCTGTGGACGCGAGATCTTCTGCCGAGCTGTTTGACCCGTTGCTGTCTTCGTTCGAATCTTGCTCCTTCCTTTTGACTTTGTTGTGTCTTTTAGCAATGAGTTCCATGTGGAAGCCTCGGAGGTGCTCAGTAAGATGATCTCGCCTGGTGAAGCCTTGCCTCCCTTTCCTCTCACAGTTTCTCTTGGGACAATCAATGTATGTAATGTCGTGGCGGGACTTGTGGTGCCTTGTGACATCGGCTTTGCGGCTGAAGAACTTTCTGGGACGCCCGTGCTCGTCTAGGCAGTCTTGATGTTGACAGAACATACGATCGTCGACAATGGTCCTGCCAACTCTTAGTATGTCGCTCGCAGGTACGCGACAAAGCAGCGTCGACCAGTACGTGAAAGAGGAAAGCCGTGAGGTTGTAGACCACGCAATTTCCCCACTATGAAGGAGAGACGAGCAGATCAGTACTTACTTGACGTTAGCGAGGCACTTTGCTTTGGTTCCTTCGACAGACAGGGGCTCCTGCTTGACTTGCTTAGAGTATGGTTGTTTAGGAGAAGTTGATGTTAGTCCTTCTGTTTGAGTGATCTGGTCACCGTGTGTTGCTTGACAATGTCTTCCGGCTCCACTCAGCAGGAGGAGAGGGGAAGTGGGTGCCGTTGCCGGGCTGACAATAGTGTAGCCCGCGCTGGCGGTACTCGCTCCGCTACCGCTTCGACCCCTCGCCCTGGTCGAATTGCTGGAGATGGCATAAGTTTCTCCCTGAGGATAGTCATGGGGCGCGAAAGTCGGGAAATAGCCAGGATGAGGGGCTATTGATCGTGGAGTGTAGTAGCTGCTGCCTCGATTCCAATGTTCCTGCTCGTATGCCATCGTAGTCGGCAGACTCATAGACATACCAGATGGTGCAGTGGAAGCCATAGAGAATGTATGTTGGGCTAGGAAGACGTCCTGAGTGAGCTGCCCACGGCCGAAGTCATGGTGCCCAAGAGTTGCCATGGCACTCGCACGACTGCTAGAATCCGAAGAGGCAGCCTCTGTGATTTAGCAGATGATAACCAAGAACGCTCGACTCCAAGCAGGAACAGCAGATGCCCAACGAAACGATGCCCAAGACAAATGTCGCAGACAGCTCAAGCCGGGGGTTTCAGCCTCATGCGAACGCTGAGTCGAAGGTCAGAGGAGAAGAGCTCTCTGAAGTATTCTCCCGCCAAACTCCGCTTCGGGAGACGAGGCAAACTCATACTGTGCTGTGAAGGGACGCTGTAACGTGTAATTGGCGAGAGCGGTACACAGAGAGAGAGAGAGCAGGGCTGGCAGGCTTGGGACTGTGACCCAGAACGCTCTCTTGCCGACCCTGTCCCGGAGCCCAATTAGAGTCCTGGACAGTACGGCTGATTGGCAGGGGGTGGAACACCTCCAAGCTGTACGATGCAGATTTAGCGCGAAACGATACACGGTTCCGACATGACGATCGGGACAGGGAGCCACATGATACTGTTTGCAAGAGACCACAGACCAAACTAGCAGCCAAGCTCTTTCCCTGATGCTTCTCGTGTTCGGTGGATTTAGGAGTATAATAGGCGGCACAGTCTCTTCGAGAATACTCAAAAAGCCAATCATCCCCTTCACGCGGCTGGTGAGGCTGTCCCGGGAGGCTGCGCCCGCAGCATTGCTTCCAGTTCCTGCTGGACCATCATGATTCGTGCAAGGAACCAGGTGAGTTGAGGGGCCTCGTCAAGCCGTCACAATGCATGTTTGCTTCTATTCATTGTGAGGCAGTTAGCATCATCGGAGTCGCGGCTCCCTTGGTAACACTGCCTCAATATTTGAATTGTCCGCCGCACGCCGCTGTGGGCCAGATAGGGAAGAAGGTGGCCCACGAGGTGGACTTCAAGCCTGGTGGAGCGGGTTAGGCGAGCAGTCGCGACAGAAAGATAGCGGAAGATGGTATCGAGGGTATGGACCTTGACAGCCCCCAAAGTTGGGGAGCTGACTAGGTGGAGAGGAAGCCCGAAACTCCCCCAAGGGCAGTTGAGGAGGGAGTTTCAGAGTTCACCCGCGGCAAGAAGGCTGGCTGTGCTGCAATGAACCTCTTCACCAGAGCAGCAGGTTGCCTTTTTCCTGCGGCCCAAACGCTCTGTGGGTGGGATTGAAATTGCGAACTACGAGGGACGGAGAAGGAAGTTGAGGCTGAAGCTCGTCATGGCGTCGGACGTCATTGGCCGATACCCGCGCTAGGCCCATCCGGGACTAGGTGGTTGCCTCTTTTTACCTCCACAGCCGCGTTGTTTGTCTTTAGTACAGGCTCGCAAGGCAAACTTGGATGTGTAGCACCAGAGTGAGGCGAGGCGAGGCGAGGCGAGGCGAGACACGGGCTTCCAGGCTGCCATCTGCACGTGGGAGTACATCACCGGGCTCAAGCGAGTGAAACGCAACTATCACCTTGCACAGCACGCCCCAGCATGGTCCCGTGTAGGGCAGAACGGAGTCACTCTAGGCGACGGAAGACGCATGGATACCCCAGAACGAGTTGCAGAATGAGAGCTCTGTTGACTCTTGAGGAGGTGACAGCCAACCTCCAGGTTCGCAAATTAAGAAGTATGCGACGTGCCGACGGGCAGCGTGCCGCCGAGTGATCGACTACAAATCATCTTCGAGAAACTTGTACACGAACTTGAAGTCTGCTTTCCGTCGGTTCATCCTGCCGCAAGTTAGAAAACGATCGTCACTGGGTCTGGGTCGACACCTACCAGGTGCTCTCATAGTCGAAGAAGCGATATGTCCCTTGCTCGAACTCCTCCGTGATCTGCTTGGGCTCTTCGTGCCGCTGGAACCAGGTCTGGTACTGCTTGTGGAATCGCCAGCTTTGATTCTTGAGCGCGCGCGCTGCCAGCCACTGCTGATATGTATTCTGCCGATAGTAGAATATGTAGAACAGCGTGTCGGTTTCCAGCCGCTGATTCTCATACAAGGCTGGGTCGTCAAAAATGGGTAGTGGGTCTTGAGGATAATGCGCCGGGGTGTTGTACTTGAAAGTTGGTCGGTAGTACTGGGGTCTGTCGCTATCAGCAGGCTCTGGACACGTCTCCTGAGAAGCTTGCAGTAGCCTCGCCAATTGTGAAGGCGGCTGTGCAGCTCGAGTCTTTGTGGTCTCGAACGAGTCCAGCAGATCTTGAAGTCCAGGAGGAAGATGGTAGATGGACTCCACCGCCGACGGGTCTTCATGGACGTTGCCATTCGTCGTGGGAATCTCGTCCGCAATAACGGGTTCTTGGACTGCCTCGGAATTTTCCATTGCTGGTGTGGGAGGAATGCTGCTGGGAACGCTTGGGGCCGGAGCACTGGTGGAGCTTAAGGTTGGAGACTTGGAGTGATTGGATTGCTCTTGTGATGCTGAACCATCCATGCTCACCGCGGCAGGTGCTGGCGAGGCAGTCTTCTCCACCGGCTGCGCTGGCACCGAGGCTGGCGAAGTGGCTGCAGATGTCTTGACAGGGGCAGGCAGTGGATGTGATGGTGGTGCGGAAGACGTCGCGACTGGTGGAGGAAGGGGAGCGATACCCACTCCACTCTTGTCGCTTGCTGCTGCTGCGGCCGCAGCTGAGGCGTACTTCAGAGTCTCTCCGGGCGGTCGATTGGGGATCGGCGCAGGCTTCATTGTGGTGTCTTTGGGTATTGACGGTGGCGGTGGCATAGTGTTCAACGTTGCCAGTGCTGGCAGAGGTGACTTGAGTTGAGTAGAAGGTCGACGTACGGCTGTATGCGGCTCGGACTTTGTCTTCTTGAGCGGATTTGCCTCGGGCTCGACGTCTTCTTGGATCGACTGGGTATCTTGAGACGATATCCTGTCGACATCGTTGTTTAGACCAAACTGGGCCTCCTCACTGTCGAGATTACAGTCATCGTAGATTCCTTCGTAGGCGTCGGGATCGAAGTCCGGCTCGCGGCCCTCCCTGACCACCTCTTCGATGTCGGATTTGATTGCTGCCACCAAATCATTTTCGACGTTGCCGTTCTGTAGCGACCGTAGCAGCAGTTGTAGCCTTGATTCATGCCACTTGTATGTGTCTGTCATGGTCTCGATTTCGGCCAGTCGGTCGGCTTTGGAGTTGTCCTTCTGTTTCTTCTTGAGAGCGGCTTGCAGATTGCCGGCTTCGGGCTCCAACTCCTCAGTCAGGATTCTGTTGATCTCGTCCAATTGATCGGATAGGAAGTCGCATAGCTCCTCCCGCTCCCGCTCCTTCGGGTCTTGCTTGACGTTCTGCGACAGCCCCTCCTTCGAGAAGGCTTTAGTCTTCATCTCCTTCTCGACGGCTTTGAATATCTCCATGCACTGTCATCAGTGTCAGTCAGTCGCTTCTTGGCCGTGTATTGCAACCTTAGAGGCTCACTTTTTCTATCCGCTTGCGCTGTTCCAGCAGGGCAGACTTGTCCTTGATCTCATTGCCGGCCGCCCACGTCTTGATCTGGTCCCGCGATCTCTGCAGTTTCTTGATCTCTTTCTTGAGGTTGTCTTCCAGTTTGTCCTTCTGGGCGGCATTTTGGGAGGAGTAGATCTTCTCGTAGATGGCCTCGAATGCCTGGATGCCCTCGTCGACCTTCTTGAAGGTCTTGTCGATTTCTTGTTGCGTCTTCCGTGATGCCATGGTTGAGTCGCAGAGGTAGAAGGGACGGATCACAGATCTACTGCGGGACTAGGGAACGCATCGGATGTTTGGTCGTTGGAATGGATTCACAGCCTGGCTTCTCCTTTGATACGCGCTCTTGTTCACATCAGTTGCGGCACCGCCAGCCGCAGAGCGCAGCAGGTTCGCAGCCTGACTAGTCCGTTTCTGGACTAGTCTATTTCTTGGCGTCATTCGGATCACGCTTTTCCTTTTCCTTCACACAGGCATGAGAAATGAGACAAAAGGCACAGTGAGTCAAGGCAAGGAGTTTTGCTCATCTCATCTTCATCGAATTCTCACTTGCGGTTACAGATGCCCACAAGCTACCGGCGGATGTGAGATACATGGTCCTGCAGCTATCCCCCTTGCTCATGTGACTGCTAAGGCCAGTGTATCTGCCGGTCACATTCTTCTTGCTGTTTTCGAAAGCATGAGGTCGTGATCACTATTAGTCTGCATCGGCTTCTAGCATCCAGACGCGTCTGTGCTATCAATCGCGTCCCAAAGGATCACTCCGCCCGTGTGACCAGGCTCACCAAGATGAAGGCCATCTTGCAGCGAGTCTTGTCGAGCTCGGTGACAGTCAATGATCAGCTGGTCTCGTCCATTGGCAAAGGCATACTCGTCTTGGCTGCAATTGGACCAAATGACACGAGGAGGGATGCGGACTCCATGGCGTCGAAGATCGTCAAGATGAAGCTCTGGCCGGACGAGAGCGGGTCCCATTGGAAGAAGAGTGTCAAGGACGTCGAGGGAGAGATTCTTTGCGTCTCGCAGTTTACCCTAATGGCGAATACACGCAAGGGGAACAAGCCCGACTTCTACGGAGCTGCTAAGCCAGAGTTCGCCAAAGAGCTCTATGACTATTTTGTGAACCGCGTTAGAGAGTTGCATGGTGTCGATAGAGTCTCAGACGGTGTCTTCCAGGCAATGATGCAAGTTGCCCTTGTCAACGACGGCCCAGTAAGACCTTCCTCTATTAACCACCACGGGATGTAGGTATGTCGATGCTGAATGAGCCAGGTCACCATCGAGATAGATACCAGTCCACCGAAGAAGGACACCCCGACCATCTCCGAGGCTGGCACTGGGACGTCGACACCAGCCCTGGTGGCAGAGCAGGATACCAGGTGACCTGCGGCGATATCGATGGGAATATTGTTCCTAGTCTTTCAGCATGCGCACCAGCTCGACAGACTCGCGTCGCCCTCGAGCTCTCCTCGGTCTAGATTCTTGCCGTCAGCTAATGAGAAGGAGAAGTCCGCCCGCGCACGAACAAACCACGAACGCGTCCCTCACGCAATTCGGCGGCGCTCGAATCCTCCACCACTTCTCACGTATCTCCTACGTAACTTCAAGACTCCTCCAGGCACAGCGGGGAAGCATCGTCCGTTCGTCCAGCATGGCTGCCCTTCCTGGTCTAACCGAATGGCCATTATTGGACCTCAGAATTGTCTTATCTGGAGTCCACAAGAGCACCAAGGACCTTCCACCAAATCGATGACGGAGGCGACATGCAAGCCACGGACAAGTGCCTATCACTATCATGAGGGGTAATAGGGTAATAGGTATGCTGATGCCTCTGGCCCCGCAAAGTAAACACAATGTTGATATGAGAGCTGGATCTAGCTTGCCCTGCCACGAGTACTCGTAGTTGAGCTCCCCTCCGTCCATCCAGTTTGTTACAAGTCCTTTCGATCACCAGTTCGCAGCCCTACTCAACGTCTGCAGTCATGCCAGGCCCAATCAGAACCGCGCTCAAGGTCGATCTCGACAAACCGGCAAAGGACCAACCATATCTGCATGTGAGCAGCATGGGTTCCCGGACCGAACACCCGTAACAGTGGCTGACGCAGAACTACAGAACAGATGGCATCCTGATGGTAAGCTCGGCGGCGACACAGCTCCCGTCATCTGACTAAGGTCGCCCACCAGTCCCATTCTGCGGAACCATCAAGAACGGAGAGACGGTCAAGATCGAATGCCTCGACTGGACAGGCGGACAGATCAAAAATACCGACGACGCCGACGACATCGTGAACGTCGATCTCACCCAGGTGCACTACCTCTCCGGGCCTTTCGAGATCGAGACGGCCGAACCAGGCGACGTGCTGCTGGTGGAAATCCAGGACGTGCAACCTTTCGAGCACCAACCCTGGGGCTTCACGGGCGTCTTCCACAAGGACAACGGGGGTGGCTTCCTCGACGAGATCTATCCGGAGGCTGCCAAAGCAATCTGGGACTTTGAGGGCATCTTCTGCTCGTCACGCCACATCCCCGGCGTGCGCTTCGCCGGCCTCATCCACCCGGGCATCTTGGGCTGCGCGCCGTCCCCCGAGATCCTCGCCGAATGGAACAAGCGCGAAGCGGAGCTCATCTCGACCACCTCGCTGCAGCGCATTGTCGCCCAGCCGCCCGAGCCCCAGAACGTGCACGCCGGCAGCGCCGACGAAGACACAAAGGCCAAAGTCGGCAAGGAAGGGGCACGCACCATCCCCGGCCGCCCCGAACACGGCGGAAACTGCGACATTAAAAATCTGTCGCGCGGAAGCAAAGTCTATCTGCCCGTGCATGTCAAGGGCGCCAAGTTCTCCGTCGGAGACCTGCACTTTTCGCGTACGTGGTGACCCTCCTACTACCCTGCGGTGCTTCTCCCCCCATCCAAACCCACAAATGCTGTACTGTATGCAACATGCACACGCTCGCAAGCTAACTACGCACAACAGAGGGCGACGGCGAGATCTCGTTCTGCGGCGCCATCGAGATCGCCGGCATCATCACCATCAAGTTCGAGGTGATCAAGGACGGGCAGAAGAAACTCGGCATGCAAGGAGGGAAATCGCCCATCTACATCCCTGGGCCTGTGCAACCGTAAGTCGAGTTGTTCTTAAGACAGCGTTTGCGTTTCCGAGCCCGTTTGAATCCCATCCTCTGATGATCATTCATCACTCATCACTTATCATCCATTGTTTTATTGTTCTTTTATGTTTGTGCCTTGTGTTTCTGCATTTAGATTTCGCATCCAGTCCTAATGAGCACACCCCCTAATCTATGACGGCACTAACGCCGCGCGCCCTCCCCGCGCCCCCTTGGTCCAGACAATTCTCCCCAGGCCGCATGCTCTACTTCGAGGGCTTCTCCGTCGACGAGCACGGCAAGCAGCACTACATGGACGCGACGGTCGCGTACCGCCAGTCCTGCCTGCGCGTCATCGAATACCTCCGCCGCTACGGCTACTCGGACTACCAGATCTACCTGATGCTGAGCTGCATCCCCATCGAGGGCCACGTCGCGGGGATCGTGGACATCCCCAACGCCTGCACGACCATCGGCCTGCCTATGGATATTTTCGATTTTGACATCAGTCCCGGCGCGGAGGCCACGGCGAGGGACCTCGGCAAGTGTGCCATGGCCACGAAGTGAGGCTGGGCGTTGCAGCGATACGAGGTCCATCACGATAGGGAACAGATGACATGGTAGGATTAGTGGGACCAGGACTTGTAGGACGGGATGGTTCAGTGCAGTACTGCCGGTATCATTGTTGCAGTAATTAGCAAATTTGATTGCATTTCAACCTCATTGTGACTGTCTGAACACTAGCTGCTGGCTAGAGCTTCCTCGTTTGCCGTGGGTGCGTGACCTGGACCAGGCCGAGGCAGGGAGGCATTGCCATGCTCATTCATTTCCTTGCATGATCATTCTCTCGTCATCTCTCCACAAGCCGTCGTGTCTCGTCGCGCATTGCTGCTATGGGTCATGAATGCAAGGTGTGTGTGCTTTTCTTACCAGCCAGCATCAGCGAAACCAGCTGCCGCAGTGTTAGGCTGCGCAATCTCCCACTCAGCTGGCGCAGAGCTAGCGTTGGCAGGGGCATTCCAACCGCCACCGTCAGCACCGCTGTCGACTGTATCGAAGCCACTCGCGCCGGCGACTTGCTTCTCCCCGGGATCGGCCTCAGGGCAGCGAGCACGTCCGTGGCCTTTCTGCTGACACTTGCTGCACGTGACCTCGGCCCAGTTGATCTTCTTGCGCGGCATGGGGCATTCCTGGAAATGTGTCAGCGGGCGAGAAGCGAAATGATGAGAAATGTAATAAGCGGGGTTTGGAAGGGGAAACCCACAGCTCGTATGTGACCCTCCTCGCCGCAGTTGTTGCAAGTGATCTTCTTCGGGTTAGGGCAGTCGGCGGCCTTATGGTCCTCCTCACCACAGTTGCGGCAGGTGCGCTTCTCCTTGTTCGGACAGTCCTGCACAGACACATGGTTAGTTGGTTGTAAGAGCGTCTGGAGAGTGGCAGACATGAGATGTACCTTGGCCATGTGGTCTTCGGATTCGCAGATCTTGCAGGCACGACTGGTGCTCTTGCGCTCCATGGCGCAGTCACGGACACGGTGGCCTTGTTCACCACACAGGTAGCAGGCGACGACAGGCTGGACGCTGGCCATCTTCTCATCAGGGCAGCGACGAGCAGTATGTCCCAGCTTGTTGCAGTTGCTGCACTTCTCAACGCCACGGTTAAGAGGAATCCCAGCATCGGCCAAACGAGCGAGGTTCTCTTCTGCAGAAGCAGGCCATTTGTCGACCAGCGCTAGACGCTCAGGCTTGTCCGAGAGGAAGTAGCTGACTGCGTACTTTTTGCCGATGTCGCCTTGCAGGTTGACGTTGGTCCATGTTTCCATCCCAGCCGCGGCATGATCTTTCTCCATCGCAATCAGGTAGATGCTGAACTCGCGGGCGCGGAACTCTTTCTCAAGCTGGGGGTAGGTGTAGTCTGGGCAGGCCTTGGAAAGGATCTGGACTGCTTCTTTGAAGTCACCAATGTCGCGCTCCTCGCTGGCTTGTTGAAGCAGGGCCCACGCTTCATCCTCGCTCTTCTCGGCCACGCGAGAATTGTCGAGAACCTTGGCGTTCTTGCAGTCGATGGCTACATGGCCTGGGATATGAACCGAGTCAGCGCATTTTCCAAGAGAGAAGGCTCGCTTGGCTCAACTCACCTTCCTGTTGGCAATTCTTGCATGTAACGACACGGGTAGGGCAATCGCTAGCCATGTGGCCTTCCTGGTTGCAGTTGCGGCACTCGCCTTTGAATTTGCGAGGTTCGGTGCAATCGGCTTTGGACTGGGAGGAAATGTGAGTCCAGTGACCGGTGCAGGCAACAATAGGTTCGACTTACGTGACCTTCCTGGCCCTGTGACGCGTCAATAGTCTAGAAGCAGGGGGGATGTCAGCTATGGGTTGACTTACGCAGTTGAAGCAAGCACCCATTTTGCGTGGCTCTGTGCAATCGCGGGCGAAATGACCCTCTGGAGATCATTAGCCAGGAATCCTGCATCTGTTCAGATGGGATTCAAACTTACCTAGACCGCAGTTGCGGCACGCACGGTCATTGTTACCACCATCGCCAGCAGCATCAGCTCCGAAGCCATCGTCACCTGTAGCTGCCACAGCGTCAAGAGTGCCGTCATTCCAACTTGCAGCACTAGTATCCCAGTCCTGGTTGGCTGGAGACTCAAGTCAGCGTTCGTTCACTGGTGAGATAGCAGTGGGGATGGGCTCTGACAGGGTTTAGGGGTTTCTTCAATCATCCAGAGGTCAGGGTACTTGAAGCAAGGTTTGGTAGAACGCTTGTTTTTGCTGAAAAGAAGACTGTACATCATGGTGCTCTCTCAGGCGGTTGTGAGGTGGAGGAAGAAACGAAACGGGGGCTTACCTGGTGCCGCAGCGGTATTGTTCCAGCCGCTCATTTTGTGTACTTGAATAGACGACGTCGCAGACTAGTAATGGCAAGAATAATGAAGACGGGGTGAGGACGAGACGAGGGAAAATTGAGCGGCAGGAAGCAAGACACACCAATCTCAATCTCAATGTGGGTGAATTGCAGTGGCCGGGCTTGGCATTACACGCGACGACAATGCCGTCGCCGTGCAGACGATGCTTCAATGGTCTCAGTGTCGAGGTACCTGTCTTCAGGAGGTCCGGCAGCCCGCGGTCAATCAGTCGGTCGTCTCGCGTGCCTAACAATGAACACGCGGTGGCTGGCGGACACTCATCTCAACATCACAACATCCATAGAGCTCCATCCTCAGTATATCCCTCCTCCTCCTCATTCTTCAGCTGGTAGCAGTGCTGGAGGGCAGACGCAATGCCCGATGTGAACCCATGATCAGCAAACGAAGTAAGAACGGCACTGTGGGCAAATCTGCCTTTGTGCTGCCAGTGTTTTTCAGAGCAAGTCATCAGTGAGCGAACACAATGCAGCATGTGTATTGCCCAGCATCTTCCTCAGACGAGCATCGTAACCGATATCGTCTCTGACGAGCTGGATGGAACGAGGTGCTGAAAGTCCATCCATCACCCAGTAGGTAATTCTGCCATGAGTCGCATGAGACGCTCGCCCTCCGCAATCACTTTTGATCATTCAATAGCACAAGAATATTCTCTGAGAACTCCATGGCTACTATCCTAGATCAATGATGCATATTTGGTCCCGATAGCAAGGCAACGCAGAACATAATCAACGTTGGCGAGGCCACACTCAAGCATAGCTTGCGAGTACGGATTAGGAATAGTCAGGGGTAATCTCGGAATTGATTTCCGTCACAAACCCGGCGAATTTCGTCGTTGAAAACTGTTGTGGGTCACGGCCTCAAGAGCGCTGGCTTCCACATGTAGGAGCTGTTTGCTCTTGCGAGCATAGTGAATGCAATGGCAGCGTTCCTGCACATGAACTTGAGTGCTTGATGACTTGCGAGATGTGGATTGAATGATGGTTCGAATTAGCAGAAAAGGAACACGAATGAAGGAGACAGTAGGTCTAGGTCGTGGGAATTGGATCTCTCCCGTTGAAGAGGACAGAGCAACTTGATAATAATCACTACCCGACTATCCATCACTCCTACTAGACCATCACTCCTCTAATTCCAGCTCCCGCCGTTAAACAAGACACCGAGGAACCCCCCCTTTTTCGCCTTTGCTGCAGCTTGCTTTGCTACTCCGGCTCGTTGAGACATCTTCTCCTCTCTCACCGTCGGCCTATAATTGACCGCATTCCTCCTTCCGCCTGTGCCTTTCCGAACAAATGTCTTCTCGTCACTGGCTTTCCCGCGCTCGGTCTTGTTCGTGACGACTCCCGTCGCAGACACATTCTCGTCTCTGCCTGCCATGCTTCCCAAGCTTGAATTCGTGGTTGCTCGTCGTAAGAGAGCGGGTACTTTGCTGAAAGAGCTGTTGGTAGAAGATGTCGACGTATAGAATGCCATTTTGGTGCTACCAGAAGAGCCAGAGGAAGATTGCTGACGGAGCATGCTTAAACGATTGACGACGTTGACTCGTTCCTTGGTACGGCGGTCCGAGAAAGGCGCGCGAGAGTCGGAGGCGGGCAGGGCGGGCTTTTTGAACATCGTTTCTTCCTCGGCTTGGCCGTCATCGTCGTCGTCCACGATAAAGTCGCCGAGATCATTTGCGTCTGCAGCATTCTCATCTGCTTCGGCAGCTTGGAGATGGCGATCGAGGTCAACATACGCTTCGGCGTCGTCTTCTGAGTCCGAGAGGCCTAGATCAACGGTCCCTGCTTGGGAGTCCGGCTCCTCAATGAGGAAGAAGACGGACTCGCGAATCTCAGCCAAAGTTCCCGGTTTTCTGTTGATATGTATGCCGTTTCGACGACCCACGTGTACGCCTTGATTCAGCTTTGACGCTGCTGTAGCCGCAAGTGGCAGGTTAGCTGTATCGCTCGATCGCTGAAATGTATTGTCCTCGGCCCTTTGCCTCGACTGTATATTCTGGCTATCCGTCCCCTCTGAGTCCCCCTCGGGCTGGGTTTCTGGGCGTTCAAAGTCGTCGTCGTCGTCACTGTTCGGCCGGTCCTCGATGCTCCGGAGAAAGGCTTCTTTCTTCTTATCTTCAGCAATCTTCCCCACGGCTTCGTCCTTCAGCAATTCCCGGCGCATCTTGGCGAACTCTCTTCTCTTCGCTTCTCTCCGTCGCATCAAGGCATCTTCCTCGTCCGACAAGTCCAGGTCATCGTTACCACGCTTCCGCCGCAGTGCACCGGTCGTGATGTCCTTCAATAGTTTAGAAACGGCGGCCTCATCCTGCTGACGTTCCCGATCCGCAAAGAGCTTGGCCAGTTTAGCTTCATCTCCAACTCCAACCTGCGTGTCTTCATCAATCATCCTTCGATCATCCTCGTTCTCCTCGTCGTTGATCTCGTCATCGCTCGCTCCACCAAGGCCGGCATATTCATCTTCGGACTCTTCTGCGGCATCATCAACTGCTTCACGTGCTCGCGACTTCTGCTTATCAAATGCTTCCCGAGACTGCTTGGCGGCGGCGCGTTGCATCACAACGAAAGCTGAAGAGTCTTTCGCCTCCGCTGCTTCGTCATCTGAATCATTCATCGTGGCACGGCCGCGTCTAAGTCTGCTCTTTCTCTGCATGATGGGGCTATCTTGCAAATCATTGGCCAAAACGATAGTGTCCACACTGGAGTGTGGCAGGGGGTGTCGAGGGGTCTCGGTCGCGAAGCGGTTACCCATAAAGGGGCTTAGGACATATCCGCCATCCTGCGTTGGCTCAAACTGTGGCTGTGGCGGGGTCATGTCCATCCCATCGGCCGCTGAGCGTATAGCCGGTGACTGTGGGACGATGTCTGATTGAGAAAACGAGAGGTTTACATTCACTGGCTGCGTCTGAGAAGCAGGCTGGCTGTCGGTGATCACGTCAATTGAGTCGAGTCGATAAAGCTTGGGCACCATGGCGATATTGGGCGATGGGAGGTCCGCGCTCATTTGGAGGCTGTCGTGATCCTTGTTGAACGGCAACTCCTGACTCTGTGAATCTGCCATCGTGGCGTCGAAGGCTTGTGTCAAGCCGATGGGCAGGTCGTCCGACATCTGTAGGCCAGGGATCTGCTTTCGCGCCGAGCGAGTCAAAGTCTGGGGAGTCTTCGCAGGTGCAGGAAGTTCAGGGGATGGCAGCTGATCTTCATGACCCTCCTCATCGTCACTGACAACTCGGTTCAGTCGGGATTTTCGTGGGACCAAGTTGACGGGTGGCAGGTCCTCAGTTGCATCGTCAGAGGCGTCGTTGTCCATCTCGGCTGGGCTTTCTGCAGACGACGACTCGGCTGAATCATGTTCTTCAGCTTCGTTGTCGAGACAACTGCCCGCGTCCTGTCCAGTTCCTTCAATCTCATCGGGCTCTTCATCTTCAGAATCTCCCCCGTCAACATCGTCGTCTTCCGCCGAGTCCTCGTTATCTCCATCGTCATCTTCAACGGCAAAGTCTTCATCATCACTTTCCTCTTCATCATCGAGGTCGTCTTTGGTGTAATTGCCCTCCTTTTTGGCCGCAGCCTTTTCTCGCTTCTGGATTTCAGCAGCCTCTTGTCGTGCCCGCTCGAGCAGATCCTCCACTTCCTGTTGCTCTCTCTCACGCTCTTCCGCCGTCTGTATTACTACACCTTTCGCCATCAATTCGTCAAGTCTGTGTTGTTTCTCCTGTTGGGCTTGTTCGCGAGCTAATCTTCGCAGATGCGCTTCCACTTCTGCCGCACTACCAGAACGCTTGCGATCGTCTTTTATCAGATTCGCCAAGGACCGTAGTGCTATATGCGAGGGAGCCTCTTTGGCTTTCCTTGTTCGCAGGTGTTCAAATACAGCGTACTTGCGTTTATCGGCTCGAGATGTAATGACCTCCAGGTCCGAACCAGACTCATCGTCATCGGAATTGATTGCTTGAAAAGATGAGATTTTGAATTTTCCCGGCTCTTTCAACGGCTTGACGGAGGGTGCCAGTGGCTGTTCGCCGATCTCGTTAGAGCCGGGCATCGTCCTCGAAAGGGTGCGCACCGCTTGTTCGAGCGGTTCCAACGAACTGGCCCTCTCTTTGCCCTTGTATAGCTTCGGGCTGACAAGACCTGCAGGGGGACTTGTGGGTGGAGTGTCGTTCCTGTTCTCGGCTTCGTTCTCTGATGGCGCCCTGGAACTGCTTGTAGCGGAGAGTTCGTGGTCTCTTTCAGTCTTTGAAGCTGCCACAGGAAAGTTGAATCGGGCCAGCAAGCTGTCCTTGCTAATCTTCTTCTTGGTACGTGCCTGATGTGCAAGTTGCATGTTTCGACTAATCCGTTGAGTCTCTCGATTCATCTCTTCAAGGGCTTTCTTACTCGCTTTGCGGGTAGGACGCGCTTGTTTTGACAATCTATTCCCCCCAGTCTCTTCCAATACGTCGCTATCTTCTCCGGTATCGTCTGCAGGACTGGATCCACGTGGTTTCCTTTGTCCCTGCTTTTGGGCTTTGAGGCTTTGCAGTTGCATGGCACGCTTTTCAGCTTCTAGCGCCTCCTTCTCTTGCCGTTGTTTTCTATGCTTTTCGACAAGAGCAAGAAATTTCGACTTATGGCCGTCGGGTGAAGGAAAGAACAAGGGTGAAGGAGATCGGGATCCAGAGTTGGATCCCTCGAGGTTGGCGGTATGGCGCAGTCCCCAGGTCTCATCCTCTTCTGAATTGCTAAACAACTTATCATCTTTGCCCGCCTCCCTTCCCAGGACACTTTCCAGAGCATCGTTGCGGTCGTGGTGCGGGGATCGATCAGGTGTAGCAGTAATTATTTGCCTAGAGGCTGTGAGCCTCCGTGGGGCTAGGATGTCCTCGTCTTCTGAGTCGTCTGGGGATCCTGTTGGCCTCGCCACTTCCGCTACACCATGAGACTGCGAGACAGCGGTTTCCTGCCCGGTTTGTAGAAGAGCCGGGGCATTGTTGTCAGACTCGGAGTCGCTGAACTGCGCGAGTAGAGCCTGAACCTTTCGAGTCGGGGTCAATATGGAGGTCGTGCTCCGGGGCGAGCCCACGATGGAAGGCGAAACTGGCGACGAAGCCATACTGACGACTCTGACGTGAGCGTAGACAAATCTAGCTGTTGATCGTGGTACATGAGACTGAGACGGAAGCGTGCAAGACTGGAAAGATCAAGCGTGGAGCGTGAAGGCCGCATTGACATTCACGTGTCACGCGTCGCGCAGGACGCGTTACGTCATTCTCGTTGCTGTTTGGTACATTCGCTTTCTGCGCGAAATGCTCATAATGCTCGCCCGACTCGGCGGGACTCGACTCTCCATGGCCTGCCATGTCGAGCATGTCTCCTCTTCATGCCACCCCTGGACGACTCGAACATTTCTCGTGAAGCTCATGGCTCTACAAAGGACATCCCCCTCATAATGCCCGACATAGAACTTTTACGGGAAGAATGGAAGACCCTGTATTCCGAGACTCTTCCCAAGCTGGCCAAAGCGCGAGATCCAAGTCAGTTCAAGTGGCCCGTCACTCTTGACCATTGTTTTGCGCGAATCATCCTCGACAATGCGATTGGTGACGGTCAGCAGCAATGGGATAAGATATTACCCAAGCCGGCGGTGAGAAACATGGACGAGCATCAACTGCAGAAAGCAATCACCCTGGGCCTGAGGATCTTGGCTGGGGATGTCGACCTTTGTCAGTTGGATGAGATCAGCTTGAGGTGCAGAGGAAAGAACCGAGCGAAGTACAGCTTAACAACAACCAAACCAGCCCCACGGCAAGAGAGGCAGGAAACATCAAGCACCGGCGCCCCCAAACGCGTTTTCGGAGATGGGGAGGGAGCCAGTGTTCCATCGCCTAGAAAGAAGCAAAAAACGGAACAAAAGCAGTCGACATTGGACCTCTGGCAGCCCCAAGTTTCGCAAGTTAGACACGCTACAAGTGAGAAAAAATCGGAAACGAACGCACAGAAGCCAGACGACGAGGAACTTAAACAGGTTCTCCGACGCGTTCGGTCACATCCATCACTAACCCCATACCGTAAGAGACTTTATACCGTCCTACTTTCAGTCCCGCGAGGGCGCTACACCACCTACGCTGCGATATCAGAGTACCTCAAGTCTTCTGCAAGAGCAGTGGGAAACGGCATGCGCAACAATCCCTTTGCTCCCGAGGTACCCTGCCACCGAGTCCTAGCAGCAGATGGAAGTATTGGCGGCTTCCATGGTGACTGGGGTAAAGATGGGAAGTATGCGGCCAAAAAAATTGAATTGCTCCGAGGCGAAGGTGTTAGATTTGACGGTCGAGGCAAGGTCTCTGGTGAGCCGTTTCGCAAATTCCACGATTTTCAAGAAGTCGCACTGGAGAGTCCTGTTTAAGAGTCATTGACGCACTCGCCACGCCACTTCGGCCTACTGTGTGCTTGGAGGCCCCAGTTTCTCAAGCTACGTTCTTTCGTCAAAAAGGGACTGGTTTCCAGTGGACAGTCTTGTCCCAATGACTTCCGCGTCCCAGAGGAACACCTGCTCCCGTGGTTCAAAAGGGCACACAACCAAGAGATGATTTTGTTTGGACTATTCTGACCTGCCAGGCTGGCACCAAACTGAAAATACCGAGATCCTGGATTTTCCGTGATTGCGTCCGACCGCTTGATGTCTACGGGGTAGCTGCGATGTCAAGGACTCATGCACCTCTGCCTGCCTGTGAATTTATGTGCGGCGAATGCACTACGCGTGATACAATGAGTCTGCAACATACTGGCATTTTGCACATGTTCCCGAAGCATTTCGGTATCACCACTTCGGATGACACCGTGAGAAACAATCACCTTGGACTTTGCGAGACAAAAGCAACCCTACCAACACACTTCTTTCAGACTCCATGACAATTGGCACTAAGCCACTATGAAAGACAACCGCCTGGGACAAATCTCGCTGAAATTCTGCCCAACGAGGCCTTCGGGCGTACTTTGTCAGAGATCGTCACGCAGGGACATATTCCGACACGAACGCTGTGATATGGCAACACGAGGATAGGACAGTTGCGGCTGGTATCAATTCGGTTCGAAACTACCACAGACCATCGGCTTGCAAGGGGCATTAATACATCATTGCATATTCACCGAACTGGTTGAATACCCACCACCCGCATAGCACAGACGAATGAAATGTATAAAGTGTGTCAAATGGATGTCTAGACAAGCATAGCGCGTTTGTTGCAAGGTGACAAGCTGCTCAAGATCTACATTTATATACCATCCGTACCTCGCGGTTCCCCCCTTCGGGTGCTATTAAGTCACCTCTCAGAGGGTGAGAGTGGCTCTACATGTTCTCTGCCAATTCTACATCTATGATCATATCACGACCAATTCTGACGACCTTGCAGATGCCTCGATCAGCGAGACGCGGTGACCTGGTTCCGAGACAAGGATTTCCGGGAGCTCCGTGCTATTGTGAGCCTGCCTACCCTTCCTCGATGCGGAATCAACAAGGCACCGAAAAAGAATGACGTCCTCGTACAGAAGGTTATGACTGACCACGACGCAGCAGGAGGGATGCTTGCACGGATCATGCAGGATATTCTGTGCAAAGGCTGCCCTAGTGACTGCAAGATCCACATTGTGCTGCGATTCTACGAGGTCGATGGGGACGATCTTGTCAGACCCCAGGCAGTGCTTTCTGAAGAGACATGCAATTGCGCTCCCCAATGTCGCCTTGCCGAGAAGCCTCATCACAAATCGAAGACGGCATGGCACACGCTGTGCACCAAGAGGAATATGTACAGTCAAGAGTCCGTGTTGTAGGTGACGCACGCAAGGGCACCATGGAGGAAGGCATCTAGCATAGTGAACTTGAGAGCATTGTCCTTTCAGTGGCTTCTTCAGTGGTTTCGTCTAAACAAACGAGACAGCGCGAATTTTCCCATGGTCAAATCCGATGCAGATTTGCATATCAGCTGCGAGGAACATCAGACGATGTGATCGTAACACATGTCCAATGCCGACCTCGAACGGGGTAGGATCCATTGCTCTCTCGTTCGAAGCCTCGTGCCTCCGCGCCACGCTGGCTGCTGCGTGCTGAGTATGGACTTTATCCTCGCTGTAGCACACGCAGCTGATGAATTTCTTTTTATCTCACAGCGAAGCCGCCGCTTCGACTGCGCCGACGCCCTTGAACGCAGCCTTGTTCGTGATGACAATTTCCACGGGGTATTTCCATTCCATGAACTGTTTCCATCCTTCATACCGTCAGTGCATTTCACACAGCTCAATCCGGGAAGGCATACCCCAATATGCAAACTTGCGTCCAAAATACTTGCCCACATAGGGCACAATGACCATCGAGAGTAGCAGCTCCAGCTGTTGAAGGCTCTCCTTCCACTCTCTTTCTGCGTCTGATTCCTCGTAGTCTTCCTCTTCGCTCGCTGTGTCGTCGTCCGAGTCCGGTTCCGAGGGTAATGAATCGACCTCGTTGTTGTCTTCACTGGCCGGAGGCTCGAGGAAGGACGCCGAGGCAGCTAAGCCGTCTGTGTCGGACATGGTTGCACGTGGGGAGCTGTTTGCGATGTTTCGTCTCCCTCGCCGGGGGAAGGCAAGCAGCAGAAGGTTACCGTGAGATCATGGCATCACCCGCATCCGTTTTTACCGCCGTGCTGGGATGGGGGAGGTGTAATTGCCTGCAGTGGTGAGGTGGGTGTGAGGAACAAATGAAGGCTGGCAAGGCTGCCCTCCAAGAATCGACGGGCTTCACGTGATTGCGTCACTGGAGTCGTTGACTCATATTGTCCGTGGCACGGAATTTGAAATATGGGATTCGACAGTCGCCCATGCACGCAACTTCTTGAATCTTCCGCAGCTACTTCGCACAGACACAAAGCAGAATCAAGCGGCACCCTCTCGCCTTCTCGCCTACATCACACGATCACCGCGCAAAACCATGGCAGAAGTTGTATGTAACGCCACACAAACCCCACACTTACCTTTACGCTTGCCTTCACATGCAGACGCAGAGCCCTCGATTGAGGAATTTCATCTGAAACCTTCTGCAGTTCGCCCCACAACCGCCAACATTCTTACTGACACATCGTTTGCTCCTCTACAGGATCATCCTCTTCACGATCGGAAACCCCGCAAATCCGTAGCATTCAGCGGCGACAACACCATCATGGACGAGAACGGTGAAATTTCAGAGGCTCCTCCTTCTGGGCCGGAGGATAAGGTTACCGCCGAGAAACACTCGTCACCGCCTACAGACGCCGCCGTCGACGAAGTGACCGACATGTTCGCCGGGCTCAACAAGAAGAAGAAAAAATCCTCCAAACCCAAGACGGAAGACAACGAAGACGGCGAAGTAGCAGCAGACGGCGACTTCGACGCCTCGGCCCTGAAGAAGAAAAAGAAGAAGTCCACGAAACCCAAGACCGAGGGTGCGGAGGACTTTGCCGCGAAGCTGGCCCAGGCTGGTCTCGCAGAAGGCGGATCCGATGAAAAGCAAGATCAACCCTCTGCAGGGCAAGACCAAGATGGAGACATGGACGCCGGCACCGGAATCTGGGCGCATGACGCCACAAGCCCTATTACCTACGCCCTTCTGCTGAAGCGTTTCTTCGAAACCGTCAACAAGAACAACCCGGACATCCTGATGTCGGGTTCCAAATCCTACAAGATTCCGCCCCCGCAGTGTCTCCGCGAAGGCAACAAGAAGACCATCTTCGCCAACATCCACGAAATCTGCTCGCGCATGAAGCGTACCGACGAACACGTCACACAGTTCTTGTTCGCCGAACTGGGTACCAGCGGCAGTGTGGACGGGTCCAAGCGATTGGTTATCAAGGGTCGGTTCCAGCAGAAGCAGATTGAGAATGTCCTGAGACGGTACATCGTCGAATACGTCACGTGCAAGACGTGCAGGAGCCCAAACACCAAGTTGGAGAAGGGCGAGAATCGACTGTACTTTGTCGAATGTCTGAACTGCGGGTCGAGGCGGTCAGTCACGGCTATCAAGAGCGGTTTCACGGCCCAAGTCGGCAAGAGAAAGAGGCTCAATGGTTAAGGCCGGGAAGGGAGGTTTTTCAGTGTCAAACAATGTCAAAAAGGGTGCCATGTCTATCTAGTCCTTTCGGTGGGAAGGCGGTGGAAATCATGAGAAGGACGCTACGACAGAACTTGCTGGGCACGATTTACAGCTACGCAGGAACAAGCGGGGGACAAAGTCCCCAAGTACCGAGTTCACGCACGCGATGGAACGTCTCGTATTTGTGGCGGCCGTATGCTTTCGTAACAAATGAATCACCGTGTTCCCTGGCAAGCAGGGTACAGTACCTGAAGGCACATACACACATACATGCGTCCTCATGGAATTCATTCACAAATGGCCCGACCTGCTCCTAGTCCACTCTTGTCTCAATGCCAGGATTATGACCCCATGTCTGCCCATGTCATATCGCACATGCCGGTCCGTCACTCATATCTCTGCACTGTTCAACGTTTCACGTGCTCACACCTCCTTGTGCGCATTCCCACTGATGAACGCCGAAAAGGCACTCGCGTTCCTGGTCTGCATGAAGACAGTGCCCGGTCCCGTGAACTTGCAGATCAGCCCTTCTCCCGAGCTGATGCCCGAGATGATGCCCCCGGACGCGACCCGCTCGAGCACGTATTTGCAGTTCCAAGCCACGAGGTGGCCGTTGTCGATGATGTATTTCTCGCCGTCGACCAGCTGTGGCACAGCGTCGCATGTTAGTTAAATGTTCAAATTAGCCGAGTTAAGAGGTATGCAACGGGACGGGAGTTCGCAACAGGGGACGGCGCGCAACACCAAAAAAAAAAGACTTACATCCTTCCTGAGTATGGCGCCAAAGGTGCTCATCCACAGAATCCCCAGCCCGGACATCTTGTACACGTAGAGCCCTTCGCCGGAGAACATGGCCTTGCTGATGCCCTGGTTCTTGTACTCCTTGATCACACCTTGCGTGCACGCCAAGAACGCGTCCTTGCCCACGGACCACACCTCGTCGCCCTTGAGCCGCAGGATGCTGATGTCGCCCAGCGTGCTCGGCGCGAGCAGCAGCTCCCCGGGGCCGGTGAAGGTGCTGTGCGCCATCTCGCCACCGATCAGCAGTTTCTTGACGCTGAACTTGACGTTGCCCTTCAGCATGACGCTGGGGGACATGGCGATCATGACGCCCGGCTTGGCCGTGATGGGACAGCCCATGGCCAGCTGGATCGTGAGGACCGAGTTCGTGTCGCGGTGCGAGATGCGGTAGCTGCCGCCGTTGAAGGTGCCCACGTCGTCCTGGTTGGCCGCCTGCGTGCCCACGAAGCCGCCGCCCTGCGGCACGCCCACAAGCGAAGGGGCCTGCGGGGCTTTCATCACGTTGGCCATCTCGTGCGTCAGCTTGGCCAGGCGCGGGGATGTGACTTTTTCTCTTTCGTCGCCCTCGGCGATGGGCGGGCCCGTGGGGCCATCGTACGAGGGTTGCCGGTTGTGGGCTTGGATGGCCGAGTGGTCGAACGTGGTCTTGTAGGCGGGCGCGGACGCCGGGACCGTCGAGTAGTTAAATGGTCGCTGGGCTGTGGGCTGCTGGAGCGGCGGAGGCGAGGGGGACTGTGTCACTTGCGATATCTGGGGAGGGGGCGGATATTGCCCGTGCTGGGGTGGAGGGGACGGGCCTGACGGAGGAGGAGGGAAGAACTGCGGAGGCGGCGATGTTTGCGAGGGAGGTGGAGGGAATGCGGCTGTGGTAGCGAAGTCAGTGTCAGGGACAAGAAACGGATAACATCTGGTTCCTGGGTCGTACGCTGGGGAGCTGGTTGCAGGTTAGCCATCACTCAGTGCATGCTGTGTCGAGGTTGCTCATACGAGGATAGTAGCCCTGCGGCTGTCCCGCGCCTGGCGGAGGAGGGTAGGACATGGTGAGAGGAGTGAGAGAAGTTCAGCAACGAGGGCAGATCCCGGGCCACGACGACAAACTCAACAGCAGAAGCCCGAGCAAAAACAAAGGGTCAACTTTTTGTACGACAATAGATTCAGTGGGCCAATCTCGCTCATTAGGATGGAATATTGCGAGTCGTGGTCGACGTCGCGTTTGGTGAAGTGACACCGCGGGTTTTATAGGTTATATACCGCGGAACACGATCAGGCGGGGGAGTAGAGCACCGAGTGAGTGAGCAGTCTAGCCGCCTAGTCCTATTCGTAGAATCTCACCTTCCCATCTGCTTGGAGGATCTTGGTGTTGAAGGGAACGAGACATGTGGTTGGTCGGGCATGTTTCGACCGGGCGCCTAGACAGCGAAATAGAAGTCGGAAGTGCAAGGTGCACAGTGTGCGCTACGGCGGAGCACTTTGCTCCATCCTCTATTCTGCGGAGCGTAGCGCAGGTGTGTGGCAGTTATTCAATACGAAGTAAATCCAAGCTAAGGTCTTGGCATGTCTCTGATCGGGGTAGTAGGTTGCACTATAACAAGCTCCCCAGGTGACCTCGGGCCTTTATGCCCGACGGATTATTTTCTTCTCCACAGGACTCTGTAGAGTCTTTTGCTCTAGTCGGCGAAAACCAGCTTTTTCCAGTCTTTGCTCCCCTCCCACGCCGCCGCGATCTTATAGGTTGTCAGATCCTCGAAACGCTTGCCGACAATCTGGAGTCCAGCGGGCAACTTGATGTCCGGATTGTCTGGGGCGGAGACAAATCCCACAGGCAAAGAAAGCGCGGGATGACCGGTGGAATTGAACTGCGCGGTATTGCTAAGCACGCCAAGTGGATACGAGAGACTTGCCAGAGGTCCGTTTTTGGCTGGAAATGGCAATGCCGGCATAGGTACCGTCGGCATGACCATCACGTCGACAGACCCAAGGACGGCGTCGTACAATTGCGTCGCTTTGTTCAGCAGGTTGGTGCATTTGGCGTGCAGGCCGGCGCCGTATTTGTCGTTCACGTACAAGTACCTCATGTAAAGATTTTGGGCACCAGGACCGAGGGCATCGAAGAACTCTTGTGAAAGAAACGCCTTCTGGTTCGGCCCCATGGCCGGAGCGGCTCGAACACTACGATCTGTCATTTCAAATTGTTTGCGCCCTGTGGTGTCTCCAAGAAGTGCTTCGCGAGCGCCGCGTAGCGGGAGGGCACAACTCCAGGCCAGGCAGATTTGCTCGTGATTTGGGACCGAGACTTCAACGACCTCGGCGCCCAATTCTTTGAGATCGGAAATGGCCGAATGGCAGGCTTTGGAGACATTCGAATTCATCTGCGGTGCTGCAAAGCCTTCCTTCAGGACACCGATTTTAAACCCCTTTAGAAGTTGGTCTCGTGGCTTGTCGGAACCGGTGGCAAGGAACTCGTCCAAGGCGCTCGAGTACCTTAATGATCCAGGAGGCATGGAAAATGGTTGCCGATCGTCTAGACCATCTGGACCGGCGATCGCTTCGAGCATGAGAGCGTTGTCTCGAACGGTCGACGTCATGGGACCGGTATGATCAATCGTGGACTGGAGACCAAGGATACCCGTGTATGGAACCAGGCCCCAAGTCGGTTTGAGTCCAACGATGCCACAAAATGCTGCGGGGATCCGGATTGAACTGGGTTTCCACCTTTGTTAACCGACACGGTTACCTGAGAGGAAGCCTTCTTCCTGGTTGCTGCAGGAGGCCGAGAATCACTTACCCTCCCTGGTCGCCCCCTATTGCCATATCAACAGCCCCAATCGCGACCAACCTTCCAGACCCGCTACTGGAACCTCCACAGGTATAGCCGTCTGCGTACGGATTATGGACGACCCCTGTGTACGAAGTATTGGACATAGGTTCCATGCAGGCATTCTCACAAGCTACAAGCTCCTCATTAGCCGAGTGATCCCCTCTGGTTTCCAACGATCCCCTGTAACTTGAAACATACCAGCTTTGCCGGTGACTATGCCGCCAGCATCCAGGACTCTAGTTACGACCGTAGCATCGTATTGAGGGATCCATTCTTCATTGACAGGGGGGAGACCGTTGGTACATCTGACGCCGGCAACGGCAGCGTTGTCCTTTACGGCCACGGTGCGTTGGGCCAGCAAATCGCTTGTTGGTGCCGTACTTTTAATCAGGCATCGTGTCGCCCAACCGCCTTTGTTGTTGTCCGCTGCGGCCTCGATGTTTGACCGGAGATACTTGTTTGGATCCGGTATAGGCAGACAGTCATCCTCTGCCAGAACGAGCTGCGCACTGTCTTCGAATCCTCCGAGAAGAACCTGCCAGTCTTCGATAACACTGTCGGGTATTGACAAACCAGCGGCTTCGGCAAGTGCTCGGACTTGGGCAGCATCGAGCTTTGTTCCACTGTTCAGCCGTCAATTAAAGAATGTTGTGGGTTCTTTTGCAAGCCGCAAGACTCACTTTCCCAGGGATGCTATCGCCATGTTTGCAACTGTCGAAGGGATGGTTACCAGGTGGAAATTAGCTGCCTTCACGTGAGACGGGTGAAGAAGTTACATCACTCCTCATATCGCAGCCTTACCAGGGTCTTTATGTCGCGTCTGTGCCCTGATATCCCAAAGCGGAAGGCAAGGCAAGAGTCAACAACAATGCCGAATTCCGGATATGAAGCTATGCGAACCAGCGTCGCGAGTTTCTATCATCTCTAGAACCGACCGCATGACAATTGATTGGCTCGCAAAGGCTCGGAGAAGTCCAATGCGATAGAGTTCCCAATCGAGCAATGGGTTCTGGGTGGAATTAGACAATGCTCAAAGCCGTTCGCAGCATGTCCATGGGTGGGGAGGAGAAGTCCACCTACGAGGTAGAATCTCGTCCCGAGAAAACTCGTCTCGACACTCGAGGTTACGACTCCCGATATCCGCGCCACACATATTGCAACACCTTTTCCCTTCTGCGCACCCCTGCGTCCTTTTGCGACTACAGGAGGTAGCTTCGAGATTCACATATGGTAGCCTGTCTATCATTGCCTTTCGTGGAAAATAGCCTTGACGCATCCGAGGCGTTGCTTTGTACCATGTCCAGTACAATGTCTTAAAGACCAGATAAGACATCGTACACTGTCTCCACCAGGCTACATGAGATGCAGGTCGGCATCTTCGCAGGGCATGTGGCTCCTGGGTGCCAAAGACGATCGATGAGACCACGAGAAACTTTGGAAAGAGGTATATATCAAAGCTCTTCCTAAGCTCTTGATGCTTCAACTTTCTCCACCATTTTCCCTCATCCTCTCCTGCACAGATACTCGTGGATCTCTGGGATCTCAACAAGTCACTTGATGATAAGATGGACGACAAAGTCGATGAAAAGAGGCCTGACATCGAAGCCACCGTCCCGTCCAGTCCTGTAGAAGGACAATCCCAGTCTTGGAGCGTTGACGAGGCCGAAGTCTTCGTGACCGGGCACGATGGTGTCAACTTTCGAACCGTGGGCTGGATCAGAGCGTCCATGTTCTTCTTGAAGATGACATTTGCCGCCGGTGTTCTCTCGATCCCTGCCGCACTCTACAATCTCGGTGCCGTGGCGGGCTGCATTTTCATCGTCTTCTGGGGCGGACTCAACACCTATTGTGCCGTCCTCCAGGGGCAATTCAAGCTCAGGTACCCATCTGTGCACACGATAGCGGACAGTGCTCATATCGCCGCTCTTCAGTTGGGCTTCACCAAGAAGAATGCCTTCGTGGTGAAGGAGATGACCGAGTTCGTCTATCTCTTCACCTGGATCCTTTGCGCCGGCGTCTCGACCCTGGGTTTCTCCATCGCCCTCAACGCCGTGTCGAGGCACGGCACTTGCAGCGTGGCTTTCGGCTTCGTCGCGTACATCATCGTGGCCTCGGTCGCCAGCATCCGCAAGATTCACAATCTGGGCTGGATCACCTGGGTCGGCTTCGTCTCCATCGTCTCGGCCATCATGATCGTGGTGATCGCCGTCACACTACGCGATCGTCCGGCCGCCGCACCTCCGACAGGTGACTTCGAACTCGGCTTCGCCGCCTTTCCTCCGGTGGGCACGTCTTTTGCCACGGCGTGGTCGGCTTCGCTGGCCATCTTCTCCTCTTCCGCCAACACGTCTGGCTTTGTCCCCGTGATCTCGGAGATGCGAAGACCGCAAGACTACTTCAAGAGTGTCTACGTTTGCATGGCTTGGATCACGGCGTCGTATCTGGCACTCGCCACGACCGTCTACGCCTACTGTGGTCGATGGGTGGCATCACCGGCATTGGGCTCGGCGGGCCCGACGATCAAGATCATCTCGTACGCGATTGCGATCCCTGGACTCATTGCTGGCACGATGATATGCATCCACGTCGCCGGGAAGAGCGTGTTCGTCCGGCTTTTGCGGAACAGCCACCATCTGACCCACAATACCAAGACTCATTGGGCGGTTTGGCTGTCCTGCACGTATGGAACGGGGTTACTCGGTTGGATTTTGTGCGAGGCGATTCCATTCTACGGTAGCCTGGTCTCGCTCATCGGCGCTTTGGGCTTTGGCTATCTGGGCGTCTGTATCCCGGCGGTCCTCTGGTGCGTCCTGCACCGAGACGCCCGCAAAGGTTCGGCTCTGATGGTGGTTCTCTTCTACACACATGTCGCGATATTCCTGCTTGGCCTGCTGATCACCGTTGGGGGCACTTACGCCAACGTCGTGAGCATTATCGATCAATACAGGACTGGCCAGGTCGGGTCGGCGTTCAGTTGCGTCGATAACAGCAATACGGTCGCTGGAGGTTGATTGACAACTTCGGAGCAGCCGGAATTTCGAGGGAGCAAACGGCCCTTGAAAGATGAAGAAGAAAAGTCCGTATACCATGCGGTCCAAGAGCTGAGTGTGCGATCCACTTCTCAGGTCTCTGCCAAGTAATTGCATATAGAGAGCGGGTAAGAGTGAGATGGCTAGTCTACCTGGTGAAGCGCTTGATAGACATTCAATTCAAATTAGAGTAGAGAATAGACTTCTTGGGTTGTAAAGATGCCTGTTCTTTGATGTCGTTTGGATCGGAATGAATCTCAGGGCAACAGCACGCAAACTCCGAATAATGGCCCAAGGCTGCGAGGCTTGTTATCAGGGCCCAAGTGCCGATTCACAGTCGCCAACCAAGCAATACTTGGCTGCCGGTAACATCTAGGAGGACATATTGTGGAAAGCACAGATAAGGGTCGGAGATTCAGTGGTCTGGTTATCCAAGTTCCACGCTCTAATCCGTCTTTTCTATGTATCTGCGGCAATCATGTGCCGCTGATAAGCAGAGTTGAAGCGGTACCTACAGTAGACTGGGTCCTCCCTATTGATAAGCAATTTCTTGGACCATATGGGAAAATAGCCGATGTTTCGAATATATCCCGAGTTCGATTTCTCGCAACGAGGTTCTAGACGAAGAAAATGAGGATGAGACGTCCGACACAGCAATGCCTCACAGCGATGGGTCTCGAAGCGCTGTCAGACGACTTCGTGTAAATACAGGATGGTACGTCGGATTTGCTTTCATCACTGATGTCCCATTACCGGTCTGAAGTAAGACTCGTCCTGATGCGTTGTCGCTGACTGACTCGAACTCATGATCCCACAGCCGGACGTGCAGGGCACGGCATGTGAAGTGTGACGAACGCAAACCAGTTTGCGGCAACTGTACCAAGAAGAACCGAGCGTGCTTGTACGAAGTCAGTCCTCCAGGTCAAGTCCGGCGTAGCTCTCAGAGGTACGATAGTCCAAACTGGGGCAATGCCAGAGTGTCCATTAACGGTATGTCGTTCGGTTCGAATGCGGCTGTGCCATTCTTTGAGTCCCTGACGAGGTAGATCGGAGTATCGTTCCACCCGCCTTGTTTGATTTCGGGCCTGTTCTCGCTCAGTATGTCAGCGAGCAGTCTTCCTCACGCGACTCGTCCCAAGTATCACGTAACTATTCCCGTAGAGGCCCCAACCGGGATGAGACAGTGCCTCCAGAAGGTGTCTCTAGAACAACGGGTCCAACCCATACGAGGCAGGATTCTGATCAGAATCTGCTGTCCTCGGAGGCTCCCCCGAACCAAAGCCCATCTCAGGGCTCATCCCAGGCGTCACCTTCTGGCAACTTCGAGTCCGTCCTTCTACATGCGCGTCTGGCGAGCAGACCGTGCTTGTCCACTGAATCATGCTCAAGGCGACGCGGTGGATTGGACCGCTTTGAACGGAACAGTGTAGCGGATCGTCGTTCTCAGCCTTGTGCTGCTGAATCTCCTTCTTCCTCAGTGGGGTCTGCAACTCCTAGTCCGCTCCATCTGACGGAATTGGAAGTGGCCATATTTCGGAATTTCGTGGAACGGATCGCCCGATGGGTATGTTGGCACACCATCGTCCATCTTTCGGCTGTCAGGTCACATCATGCGATTGGTCCATTGACTCTTTATTCTCATAGATCGAAGCATTTTCATGGGAAAAGCCGTGGTCCACTGTTGTTCCCGTCCTAGCACTTCGATGTCCAGCGGTGCTATTCTCGAGCCTTGCTATTTCAGCCAAGCAAATGGCTTTCATGAGAGAGCAAGGTGAGCCGCGCCTGCGACTAGATGTTGCCGTGCAATACTACCAAAAGGCTCTCAACGCTTTCAGTGCCCTCTTGACAAAGCCCGATTCGGCTCATAGCGATGAAATCCTGGCTTCCAGCATCATGCTCTCGAGGTATGGTCCAGATTTCCCCCTTCGTTCTTTTGGGCAGTGCCAAACCCCTGAGTTGGTGGTGTTGACCACTATCTGCGATATAGTTATGAAATGTTTGACGTGGTCGGGCAGAATTTCGGCTCCCACCTCCGTGGCGTCGCCTCGCTTCTTCAACTCTGGCAGATCACAGGAGAGTCAACGGGGATAAAAGGCGTTGTTTACTGGACATGGTATCGGTCCGACACATGGGCAGCGCTTCATGCTGGACGACGCATGTTCTTGGACGAACGCTACTGGGAACCACGTGCTGTCGAGTCTCTGGACCAGCTCTCCCCAGAGGAGATCGCGAATCGTGCCGTGTTTCTGCTCGGCCAGTGTATAAGCTTCTGCAATGACGACGTGGGACCAGAGACTCCGGAAACAGTGGGAGGGTTGGCGGCTACCCGCCAAAGAACGAGCACCAAACTCTGGGATGCTCTCGAACAGTGGAAACGAATGCTTCCTCCCTCAATGACACACCATGTCGTGGCTCAAGTGATCCGCGACGATCAAGATGAGGAAGAGCAGGCGGATCAGTGTTTGCGAGCTGTTTCATCCATGTTGTTCTTGTCTCCCCATTGCGGTAAGTCAACACCAACCTTCAACAAAGGTCCATAGGCGCTTGGGGCTTACCAAGGAAGCAGCAGTTGGGATTCAAATGTACCACGCCTCCCGAATTCTCTTAGCCCTTAGTGGGCCTCCGTTCCCATCTTACCAACAAGTGCGAGGTACCGGCACTCTCAAATCGCTTCCGGGGCGACGGCTTATCAACCGAGCGCGCGAACAAATCCTCCTCATTGCAAGTGCCGGCATGCCAGACGCATTCAGCTTCATTTCGACGCAGTGTTTATACATTGCGGGATTTGTGACTGAAGGCATTCACGAAAGGCGTCGCACTCTCGAGCTCATCGAGGAATGTCAGAAACAATCTGGTCGACAGACAATTTGTATTGCGGACGAGCTTCGAGCAGCGTGGGCGAGTGAACGGTAGCATACAACTCCAGCCTTCAATGCCGTTGTGAGTCGTGAAACCGGAAGAACAGCTGTGCGTCTTCGAAGTCCTTTTAGAGCACTGAAAAGGGGAACAATGGACCTACAACACGGGGACATGAAGATAAGATTTACCTGATACAATCTATAAAGTGAACACAGTGTCGCCCAGCGTGTTTGTGACGGCCCGAGATATGCCATATAGAGCCCTCAACGGAGTACTGCTTTGGTATCGGGGCGAAAACAGCACATTGATCGTTCGGTAGCGAGACATGTCACAGTCTACGGACTAGCTGTGCCTGCGTACATAGCACGTGCGGCTGCCAACCTGAAGCCGCTGATGCGCATGGATGCATGGTCTGCGCAGTACCAAGGAAGCTCCAGTACTAGGTACTGAGGTAAATTGTGCAGCCACAGAGTGTTTTGTTGGGAGAAGCCACCCCCTGACCATGCATTCTTGACGCGTGCCGGCTAAAAAGCCTTGGACCAGGGACTTGTTCTTAGTACGTATGCACGTAGATGTCGGCTATGAGAGGGGGCGACTACTGAATAAACGGAGTATGGCACTCTTGATGCGGATTTGGAGGAATTCGATAATGGAACGCGTGCACTCATTAGCTGGTACAGAGTATAGCCAAACAACTGGTTCTACCCAAAACCTCCCACCCCGCGCTGGTTCACCTTCTGGGACGCCACTCCCTGAACCATCGCTGTTTGCGGCCACTTTGCGGGGCAGAGCTGGTTGGCGCGAGGCGGGATTCGGTTAAAAGAATGGCGGGCCGGGCACCCGCAGCATCCACCACCTCCCAAAGCAGCGCCTGTGGTGGCCCATAAAATTCCACGGCCACCAGCGGCTTCGGTTGGAATAAGCTTGATCGGCGATGCGATGCGCAGTGACGCAGATGTCCAGGCGTGCGCAACCAATCCAGGGCTTACCCAGTACTTGTCCTAACTACAATGTACGTACCGGGTGCTGGCCTTTCTGGAAGTTGCCATCTTCGCTTCTTTCTCACTGCGCCCTGTGCTTTCTCCCAGAAGTACGGAGTACGTCTACGGCATCCATTGCACCCCATATTCCCGTTCCTCGCCCGTACGGAGCTGACCTTTGCGCAAGAAGTCCTTCCTGTATGCTTTCTCGCGGATATCGCCAATACGTGACCAGCCCTCGCGCTCACTACCACAAGCGAGCCTAGCTAGACCTCTTGCCGACGACACCGCGCGCCCTTTCCGGATACGCTGTATTTGAGCGACTGCTGAGATCTAGGGGCAGGTGGTCGAAGAACACACGGGTGGGACGGCAGCCAGTGTCAGTATGTTGGACTTCAGGACAGACATACGACTGTCCCGGATACGAACATTCGACCTGTGACGGTCGCTCAGCTGCTTCACAACGACACGAGAATGGGTCAACTTCAGCATGAGCCGGCTCTCCGGCGGCTAGAGGTTCATTGGGACAGTGGCTTGATCGCCGCCAGCATCGCCGTCTCTCTCCTGGGCGCCTTTACTTCGACCCAGATGATGTGTCAAGCACGAACGTCCCGCTATCTCTCCGGCGTCCTGGTCTGGACGATATTGGGAAGCTTGACCTTCGGCTTCTGTTCGATCTGGTCCCTGCACTTCATTGCCATGTTGGCGTGCGAGCTACCTCTCTTGATCGGGCTGAACGTGCCCCTGACAGTCCTGAGCGCTATTCTCGCCGTCACCTTCACTTTCCTGGCTTTGGCCTCCGATCTCATGCGCGAAAGATACCTTAGCCTTGTCAAGAGAAGGAGACAATTGGCCAGACGGCACAACAAAAAGGGTGCAGCTAGAGCTCTGAATGGCAGCACAGATGCGCTTCTGGGGCCACGGACATCTGAAAGTGACCATGAGCCGTTGATTGTGCCTGGGCAGATGAATGACACCGGAAATCACGGTATCATAAGGTACGAGGGCGGCGCAAGTATGACTCTTGGGCCCTTGGAAGACCATTTTGCAGTGGGAAAACCTGCCAACGTTGCGACCACTGAAGCTCCTCCTTCTCCTCACCGACCTGCCTCGCCGCCTATTTCAGCGTGGAGGCGGCCACTGCTTGTCCTAAATGCCTCTTTACAGGAAGAGTCTTCTAGTAACGATACGGAGAGTCTTCCTTGGAGCTCAGATGAGGAAAGTCGTGCCCGAGGGTCGCCATCACCAAGCCACTCTGACAGCAGCAGCTTGGGCTTGCCCGGTTTCATGTCATTCAAAGTCCCCAGGTCGACTGCGCTCAAGACGACCAATGTTCTTGTCGGAACAGCTTACCTCCTGTACCACGGGGCGACCTTGAGACACTTTGTAAAGGGCTTCATTTGGAGCTTAGCAATCACAAGCATGCATTACGCGGGAATACTGGCTCTGGAAATTCCCGAAGGCCATGTCACCCTGCAGCCATTCATCGTCCTTCTCTCTGCGGCCATCAGTTGGCTGGTCTGTACCATTGGATGCATCTTGATACCTCAGATCGAAGTCAATCTATCCCAACAGCTAATATTCTCCACGGTTGCTGCAGCAGGGGTCGCCGCCATGCACTTTACTGGAATGTGGGCGACGACGTTCTGGTCTCGAGCGCCCGAAACCACCAAACACGGGTATCCTCCCAACCTGGCGGTTGCCGTGACCAGTATAGCTATCTTGACATGCATGCTCGCCAACGGTCTCCTGGCACACTCGGCTACTGTGGCTCGGAACAAGTTGGCAGAAATTGTTCAGACCAAACGAAAACTGTGGGCAGCCATTGCTCAGAAGGAAAACGCAGAGGCCGCTGCGGCAGCTAGGAGCGAGTTCATAGCCAGTGCCAGCCACGAGATTCGGACCCCTTTGCACCAGCTGCAGGGCTACAGTGACCTCATGTCTCGTACAGAATTGAACGAAGAAGCTCGCTTGCTCTTACTCGCGATACAGCAGGCCACCAGATCTCTGTCCATGATCACTGCTAACGTCCTTGACTGGTCACGCTTGGAAAAGGGGGAAGCGGTCTGTCGGCCAACCAGTCTCGATCTCCGAAAAGTGTGCGAGTCGATACTCACCATTCTGCCGAACAAAGACGAAGAGGCGGGGACCGAGCTCATGATTGTGGTCGGCCCCAATGTTCCGCATTCTCTCTTCCTGGACGAGACCTATCTGCAACGAATTCTGATGAATTTACTCACGAATGCATTGAAATTTACGCAATCCGGCTATGTTATCCTCTTGGTCGAGATCAAGGACGGTGAATTGGTTGTCACTGTCAGGGATTCTGGCTTCGGCATACCTGAATCGTTCTTGCCCCATCTATTCGAGCCATTCAAACAGGCGCAGATTCGAGGTGCTCACAGGGGCACCGGCCTCGGGTTGGCCATCATCCGGCAATTGTTACAGAAAATGGAGGGCACAATCACAGTAGAGAGCAGATACCAGCAAGACGAAGAAGTAGGAGCAGAATCATCCGGCAGCACTTTCACCGTCACAATCCCCGTCACCGTTTCGGCCGATTTGCCAGACAGTCTGGGGAGTCTGGGCCCAAACCGCAGTATTGCTCTCTTTGATTCCTGCAGCGAGCGAACGTTGGAAGGACTGCAGCTGGCGTGGAAAGCTTTCGGCTTTGATCTGGTCCGAGCCAAACCCGAGGATGCCATATCCGACTCCTGGGGATTCGTCTGGACGGATCTGATGTTCCTGCGAGCCAACGAGCAGCTCCTTAGGCGACTTCTGGAGGTTCGACACCAGTTGGTCATTGTGTCCTACGATTCTCAAACGCTCCTGGACGAATCCTTTGGGTCAGTCCCTCCACGCCACATTGTCCCCATCAGAAGGCCTTTGATGTGGCACCGTATGGTTGAGAATATGATCACTGCCGCTCGAACTGGCAGGGCAGCGATTGACCGTTCAGTCAGATTCGCACCAGTCGTGGATGTGGTGGAGAATGGTAGCTCCAGTCCCGCCCGCGAAACGAAAACCCTGAGTGGGTCCACAGTGCTACTTGTTGAAGACAACAAGATAAACCAGAAGCTCGGAGTAAAGATGCTGAAGACACTCGGGTACGATGTCGTTGTAGCAGACGATGGCCAGGACGCGATCGACAAGCTCGTCGCCAATGACCGGGACATTGCTGTAATACTAATGGACCAGTCGATGCCTCGCATGGACGGGATCACAGCAACCAAGAAAATTCGAGAAATGGAGCAGTCCGGAGGCCTATCAGGGAAGAGACGACCCATCATAATGGTCACTGCCGTGGTTGGTCCTGACGCTCAAGCACTGTGCATGTCGGCAGGGACAGACGCCTTCCTACCGAAGCCACTAGCTCTGACGAAGCTCGATAACACACTGAAGAAGTACTTGGGGTGACCTCGCCATGGTTTCGGATTGATACCGTTCTCAGTCTACCAGTACGCTCGATCAGCAAGCGCGGTTCAGGGCCCGCCTTGTTGATCAGGAGGCAGTCCGACACTCCCCCAGGACCAGACCGGACTAATTGTTGTGTCGATTCCATCAACACAAGCAGGTCACTGCATGATTGATATATGGCCCCTTGAGGAAAACAGAACTCGTTGGCCAGCTGAACCTGGGGCTCTCGAGCCGGAGGCGATGGGAAGAAGTAGAAAATCGCCACTGATACAAAGTGGCAAGTTGCATTAGCCGCGTGTATCCGGCGATGTGGTCAGGTGGACAAGATGTACATCTAGATGGAGTGTCCACCACCATCCGAGGTTGGCACGCCCTTGAGGAACAGCTTTAGCAAATAGATTGCTCCGCCAACCATGGCGAAATTGACCATGTGATGCGGTGAAAAGGAGGACCCAAACACTCAAGATTTCGGCTCCATTGTCGAGTTTGTTTCTGTTAGCAATATAAACCGCAGCCTCGCCAGGAACTGTACTTAGGGGAACTGAAGTTGATAAGACAGGATGCAATGTCACTTAACGCTCTAGCCCGGCTCTAAAGGCTCCTCCGGGTGCGACACGTGCGGCTAATCTTGCACTTAGGGGAGATCGATATGCAACCGAATGCAGGGCATGAAGCTAGAATTGCCTGAATTGCCCATGGCGATCCAACCCCACGGCCCGGGCGTCGTCATGATCTCGTTGCGCGCCAGGGGTCCGCCAGTCATGTGTTGGCACGCGTTGTGGGCGCAGGTCTCCGAAAACCAACGGAGGGGCAGGGATTGTTGGAGAGTGGGATGGCATGCGACAAGATGAAGGATTGAGGTGAGTGGACGCCGCTGCCAACAGAAAGATTATATTTCACCCATCTGTTCTTACCACACTCATTGACTGTCCCTCCTGTTCAATTTGGGTTCTGCTGTAGAGGGTGTCGTGCCGGTCTGTACATAATACCAAAAGCAGTTGTTTTTTCTGTCTGTCCGCTTTCATCAGGTGGGTACAGGTTTGCTGTTCGAAGAGCCAGTGTCATCGACGAGCTTCACCACCACCACTGGTACAGTGCGCATTGACCCGGTATTGTGGTTCTTCCATACTTGTCTTCACCCTCCCTTCAAACATGCACCCGATCGCTCCCGAGAAGTCCACGCCTTCAACAACCCACGGCCATATCAACGGACATACCAACGGGCACACGAACGGTCACGCCTCCGCCACTGCCTCGCAAGACCTCCGCGACGCCCACGAATACGATATGACTTCCCCCTCTACCATACGGCAGAAGTTCCTCCCCCACCCGGGTGACCTCGGCGTTGTGCTCGTCGGCTTCAGTGGCGGGCAATGCAAAGAAGGGGTCGACGCTGCGCCGACGGCTCTAGTCGGCGCCGGCTTGCTGGAGCAGATCCGCGACGAGCTAGGGTACGAGCTGCACGGCGACATAGAAGTGCACAACTACAACGAGATGCGGGCCCAGTCCGACGAGCCGCACCGTGGCATGAAGAACCCTCGCTCCGTCAGCGCGGTGACGGAAAAGCTCGCAGGCCAAGTGTATGAGCAGGCACGCCAGGGCCGGATGGTCTTGACCCTCGGCGGGGACCACAGCATCGCCATCGGCACGATCGCCGGCACGGCCAAGGCCATCCACGAACGCTACAGCGGCAAGAAAGAAATTGCCGTCATCTGGGTCGACGCCCACGCCGACATCAACACCCCCGAGACGTCCGACAGTGGCAACATTCACGGCATGCCTGTGGCATTTGCGACGGGGCTGGCCAAGTCCCAGGAACGCGACATCTTTGGCTGGATTCAAGACGATCAGCGCCTCTCGACCGCGAAGCTCGTCTACATCGGCCTGCGGGACGTGGACAAGGGCGAGAAGAAGATCCTGCGCGACCACGGCATCAAGGCGTTCAGCATGCACGATATTGACCGGCACGGCATCGGCAGGGTCGTGGAGATGGCGTTGGCGCACATTGGCACTGACACGCCGATTCACCTGTCGTTTGACGTCGATGCCCTAGATCCGATGTGGGCGCCGTCGACGGGCACGCCCGTGAGGGGAGGCCTGACGCTGCGAGAAGGCGACTACATTGCCGAGTGTGTGCACGAAACGGGCCAGTTGGTCGCGATGGACCTCGTCGAGGTGAATCCCTCAGTCGAGGCTGCAGGGGCCAGCGAAACTGTCCGGGCGGGCGTCAGCCTGGTGCGCTGTGCCTTGGGAGACACTCTTCTGTGATGTGACAGTCGACGAGATCACAATACTCGCATGCGAGGTGGTTCCAGAAGGATCACGTAAGGTCGGTCATGGAGCTATTCGCGGTTGCATTGCCGGTGTCCAACTCGACGCGACATTGATGAAATTAGGCGACAAGGCCGGAAAGAAGCAGGATTGGAACACAAATCAAGATCAGGACAGCATTAGGGTCGGTACCATAAATTAGACAGACGGACCCGGTCGTCTAATTACCTATATATAAAGACAGAAGAAAAGGGAGACTTCAAGCCCTGATATGCGTGTCTCTCTTTCCGTCTTTCCGCTCCAAGGTATCCACTCTCGAAAGGTCAGGTCAAGCAACATCGTCGTCAGGTCATTGACTGCGGTAAAGTATGGAGATTGATTTGGTCTTCACCACAGGATCTTACTCAATCCGCTGAACTCCAGACTCGGAATTCAACAACCAACGCTCGATTTCAGAATTAATTGCTCAACACGCAAGATACATGATATCTCACAAAATTTAACACATACCCGCTCGGAGGAGAGTGGCGGTTCGTCAAGAACGGTGGGACTACTTCCTCATTCTGAACGCGGTGTTCATGTACTTAGTTACTGCACTACTTGGGTACCATTTATACCCTACCATGCAATGTACAAATACCCACTTCACTGTAAATTGCAGTCGTGCCCTCCTGACCTGCCCTAGTTGACTATGTGATGGGTATATATCTTGACCGTCGACTGCTCCAGCACGTCAGCCCTGCTTCGTCGCGACTTTGCTGCCTTGAATCTTTGCGTGGCGAAGTGCATGCCTTGATCTGTGCCTCGATCTGTGCCCGTAGCTGTGATTGTGCCCGCAACTGCGCCTCTCGCCCCGTTAGCCACGCCAGCCAGAGCCAGCTCCTCCAGCTCCTCACCCTCCTCCTCCTCCTCGTGCACCGCAGGGGTGGTCGTCTTCCTCCTCCACACTCCGACATCACACTCGGCCACAAAATCCACAAAAGACCAGGCCGTCGTGTTTGGAATGGCCCTCCCCGCCGCCGTCGCGGCCGCCGCGCCGCCTCTAGGGAGACTCCCGACCGTGAGCACGGCAACACAGCACAGCAGCAGCGTGCCCATGACGACGGTGTACAGCCACACGCTCCACGCGGCGACGGCCAAGCCGTAATACATGGTCGACAGACTGGCCGTGACGTAGAGGTCCGGCTGGTCCGGAGGCAGACGGTCGAGCACGCGGTCGGGCGAAGGGACGGCGCTGTACGGCGACACGTACGTCGGCTGGAAATAGTACAGCGGCATGGCGAGCAGGTTGTACAGTTTCAACACGGCCTGGGCGGCCGTCGGGGACGACACGCCCGCAAACAGGAGGTCCGTCGAGAGCATGTTGATGAACTGTTCGGCCGGGCTGGACGAGGAGGCCAGCGTCGACCGGACCCCGAGCGTGGTGTTGTACAGGAGCAGCAATTCGGCCGCCGAGATGGGTTGTGGTGTCGGTGTCGTCGAGAACTCCGACACGGCAATCGCCGACAGGTTGGCCCGCGACAAGTGCACCGTGGCGTGGCGGACGTATGCGCGCATGGTCATCGTCCACCCGGGGGACGAGACTGGACGACACGACGAGTCTGCGGGACAAACCACGAACTTGGCGGTGACGGCGTTGGCGTTGGCGTTGGCGGCGGCGGCGGCGACAGCGGCGGTCTGCGCAAGGCAGATCCCCACGGCGTTGCTCTCCCGGCCCAGCACGATACAGTCGCGCTCGCCCTGGAAGCTGGCGTCGGGTGAGGCAAGGTTGGTGAAGTCCAGCTGCAGGCCGCGGACCGAGTGGATCTTGTAGATGGGCGCGGTCGGGAGCGCGGTGTTCAAGGTCGGCCACGGCGTGATCAACTGGCTTCCGCCGTGCAGAAAGTAAGCCCATCCGCAGGTCTCGTTGGAGAAGAAATTCGACACGTCGCAGTCGGATCGGCCGGAGTCGATCACGGGCACGCTCCACGAGACCGCGCTCGTCTGGAGCAGGGCGGAATAGTCGCTGGCCATGAGCGTCGCGGCGACCGATGCGTAGATGGCGGCCCAGCTCGCGTTGAAGTCGCCGATGCCGGCCGAAATGGGGAAGCTGGCGTGGTGGTCAAAGTACATGCGCACATCGACGTTGCTGAGGAGCACGATACCCATGGCGGGAGGGATGATGACGATGACGAGCTTCAGCCAGCTCAGCCGTCGCGCCCCTCCAGCGTTCAGGTAGAGCAGCTTGATCCATCCCCAGGGGCCAGTGCCGGGGCAGAGAGCGAGGAAGGACGACAACCGGGTGCCTCCGTCCTGTGCAATCAACATCCACAACGCCCTTTCGGTGGACAGACCGATGAGAAAGACAAGGGAGGCATTTGTCAGTTCTGATAGCGTGCGGAGCACGAGTAGCGTGTTGCCGGGATTCAGAGCGGTGAAGGAGAGATAGCGAAGGTCGGTGGACCCGAAAGCGTAGCATACAGTGGTGATGTAGATGCCGGTAGCGACACAGGCAGAGAACCACGCCGGAGCGGATTGTCGGAGGGGCGAGTGCCTTCTCGGTTGACGTCCAACGCTCTCCTCGACGACAGGCTTCTTGCCCGTCGTTTGCGTCGTATTAGTCTCGGTGCTCGTCGTGGGCGGCTCTCCGCCCTGGATCGACACTGTTTCTAGAGGACCAAGCTCGCCCGCATCGCCAGAAGATGCAGCAGACGGTGGCACTTCCACGTCATCGTGGCGGCTTGTGGTCGAGGATCGCTCGCTCTCGTGCTGCGTTACCTGGCCGCCTGCCGGATCGCTCTCGGCAGCCTCAGCCTGGCCAGGTAGATTGGCATCTGGGGGTGACGCCTGCGAGATCTGGTGCGAGGCTGGAGACAGAGACATTGCAGATCTTCGTCGTCTTAAGCAATGCCTGCTAGGGTCAGAGACGGATACCGCAGAATCATCTCAACTGTCCAGTATGCGGCCAAAGGCATCGTAGCCTTACGGTCGAGAAGAGTATGTTTTGGCGCCAGCCTCCAAAGGACGTGGCTTGAGGCGCGGCCTTCATCCTTTGGCCAGGCTCGTATCGCATCGATGGCAGTGCCTGCAACCCGCCCGAATGGTATGAGGCTGGACTAGGCATCGCACTCTGAGTTGAGGTGAGCAGGTCGGAGGCGCTCTTCAGACGATCTTGGCTCGCCAAATGTGTCTTGGCTGAAAGCACAAGTGGCCCTGGTTTGGCCATGGCCTACCCAGTAGTCGTTGCTGCAGGCTCCGAGGAGCCGAGTGTCTTGGGTTCGGGCTGACCAGGGATCTCATGTAAAGAGGGAGACAAAAGACTGCTTGGAACATATTGACCTTTTTCTTCAACTCCATAGTGTCTGGTCAAAAGTGAGCAGTTCTCGTCCCTAGAGTGAACGAGCATCCACGATCATGGCTCAGAAACGATGGGCGTGGGTGATCTTCCAGGGCTTCATGGTAACCCTCGCCCTCGATCGGAGACAAGAAGACCCGTACGTATGGCTCCTCGTGGCCATCGAACTTTGGAACTGAGACGCGTCGTAGCCTATCGTCCTGTACTCAGACGGACATAGCTTCGCTGGATGCGTGCGTAGCATCTGCCGTCGACATCCTGCTCTCTTCGTTGGACGCATCTCCGACCTCATCGTTCGACTATACCAGCGCGGCATCCGATCTCAACAGTGTCGCGAGCGGCTTGACATCGCTCGGTATAACAGTGTCCTCCTTCCTTTCTGATCCTGCAAGTTTCACGGGCGCAGAAACTTATTCGGGACCGTATGTCTCGGACATTGTTGCCAGTTATTCGGCGTACACCGCCACCCATACTGGCTCAGGCGGAAGCAGCTTTTCGTTTGACACGTCGGCATTTCTAGTGACGGCGACGACTTCGCAAGGTCTGTAGCTCTTCACTAGGACAACATTAGAGAGATATGTTGACAATGTATCCCAGGCTCCATGACGTCTTCCGAAGTATTGGAAAGCACCAGCACCACGCGCCCTGCCGACAGCGGCGCCACGACGGCAGCGGCAACGCCGTCTGAATTTAATTCGGTAGGGGCCATGGTTGAAGACCCGGGCCGGTACCCAATCTTCATTAGCATCTGCGCAGCCGTTGGGAGCCTAGGCCTCCTATGGCTCCTCTGAGCTCCTGCTCGGAGCTTTGGTATGTGAGAAGTTTGCTCAAGCCCTGCATGTTGAAGGCGTTGAGCAAAGTCTCAGTGTCGCGGACTCATGAAGTCTCACGAACTCACCATGTAGGCAAGAGGCATGACTGGGTTGAACTGTACTAGAGAGATATATGCAATGCAGGGTTCAAGGAACGAGGGTGCCACTCGAATGTATGTCAGAGCTGGAGTATAAGCTGTTGGAAGACAAGCTCAGCTCTGGACTCCAGGGCAAGCTCGAGAGGGGAGCTCATCACCAACGCGTGTACTCCGCGGAATCCTTGTCCGCTCTTCAGACATGGGGCAATCCGTATAGTGGGAAGGAGAAGGGTATCGCGGACGAGGATGAAGGGCCTCTTCGTCTCACTGTGACACGGCAGGGTGATATGCCACCACGCAATGCCTCCTTTAGGGATATCTCCAAGCCTCTGCTTAATGTCAGGTGGAATGGGCGGATGCATTGCGTCACCTTGGGCTCCGCAGTAAGCATAAACGGTATTGAGTATACGTCCAAAAACGTCTCAGCCTGTGGCGCCTGTCTCTTTAAGGAATCTGCGACGGGAACATGAACAAACAGTCCTCCGGAAGCTCGGAAGAGGCAACCGGCTTATGCCAGACGCACCGGACCTGTGGAATCCGTGTATAAAACAGGGAATTGCGTGGGCGGCTCTTGAAGTGACTGTCAGGCATCGGCTTTTCCTGGGGCCGGGAACGTCGGACACATTCCAAACGTTGACGACATGATCACTTGTCAATATAATGGCCGGCCTCATCTCGGGTTCGATGAATTCGAGCTCTCTGTTCAGCAGGGTTCGATTGTTCCACCGGGTGTAAATGATTGTGTGGGTGGTTGGGCAAAGATGGAAATTCTGAAGGAATTGGTGTCAATCTCCGGTCTCTTGCTCTACTCAGTCAGTCATCGCTTAACGGCCATCTTCTCTGATGCCCCTTCACCAATCCCGCCATTGGGATTGTTCCGATGTGGTCCATCACGCCTTCCTAGGCTCAAAACACAGCTGCAACGGTCCGAGCCCGAGCGTGAACTGCAGGAAAATCAGCGTTGGTGAATGCTGTCTCGGTCGCACGAGCTAGAATGTGTATGGGCTTACATGATCCTTCGTGCCGTTCAAGAGCTTCTCCCCAGTCTCGCCCTCGGCAAGTCTCACATTGAAGTCTCGAATGATATTTGTGGTCAGAAGACGGATCTCCAAGTATGCCAGGTTCTTGCCTATGCAGCTCATGGGGCCAGTGCTGAACGGGTGAAAGACCTCCTTGTTTTTGTAAGGCATCAATTCTGCAGAGCGAGAGCCGTGGCGTTCGGGGATGAAAGCGAGTGGGTCGGGGTACAACTCTGGATCTAGAGAGAGGTTGTCAGCGTCAGCACAATGGCCACAAAGTGACTCCCCGGGTGAGGGAGAAAGAATCGAGCCTCCCCTCTCTGTGTCCCAAAAATGCCCCTAATAGGTGCCTGAGAAACCTAGCCTCCACACTAGTCGACGCAAAGGAGCACATTCGGGCCACGTACCTCTCGCCATAGCATACATCGGCATCTGAACCACCGTATTTCCGGGGATATGCACCCCTCCGATGTCTACACCCTCATCGGGCATCTCTCTGAATACACCGCTGGGAACAGGTGGATTGAGCCTCAACGTCTCGTTGATGCTGCCGTTCAGAATTGGCGCTTCTTGAATCTTGACATGCTCGATCTTCTCACCCGGCTTGACGAGGCTGTCGAGTTCTTTTCTGAGTCGGTCGAGGAGGCCTTCTTGCGTGGCGATGTGGTAGAATAGATGCACGAGTGTAGCGGCTGTGGTGTCGGAACCGGCAACGATGATAAGGCGACTATCGCCATGCAACATGGGCAATTGGGCATTCTGGCTCTCAGGATCCGACGCGTTGAAATGCTCAATCAAGGTGTGACTGATATCGGGATCCGCCAATTTGCCTTGCATCTTCATCCGATTCTCGAGTTGCTCGGAGCAGTAGTTCAAGAAGCGAAAGTGATCCGCTGCCGCGCCTGGGATGGCGATCAGCAATCGAAAGAGCCAGTTAGGCAACTGGACACCAAGCATGTCCATTCCATCGTTCAGCAATTTGATGGCCCAATGCATCTCGCCAGATTCGAGGCAACCGTAAGAGGCTCCAAAGGCGAGGTCGCCCATTACATCGAAGGAGTAGAGGTTGAACCATTTTGACATGTCCATTGGTTGGCCTGGAGAAGTTAGAATTGCGCCCAGAGGTCGACGATAGCTTGGGTGTCATGAGGTAGGGCAAGAAACAAGCGACTATACCGACCGTGTGACTCTTCCAATTTTCGAATCAGGAGGTCATTGTACCTCTGCACCCGGTTCTCATATCCTCTCAACGCCTTGTCGCTGAAAGCAGGGCTCCAAATCCTCCGTCTCCGGTCATGCACCCCCCTATTCCTGGTCGTGTGCAAGGACATCCTAGGCAAATCCGCGTCATACCACTCGCTCTTGGTGCATTTCGTCTTCGGGCCCAGGGTCACTTCCACGCCGTCCGGATGCGTCACAGAAATGCCGTATGGGTCAAGCCGGACAAACCTGCCGTACTTTTGATGTTGCGCGAGCAGGTAGTGGTTGAGATTCTTTGCGCCGCCAACCTGGAAGCTAAGGTAGAAGCGAGAGAGGCGAGCCCAATAGGGTCCGGGAATTTTGTTCAACGGATTGAAGAAGAGGCGGTAGATAATGAGGCTGCTGTACAGGCCGGCAAGGTAGAGTGACGCATGCTGTGCGGTGAATGAGATGGCATTCTTCAGGGGACTATTGTAATAATGGGTCTGTGCAATGGTTATGAGAGCGCATCCGAGAAGGAATGCTTGAATATATCGAGTAGGGTATAACCAGTGTTCGCCTCTCTTGAAGTATAACAGGTGCGAGGCGATGCCCGCCGTCACGACAATCAAAGCCAAGTACGTCGACGACATTGTAATGAAATATGATGGCACGTCGAGGCAGAGAAGAGATGAGCCCGAACTCCTGGACAGAAGAAGGCACAGTTATAACTGCACACTCTTTGAGGAGAGGCTGTTTGACCCGTATGTCTTCTATTCCTCCAGAAATCAGGCCCGGCTTACCCAGAACCCACATTGCCAGGCCGCCTAAGGTTTCCTGGGGTCCTTAGGCCCATGGTGAGCTCATGGTGGTCGAGTGCCGAGCTTAGAAACCATACTAGTAACAGCGGTATCGCTTAGTCGGCTATACGAGTTAGTGCCTCGTGTCAAGCATCGCACGAAAATGCGGGGATCTTGGCCAGTTTCTGGGGCATTGCTGTGTCGGAGGGTTCGAGTCGAGCTGACTCGGCCATGTCGACAGAGACGACTCGAAGCTCGAATTCGGTACAACAAGGACCAGAGTCGTGTCCGACATGCGAAGTCGACGCGCACGTGGCCAGTCCAAGAACCGCATCCACTGAAAGAAGACGTAAAGGTCATCTCACAAAGGCTGGTAAGACACGCTACCAAGATTAGGTGCTTGCTGCTTGAAGACGTATGGTTGTAGGTGCTGCGAAGATAGTATGCGTATTCTCTTGAGCGGCAGATGTGAACGAATCGCGCGGCAGGGCGGCCCTGGACGCCTTAGCAAGCGGCCCAGGTAGAGCCTTGGACCATCACCCCTCGCTCTGCTTCAGAATTAGTTGTCGAAGGGTCTGTTCGGCTATGGGTGCGCGCATGTCTCCCTTGCGTGGATGTCTCATCATCTGCCCCATCAAGAACTGCAACTTGCCGATTTTGCCCTTTTCAACGATGTCGTTGACATGCTGAGGGTATTTCCCGATGATATCCTTCGCGATTTCCTCGTAGGATTCCGAGGACATCTCGGAGAACCGCAAATCCTCCTGAATGATAATGCCCGAGACGGATCGTTTATCGCCATTGTAGATCAGCTTGAGAATCAGCTTGGCAGAGACACCAGTTATCTCGTTTGCCTTCAGCCGGTAGATGAGGTCGGCCATCGTTCTTGACGTTACTACGTTGTCGTCCCAATGCCTGCCGTCCGAGGACAACAGAGCGCCCAACTCATGCAGCACCCAGTTTCCGACCAACTTGCCGTGGTCACGGGTCGTGGTCTCGAATTTACTGCTGGCTATGAGTTCGTCAACGACTTCTTGAAAGAAGATCAGCCTCTCGCCGTCGTCAAGTGAGACCAACGTGCTCGCATCGGTGAATGTGAGGTCGTAGTCATTGACTAGCAAATGGACGAGGTCACTTTCCGTGGGAGGCAGAGTCTTCTTAACCCACGAAATTAGGTCACTGCTGAGGTATAGTGGCGCAATGTCAGCATCGGGCATGTATCTGTAGTCGACTTCGCCCTCTTTGCCTCGAAGTCTCTTTGTTTCGTTCGGGGTCGTCATGGACCAGCCCCGAGTCTCGCCTTGAACAACACCACCCTGATCGAGAATCTTGATCTGGCGGTCTCGTTCGGCCTTTATTGCATCCTCAATGCCTTTGAAGGTGCTGAGGTTCTTGATTTCCGTACGTTGACCAAGCCCTGTCACGCCAATGTAGACATACGGTCCAGCTGCAGCGTCGCGGCGACGAACAGAAACGTTGACATCTGCCCGAAGTCCGCCCTGTTCCATTCCAGTTGTAACAGAGTCGACGGCATAGAGGATTGACTGAATCTTTCGGACATAAAGGGCGGCATCGCGCGGGGAGTGCAAGTCAGGCAGGGAAATGATCTCTACCAAGGCCTGGCCGCAGCGATTGAAGTCAATCAGGGCTGTATTGGCATCGTCCTCCTGGGTCCTTGCGGTGTCCTGCTCCAGTTGCACCTGCTTGATATTGACTGTTAGGGTCCTGCCCTCTTCCAGTCCGTCCTCAGCATTCAAGACAACGTGACCGTTCTTCGCAAATGGATGGTAGTACTGTGTTATCTGGTAGCCCGCAGGCTGGTCGTGGTAAAAGTAGTGCTTGCGGTCGAAGCTGCTGACTGGTTCCACAGTACACCTGAGGGCGAGGGCCGCACGTAGAGCAGGTAGAACTACACCTGGCTGTAGGACGGGGAGACTGCCGGGCAGAGCAATGTCGAAGGGAGCGATCTGACTATTCGGGACAGCGCTCGGAGCCGTTATGGCGGCTAGTGAGCCATTAGCCGTGCATCAATGGGTAGGAAGGGCAGTAGTATTCACGTGAGAAAAGCTTTCGAGACGCATTGAGCTGGGCATGGATCTCGATGCCCACAGTCAGTTCCCAGTCGTCCGGTGTATCATGACTTGTCGTCCTTGGGAGGGCAGCAGGAGCCGCTCGAGCAGCTTTGGCGGCATCCTTCAACTGCTTGCGCAGAGGAGCACGATCGGTTCGCAGCCACGGCCTGCATGAATGGAACGGCCGGAGACCAGTGAGAGGCCGGACTGGAAGGCGCTGGCGAGTCCATGCCAAATATCTTCCGTGCATCGGCTGCTGAAGGCCTGCACCATGAACAGCTCGGGAAGTATGACAACGCGATGATACGGGGAATGGACTGACTGACACCAAGGTGACGGTCCCCGTGAAATCAATCTGAGAGCACGTCGCCTGGGGTTTTTATGCTTGACCGTAGCTCATCTGCTCAACCGTAGCGGACGGAGCGGTGAAACTGTTTATCCGCGCTCGAGGAACCCAACACCACAACTTTGCCCAACATATGAGGTCAAGGGCGACATGCTCAAGGTTTCACAACAACCCTCTTCGTGCTTCCTCACTTTTGCCCAGCTCACGGGCTGTGACAGAATGATACGATCACTATGTCTGGCAGGCCGGTGTTAGGGCTGCTGGTCAAGCTTCCACCCTCACTAGCCTTGCCTTTCAATTGTTCCTCTCCTCACCAACGACTCGAGCTCGTGCGTGTGGAGACCAGCACCAGTTTTCTTTCCACCTGAACTTGCATGGTATCTCTCTGTCCTTACACCAGCCAGGCAGTCTTTCGCCTCTGCACGCTTCCCCAGGTCACCACCATGATACTATCGATATGAAGTTGAATTCCCTACCGTCGGTTGGCGGCCTCCAGCTCTACCAGGAGTTCTGGGGCCGACCGGGGTCGAAACCTTGGGCTTTGGCCACCACCACCACTCTGAGCTTGTTTCTAGGATTCGGTGCACTGTTTCTTGCGAGGTCTTACCTTTCAACAGGTCGGAATCCCGAAGAAGAGGCTTCCTCTCCGGAAAGCGACCATCCTGTGCTCAAAACCCACTCGACTACACGGCCTTATAAGACAAAGTATGCAGAATATTCCTCAATACGGACGTTTTACCATCCTCACGCTCATGCGGAAAAATCTCAAGCCATCGCAGACCTCCCTTTGCTGGTATTTATCCACGGGTTGGGCGGCTCGTTGCCTCAATTTGCGCCACTGCTGGGTAGTCTCGTCAATATCGCCCCGTGCTTTGGACTTGATCTACCGGGCCATGGCATGTCGGCTTTCTCGCCCCAGAATTACGATGCCTACGAGATCGCAGCATTTTGTGAGCTATGGCAGACGGCGATCCGGGAAGTCTGCGAGGAGCACGGACACAAGAGGGTCCTGTTCATCGGTCACAGCATGGGCTGCTCGATCGCTGCTCTGTTGGCCACAAATCCCTCTTTCCCCCTTGAAGTGGTAGGTTTCGTCGGCATCTGTCCTAAAGCAACACCTCCGTCGCCATCAGAAGCTGCTTCGGCGAGGCGATTCCTCTCGTTGCCGGATCCAGTGCTCAACGTCTTGCGGATGTTGGACAGAAGGGGTGGAGTCAACTCCAAAAGCGTCGAGAGAATGGCCGGCAAGGCTGCAGGTGTAGACCTCCGACGTCTGCAATTAGCATTCAACAAGAGCTTTAAGACGCCCGTGTGGAAGCGCTCAGCGCTGGGTTGCCTACCACTCTACGACTCCACTGGGAAAGCAATGGCCGGCCTACCTGGCAGGGAGGTCTGGGCCAGAATTCGGGTGCCTCTATTCCTCATAGCAGGAGAAGCAGACACAGTCACCAAGCCCGCCGAAGTCGCAACGATTGTCTCGTTCCTCCAGGAACCAGCAGGCCACAATACGAAAGACGCCACCACAGTGGAACAACCACTCAACACTGCCGACTCCATACCCGATGATACGCCAACCCCCAGCAAACCCAGCCAAGAGAGTTCCAATGACTCTACAGCGGACGAACGCAAATTCGGCACCCTCCCTTCCACAACAGAAACATCCAGCCACAACTCCAAGGTGGTAAAGACCGCCATTCTGCCCTCTCCTGCCGCCCACGCCCTGATGTATGATCACTCGACCTATCGCACTGTCGCCGGCCTGATCGAGGACTTCCTCGCCCGCTACGTCTCCCCCCAACTATCCCTCGGCTGGCAGCTCCAACAACTCACCACCTCTGGCAAATGGGACGTGAAGAATCTGGAGAAATGGAAAAAGGTCCTCCCGGTCTCCGGTCCCATCGGCCATCCTCCCGAGCAAGGCATATTCCGCGCGTTGAAGACGTTGAGAGAGCAAGACGAAATCCACACGCCGAGCGTGTTTCTGAAAGAGTGGCGAGACAAGATCTTCGCCGTGATCGACATCTCGCACGACTCGCCCGTCTACGACACCGCCTCGCTCGAGAAGGGGGGAATCCAGTACCACAAATTCCCGACCGTGTCCAAAGTGCCGCCCACGATTGTCGAAGTCGCGGATTTCATCGCCCTCGTCGACCGTCTCCGCCTGGAACAACATTCTCCTGGCTCGACTGGCGAGGGCAAGAACATCGGCGTCCACTGCCACTATGGCTATAATCGCACCGGATTCTTCATCTGCTGCTATTTGATCGAGCGGTGCGGATATCGCGCACAGGACGCGCTGGATGAGTTCGCGGCACAGAAGCCGCCGGGCATCAAGCACGAGCATTTCATCGATACGCTGTTCATGCGGTATCACGTGGGGCTAAAGAAGGCGCGTACGCTGGTTGGTGCAGCAATGGACGACAAGAACCGGAGTATGGCGGGCACGGGGGTCGAGAGCGTGGCGTCTACGGATTCATAACGTGTCGAAGGGGCCCATGAAGAAGGCATTGCTGCGTAAAGTGACGAGATCGGCTGGCTGGCTGGCTGTCCCGGCAGTCAGACATTCTTGTCTCCCTCCCCCCGGGCTGTGGTGCATAGAGAGTGAGACGCCACTGTGGCCCGCGCGTGAAGACCTAAGAAGAGTTGGACTCAAAGCCATCGCCCATCGCTGATCCAGTGCTGACGAAGCATATTGAAAATGAAATACAGCCGTTAGACGAGACCATGTTGCACTTTCCTTCTTCCTACGTTTCCCTCGCTTGCTTTGCAACGCCTACCCAACGTCTCCATCTCGAATTGGGGACACCTGCCACGCCTTACAACAACTTCAACTCCACAAAAGCCTTGACGACCGCGTCGTCGATCCTCCCCAGCCACTCCGCCTGGAAGGCCTGCTCGCCACCTACCCTGCCGACAATGCCACGCAGCTGCTCGGCGATGAAAGTGCGCACATTGACGTTATAGATCGGGTCATTGTTGCTGACGATTCTCTTGCGGCCGTCCTCGGGCGTCGCGTCCGGCCACTCCGGCACGTCCCGGCCACTGCCATGCCGATTGTGGAACAGGTAGTCGCCCTGGCTGTCGTCGGCGGCCTCGAGGCCCAGCTCGGTGCAGACGTCCGTCCAGATGGTGAACAAGGTCTGCAGGTTCTCGAGCATGATGGTCGGGAAGGGCGGCGTCGTGGCGCCGAGAAGCGACGTCAGGGCCAGGACCTGGAGCTTTTTGCGCAAAATGTCGCCTACGCTGTCGATGTGGAGGAGCCATTCTGCCAGTAGCCATTGGATGGGCTGCAGGGTATGCGACGACGACGACGATGACGCAGTGGCTGTGATGTCTGTCGCGGAGATGGCTTGGGCGAATTTATCGGGTGAGAGCAGGGCGATGCGCGCTAGAAGGTTGAACAGACTGGTCTCCCCGGGTCCGATGATCTCGGGTGGTTTCTTACTGGGACGAGGGTCCTCATGGTATTCGTAGGCTTCTTTGAGAGGTTGGAGAAGCGCCGCCAGGTAGCCAGTGTGCAGCATTGATTCGAGGAGGTGGGTCAACGCTTGCTGAGGGTCTAAAGGGGAAAGAGACGGAATTGGGATTGTGGCGACGAGATTCTCCAGGACGTGGGGTGCGAGGGACGCGTCTCGGGCGCGGCTCGTGGAGAGGGCTGCGAGCAGAGATTTGAGGCATGTGAGGAGCGGCTCGAGGAAGTCAGGGGCCAGAATGGTTGCAGGCGATAGTATCGTGTACGATTCGGCGAGTTCGAAGATTTGGCGCAGCAGGTCGCTGCCCATGTCGAGGAGTGGGAGGAGCGAGCGAGATAGGGACAGCAGGTCGGGGGAAGCGCTGTCTGTCGGTGTTTGTTGGACGATGGCGGACCACAGCTCGAGGGCCTCCTCCAGCAAGTATACTATGGCTTCTGACTGTGGTTGGATGGAATCGTGGATTAGCGGGAGGATGGGTCCGTGGTAGGCGAGGCTCTTCTGGCCGAGGCTGTTGACGATTGCTGTGATCATGGTCAAGATGGCCTGTTTCATCAAATGCTCTTCGCCGGATTCCGCCCAGAGCGGCGGAAGCATGGACATGATGCCCTGTGCATACGGCTCGATGTGTCCTTCAAGCCTCGTGACGGCCACTCGGACTGTCTCCAGAAGTGCCATTTTCGTTTCGGACAGCTCTGTGTCGGCCACCAGAGACATCACACTTTCCAGCAATGGCGTAGCGTACGGTTGGAAATCCGGGAAACTGAACTCGAAGGGCTCCAGGATCAACCGCAGTTGACGGGCCGCTGTTACTCGGACGACGTGATCGTTGAGCGGTTCTCGGCTGGAAAGCAAATGGGCAAATATTTGGTATACAGCCACTCGATCCAGTGTTTCAGGCTTGATCGGAACCCAGTGACCCAAGAGAATTGCAGTTCTTCGACGCAAAAGGTTGTAATTGGGTTCATTCATTTGGACTTCTGGCACCAGGGTGCTTCGAAGAAAGGTGTTAAAATCGAGTACATCCTCCAGGCAAGCGGCGGCGATACCAATGGCCGAATAGAGACTGTCCTTGAGGAGAACATCGGTGTTGGAAGTGGTGGCGTAGCGCTGGAAGACCTCGAGTAACCGCGGGACGAGTAGTTCCTTGAAATTGATGACCAAGTCCAGGAACAGCTTCTCAGAACATGAGCGGATCGAGAACTCCCACGCATCTGCAATCTCTTCTTCCCGTCGTTCCCACTCATCTGGTTCTTCCTCCCATTCTCGTAGGTCCGAAGGACGCAGTACAAAATACTGCGTGACCAGCAATTCCATCAGCCGAACGACAAAGTCTTGGGTAAGAACAGTATTCTTGATATAGTCCACAGCATCTTTTCTGTCTGTCTTGTCCTCGGGGGTGACGTATTTGAAGGTCTGCACGGGATTGAAAACCATTTTCAGGCAAGCCCGGAACAGTAATAGAGCCTTCAGGCAGAGCTTCTCGATTGGCGACTCCTCGTTCCTGTCGCCGTTGCGATATACCTTCCAGTCGAAGTTGCCTTGCAGAAGTGACTGCTTGACATAGCCTTGACTGATGGTAGTCCAAGAGCGGTTCAGAATGTCCATGCAGCCCAGGAGGACGAAGGACGCAGGATGGTTTCTGGCCATGTCAAGGTATAATTTCGATAACTGGAGGAGGTGCTTCAGCAGCATGCCTCGAATCTCCTCGGAGACGTCTTGTGTATATGCCGCCCAGAAGGATTGTTGGTGTGTCTGCAGGAGGTCCCAGAATTGTTTGACGGCATCGTCGCGATGGGGTCGCTCAAAGCCTGCGATTACAAGGCGGCGTAGAGTCTTGAGTGCGGAATGACTGCTGACTACACTAGACATATCGGACTGGTTGGACTGCCATCTTGCCACCAAGCTGATATAAAGACTGCCAAGAACCTGTAGAAGCTCCAACGAAACATCTTGAAGGCTCCTTTTTGTGCGCTGTAAGCGTGCCGAAGCCAGTTCTTTGATGATCTGCAGGGTGATAGTCAAGATGTTGGATATGTAAAGGGAGTCACTGGGGTCTTGACCGGCGGCTCGAAGGTGCTGAATTACCACACTGATCACGTCCGGCCAGTCATGTGGGAATTCGTACCTAACGATTTTCGCCAACATCAGGGCATTCTGGAGAGCGAGTGCAGAGACGGGTTCGCGGACGCCTGCATCGATCGACCTTGACCTGATTTGCTCTTTCTCAGCCTTGGTGATGGGGTTGATTGCCGTTTTCCGCCAGTGCTTGTCGATGCCGTTTTTGAGTTGAATGATGGCTTGGAAACGGACTTCTTGACCCAAGGAGAAATCCGAGTAGACATCCTGGAGAAGGGCATAATATCCTGCAGACCTCTCCCAGTTGCCGATCTGCTGCGTCGCGACCTTCAAGCTCTGAGCCGTCGGATGTGAGGCATTCGTGAGGGTTGATATAACAGCATCTCTCGTGAGCGGGTTCGTTTCCCCCTCCGCTTCGATGGTGAAAGAAGGCATCGTGAAGACAAGCGGCCTAGCGAGCCCGGGTGATCATATTGTGGTGAGGTGTGTGGGAGAGAAGAAGGGCAAGTGGCTGGGTATCCAACGAAAATCTCATCAACATGAGACCGACAATGCCTGAAGAAGGCTGGAACTGAAACAAAGGAGTTGCAGCCTTTCGGAGTGGCGTTTACAATGACAGCGTGGACCGTGGGCGTGTTGCTGTCTTGGTCACCTGCTCCCTGGTGTAGTGCACCTCGTATTGCAGGGGGTGTGGTCGTGGTGGTGTGGCTAGTAATTCATAGTTTCAGTGAGTCCGTCTTAAAGCGGCAGGCCGGCCAATCTCCCACCGAAGCATTCCCTCAATCGCCTCGAATGCCTCGGCTGCGGTCAAACTGTATTGTTTGCATCTGTTCACTCTTTCCACTCTGCTCTCCTCCCATGACGACGCCATGTCACCGAGCAGCTTCGCCGCTGCCCAAGAGCGCGTCCTGGCGCGACAGGTAGCCAGACAACAAGAAGCCCGAGCCCTGCATCCAGCCGTGCAGACAACGGACGGCGGACCCTCGTTTACGCGACTTACACAGTTGGTGCGGCCCAGACTCTCCTCATTGTGGACAACGTTACTAGACTCCGAGGGCACGAGGCCTGCTTTCAGGGTCGGCCAGGTCGATGCAGAGCTCCTGGATGAAGAGTTGCTTGGGTTGTTGAAGACCCAAGTAGGAGACGCATTGAAATACCTCGGGCCGCATTTGCAGGACGACTGGTCTCAAGAAATCCTACTTGTCCTGAGAGCCGTACTCTTCAAATTGTCCATATGGGACAACGATGCTTCGTACGGCGCCGCGCTACAGAACCTCCGATACGCCGACGCGAGGAAGCAGACAACACTGGCGCTTCCGAAGCCGACTTGGTGGCAGAAGAGTCTGTACGGCTTGATTACAGTATTCGGCCGCTATGGATGGGACAAATGGGAGGACTGGCTCATCGATCAGGAGAGGGGATATACAACTCCCTCAGAATCCATTCAGAGGCTGATGCGGCTTACCTCCTTTGTATCGACAACCCACTCGATTGCCGCCTTCTTTTCTTTCCTGGTTTTCATCGTCAACGGTCGTTACCGGACTTTAACAGACCGTCTCCTGAGATTGAGGTTGGCTTCTCCATCGAACCAAGTCAGTCGGGAGGTGTCGTTTGAGTATCTCAACCGTCAGCTAGTTTGGCACGCATTTACCGAGTTTCTATTATTCCTGCTTCCACTGGTGGGCATCAGTCGATGGAGGAGATGGCTTGTGAGAGCATGGAAGAGAACTAAGGATGCCATGAAGGCGGAAAATACAGAAGATGACGAGGAGAAGGCAAAGACGGGACCGCTGGCTTTTCTACCAGAAAGGACGTGCGCCATCTGCTATCAGGATCAGAATCCCACCTCGACATCCGAAGCTGAAATACTGGGCGCCAACACAGCCGCTGGTGGCGGCGTCATTGGCTCAGCCAATACCGACGTCGTCAATCCCTACGAGACCGTTCCTTGCAACTGCATCTATTGCTTTGTCTGCATCGCCACCAAGATCGAAGCAGAAGAAGGCGGTGGCTGGACTTGTTTACGCTGCGGAGAGATTGTCTACAAGTGTCGGCCGTGGAACGGCGATGTGGTTGTCGAGCAAGAGAAGAAAGCCACCAGCAAGACCGCGAAATCGGTTGGCTTCTCTGTGTCAAACAACGACTTAGATGAGTCCTCACGAAACGACTCTCCAGAAAGGGCCGCAGAGATGATTGATTCCGCCCTTACAAGTAGCCAGTGGACTATGGCAGATGAAGACACTCCAGGCGACTGAAAGGTCGATGCCCAGACCTGACAGACTACTCTTCCCACTCATCTCTTGCCTCACATCCCCCAAATTGGATCAGCAATAACACACCATCGCTTAAAGACGCGACATCAGCCACTCAAGTATACACCTTGCCATTGGCGATCAAGCCCTCATATGTTTCCTTGTCATGGCCGGGAATCACCTGGCCTTTTGTGGTCCTCTCCAGGTGCTTCAACCGCTGAGTGCTCTGAAACCATGCCGGATGATCTCTAGCCAGCCAGCCTTGCGGGATCCCGTCGCGCCACTACATCAAGGTGTCAGCTCCAGTCCACACAAGAGGTCGCCACCACTTACATTCTCGATCACGTGGCAGTGGTCACTAATGAAGAAGAAGGTTCCGCTATCTGGCATGTTGATCTGCATTCCGATCAAGCCTGTGGATGTCAGAAGCTCGTTCTCTTCAGCGCAGTTGTGTACAACTCACCGTCAGTGTGACCTGGCAAATGGTGCAGTGTGATGCCCTGGCAAAAATCGAATGTCCGCTCATCGAAGGTCTTCCAGTTCCTGCCAAGTGTCAAAGAGTGTTCCCCTGGGTGTGATTGAAGAAAGCGACGTACAAGCTCAGCTTCAGATAGTGTTCGAGGTAGACGCCGACGTCTGCCCCAGTCGCCACAGACCAGAACGCCGATCTCAACTCGCGGTCGTGCACCCAGATCTCGACATCCTTCCTGTCCAGGAATTCGTCCAGCCCTCCCGCATGGTCAAGGTGCAGATGGCCGATGATGATCTTCTTAATATCTTCCAATTTGTTTCCGGTCGCCTCCACCGCTGCCCTGAGCTCGTGCTGTGGCTCATAGCGGATACGAGAGAATACGTCCGCGAGGGCAGGACCCCAGACTTCAGGATAGTCCTTTCCGCAACCGGTCTCCCACAAGATAAGACCTTCATGTGGATGTTCGATGAGGACACAAAAGACAGGCAATTCTCTCCGTTTGTTCACGAAAGCTTTGTTCTCGGTACTTTTCGTGCTTGTATTTCCTCCACGAACCACAAACGCTTCGTCGCACTCGAGCCAGCCTACCTCAAGGATGTGGAACTTGGTACCTTTGGGGCAGACGTTAGAGATGTGATTGGGCACCGCGCCGCGGTCGAGTTGTCCTTGGATGCCAGCCATGTTTACGCAGAGCAACGATTTGTCCACTGAATCAGCAAGAACCAGTCCTTGAGAGGAGAGAAACGATTTGTTCACAGAACAGGCAAGAACCAGTTCTTGAGAGGAGAGAATCCTTGGAAATACCGCTGGGATTTGAGGGGGACTTCGAGATTGGGCTCACTCCACCCCGCATTTAAATCCCATTCCCTCCACTCGTGGAGTTGGCGAAGTCATCGAGAGGAGTAGCAGTGAGGCAACTGTCCGAGAGATGTGGAAACTACGAGGGCCAGCAATCGCTCGCTTCCGAGACTGCAGCAACATCTCGAAGGAGCTAGGTTGACGCCATGGTGGTTTTGTGGAAGCTCTAATCTCGCACCAACGGGAAGGTTGATGGCCCTTCACAAGGCGGGGAAGGGCCGAACGACATGCTTAGACGGACTGCACTTTGGAAGCCATGACGTTTTCTTCTCGGTTCAAGGCCGGGCGTCTCCAATTGGTTGAACGTTACCGAAATGAGAGCTCACGCACCAGCTGACGAGGGACGAGCTGATCTCTTCTCGCAGAGGGGAATGTCCGAGGCTTCTGCCTTCTCCAACTCGCAACGTCCCAGGGCCTCCACTTAACCCGTTTCCGCACCAGTCGCCACACTTCTATTGTGGAATCGCCGCAGGGTCCGCCGAGGTGTGCTTGCTTGTTGCCTCCTGTTCCTTTGCCCTGTTTTCCTGGAGTAGTTTCATCTCCCTCTCAACCCTTCGGTTCCAATTTCTCAATCTCCGCATATGGAACGGGCAAGTGTAGTGGCTGCACCAAAGCTTTGAGCGGTGTTGAGAGAGATGGGGGAACGCTCGCACTACGATCTGCAAATGCCCTGAAGCGTTGTGTTCGGCCTCCTCAGTGGCGGCAGTCTTGATGAAGACAGGGTCATTCATGATCATGATCGCCATCGACTTGCTGGTCAAAGCTAACAGCACGAAATCGCGGTAGGACAAGTGGGAGAGGACGGCCAGACAAAGCTCTGCTGGAAAGCCGGTGAGGTGGGCAATGATTTCGAGGAGGTCGCCTGACAATTGCTGAGTATTGCTTGGTACAGTCGCAAGAATCTGGTAACACGTGTCAGAGCTCTTATTGCCTTGTGAGCCGGTGCTCGCGTACCCTCTGAGGAATATGGAACGGGCTGATCGGCTGCGACACAACGCTTTCTATGGCCTCGTCGGAAGGAGTCATGATGGTTATCCAATTTTCGCCCACATTGAAAAACCTCGACGGCAGTACTGGATCTAGAGAGCTGACGGCGGCGGCCATGGTGTTAGAGAGCAACGAAAATGAGGAAGCCAGGCAGGAAGTCGACATGATCGATCATGCTGCCGACATGAGCACCCGGGAAAAGGCCAGCGTTGGTGTTGATTGTGCTTCACTGACCCTTCAGCTGTCAATGTCGTAGAGTGACATTTAATCAATAGATGCTTCACTGTCAATGACAGAACGTTGACATTATGACGTTAACCCACTCAAAGGCCTTTCAGTGAGCTATTCTGTTCATGGTGGGTGAAGAGGGCTGTTCCTCTCATCGGTCGTCTCTTGTGCTTGCATAAACACATTCCCTGGGGGGCTCGTCGTGATCGGCGACGCCACAAATCTCTAACTCACGAGAGAGAGGGAGAGAGAGAGAGAGAGAGAGAGAGATTAAAAAGGTAGATATGAGACGCGTCCAACTGGAGGTCACTCCCTCTATACCTCGTCTTGCTCCTCTGGATATCTAGGTATCTATTTATCGTGTGTGGACGCAGACTCGCGAACTCTGATGTCATCGGCCGGAAAGGGCTAGGGTCGATGCTAAGTGGCTAGCGCGGATCTGGACCGTTCGCTGAGGCATGACTGAACGGCACTGCCACTTGTATGAATCACCAACACAGTCACTTCGGAGTCTATCTCAATGCCCCTTTGGCCAGCATAACAAGACAGCTGTGCTCTTCCTCCTCAGACTTCTTACACCTCTGACTGTACAAGACCTCGAGAACATGACACCTTATGCTCTACAGTCATCCTCACCCAGCAAGTCCACCTTCCTCTAACCGCCCCGCGCTCCACTCGAGGTCTATCTTTCCTACGAGTTATCGCCTCCCATGACGGAAGTCGAATCCCTGTCATGGGATCTAAACGATGCTATCAAACTGTTGAACAACCTTTCATTCCAAAGACACGATCCCGCGCCCGGTCATCGCACAGCCCCTCACTCCAATGACACTCTAGCTGAGCAGAACAACGTCGAAGGCTCGCTTGGAGATTTCTCTGCTTTGTGGGATTTCCTGGGACGCCCGCATATTCCTGACGAGGCACAGACTGCCGAGTTAGTGAAGTATGCGATCAACGACGAAGCCGTCGCTGAGGTTGATCTCAACCAGCTAAACAAAGGCGTTCGGTGGCGGGATGAGGTGGATGGGGCCGATCTGGAAGACAATGTTGAGCCCACCGGTGACAAGGCCACTGCTGCATACATACGCAATCAAAAGCGTGCGGCAAGACGCGCAAAGGCGAAGGAGAAAGCCGCCCAGCTTGCCACTCTACAAAAGACTGCTTCTGACACCACCGACCATGAGTCTGGAGAAGAACTCGAATCGCTGCGCCGCTCGCCAGACCGCAGAGCTGTTATTGACAGGATTCTCGGCCGAAGCCGGCCTGGCCTCCATGACAACAGCTCCCCGCCTACCTCCCCGTCACCTCCCACCGCTGAACTTAGAACTCCGAAACGCGATCTGCCTGTTTCCAATCCCTTCGTCTGGAACGGCCCCGCCATCTCAACGCCGTCGAAGAACACAATCATCGCTCCTCGCGATAAGCTCAGTCCGAGAGAAAGGAAACACGCGTTGATCACTGAGCTTATCCAGCAATACCCAGGAGAGAAAAAATATCTGAAGAATGCCGGTTTACTGGAACCTGCCTTTACACCCTTGAACGTCTCCAATATCGGGATACACGTCTTCGTCGACATGTCCAACATATCCATTGGCTTCCATGACTGTCTGAAAATAGCACGCGGAATGTCCCGCGAGACTCGTCTCAAACGCGTCCCTCTCTCTTTTCACAATTTTTCTCTCGTGCTCGAACGAGGCCGACCGGCCGCCAAACGTGTCTTGGTCGGATCCGACAAGTATGCGGCAATCCAAAAAGCCAAATCGATCGGCTATGAGACGAACATTCTTGAACGCGTGCACAAGGCCAAGGAGCTGACGCCGCGTCAGAAGAAGTACCAGTCCCGATCTGGCGGGGAAACCAGTGGATCTGAAACGAACACGGGCCTTCCTTCCATGACATTCGGGGCGGAAAAATGGGTCGAGCAGGCTGTGGACGAAATTCTACACCTGAAGATTCTCGAGTCGTTGATTGACGCGAAGAAACCCAGTACCATCGTCCTCGCCACTGGCGACGCGGCCGAGGCCGAGTACTCTGGCGGGTTCCTACGCATGGTCGAAAGAGCGTTGGAAAAGGGCTGGTGTGTGGAGCTGGTGAGCTTCAAATTGAATACCAGCAGTTTGTACAAGAGAAGGGAGTTCCGTTCGAGATGGGGCCAGATGTTTAAGTGGATCGAGCTTGATCCTTTCGTGGAGTATTTGATCGACGAGGAAGAGGATGGTGGCTAGTGGTCGCCATCTCTCTCCTCCAGTTGTTCGTCAAGACCAACGACGGCCGCGGAGCTCACCATGGCTCTTTTGCCGAGTCCCCGTACCAGCGTCCTGACAGCTGCCCAGAGGACTGTGCTGGACGCCCAGAGACGGCTTCAAAGCATGCAACAGGCCATGTCTTTTGACCAGCTTGCTTACACGAGCATAGCGAGGTTTTGAATAGTTTGACTGGAACCGTTGTGTGATCTACACGAATCTGAACTCCAGTATGGCAGCTGTCACAGCTGAGGGCAGGCACTTTGGAATCATAGCCAGTTGGCCGTCGATCGATTGAGATAGCTGATATGTGAACAAATGCCGGATGACGGAACTCTCTCTACAATTTTTCAGGGTTTTCCTCACCTCGGTCATGCTCGATTTAGAGAATCACGGTCCATGGTGTTATACGGCTTTGATGTTTAGGCCGGTGTCGAACGGACACGCACGTAGTTTCCACCGTACAACGCCCTGCGCCCGCGTACGATATTCAGGGAGGCTCCTTACGCCATGGGGACCGTCTCCTACGCCAGGACCTGTGATTGAAGGCTCGAGTCACGATCTGCTGCACCTAAAGTAGAAAACGTGCATTTCTTGGAAGTCGATTTACAGATGGGAGGCCTGAGGGACGATGAACACGTTGCTCGACAGTGGGCGGTGCGGCCGAAAGAAAAGATAAGCAGCGAGCGTGGCACGACGAGATCCCCGTGAAAACCACAACACCATCACGATACTCGTGTGTGTACAGATGCGGCCCTGGTACTCCATGTTTAGTCGGCTTTTAGACATTTCTTGGTGGATTGAAGCTTTACTAGCCCCTCGTCGCAATCCACCAGGAGCAGATCGGTGTGCGAAGACGATCCCCCTTCCAGACTCGTCCATCGCCTGGGCTCGGCCTCTCGCGTCTGCCATATGTCCGAAATCTCCTCGCCAGTTCTGCCCTCGCACCTTCGTACTGGCCGCAGCTCGTCCGTCCGTGATGCTCCGCATTCATTCGCGCATTTCGCTCTCAATGACGCTCTGGCCATGAGGACGGCAAACCCAGATCTGGTTCAAAATGCGTCCGAACGAGCGAAAGTCCATGCTTGCCATGCAATTGCTGTATTTCACGTGCACACGCCCGCCCGATTTGCGGACTGACGAGGCAGAGTATTGGCCAACGCGAAAGACGTGACGCCCGATTCATCGTACTTCGCGCGGTGGTATCGATTTCCACTGAGGCGTTGAGGCTTGCTTGTGTTGTCCACCTACGGTACCTTGTTCCCTGACTCGCATGGTCAGGCTACGAGAAAGAAGTAGTATATAGTTGCTTCGGAGGTGATCCTTGGTTCGCTTCTCTTCTCCCTTATTCTGTACCGATAACAAGATCTCGACGACGCTCTGGTCGCCAGCTTAGACACATTTGACCGCCCTATCCTCAATCGGAGCAGCTCTCGCCTCAACCCCCGCTCACACAGCAGTCCTCACTTCCATGATCCCGAGGATCGCGCCATCCAGCAGCTCAAGTGTCTTCGGATCCGCGATGGACGACGATCTCGAGAAGACGGCAGCATTACCTGCAGGAGATGCGGATGGTGAGAGCGAAAAGAAGCTCGAAGGAGCTCGTGACGACAACATTGCAGCGCCTCCAGGAATCAACCCAATGGACCCATCTCAATTCCCTGAAGGAGGGCTTGAGGCATGGACGGTCGTGTTCGGGTCTGCCTGTGGCATATACGTCAGCTTCGGCTGGATCAATTGTGGGCCTCTCAATCTCTTGATATTGGTCGCTGATTCGATGCTCATCTCCTGGCTTGAATAGGCATCGGCGTCTTTCAAGATTACTACCAGTCACATCAGCTCAAGGAGTATACGTCGCAAGAAATTGCGTGGATTCCATCCCTCGAGGCCTTCATGATGTTCATCGGTGGCCTGTGGGTTGGTCGAGTCTACGGTAAGCCTTCTTCCGCACCTTCTACCACGACCACTAGCTGACGACGCTCAGATAACTACGGTCCTCGTGTCCTCCTCCTGGTCGGCACCTTTCTCCATGTCTTTGGCTTGATGATGGCATCGATATCCCACAAGTACTATCAGTTCCTGCTCTCGCAAGGCGTCTGCTCCGCGTTTGGGGCGTCGATGATCTTCTACCCGTCCATGTCCTGCGTGGTGACATACTTCTTCCGCCGCCGATCGCTTGCCCTGGGCATCGCGGCAACTGGATCGAGTATAGGTGGTGTCATCTTCCCAGTCATGGTGGAGAAGCTGATCCCGCAAGTCGGCTTCGGTTGGACGATGCGTATCTGCGCCTTTATGGTTCTGGTATTGATGGTCATGGGAAACTTGACACTGAAGAGCCGCATCCCGCCTATGGCAAAGCCAGTCCGTGCCATGGACTTCGTGAAGCCGTTTCTGGAGGGAGACTTTGCACTGTTGGCGCTGGGAAGTTTCCTAACATTCTTGGGTGGGTCGCTACAGTAACACCGATCCAGCCATGCTGTCGCTCACGATTCATCAGGTCTCTTCCTTCCCTTTACGTTTATCATTCTCGCTGCCCAGGAGCGTGGCGTCCCGGACGGACTTGCCAAATACCTCGTCGCAGTCCTCAACGCCGGGTCCACGTTCGGCCGTACAATCCCTCCGTTTCTGGCCGATCGACTGGGTCGCTTCACGGTCTTCCTGGCCATGGGCCTCCTCTCATGCGTCATCGTCCTTGCACTCTGGCTTCCATCATCTGGCACGGCTGCCACCATCGTCTTTTGTCTGGTTTTCGGCTTCTCGAGCGGTGCCGTGGCCAGTATCTTGCCGAGTCTCGTCGCGACAATCAGCCACATCAGTCAGATCGGAGTGCGAACCGGGTGCAATTTCAGTGTCGTGGCAGTGGCAGTTTTGATTGGGAGTCCGATCGGTGGGCAGTTGATCCAGAACGACGGGTACAAGAGCATGCAAGGGTTTAGTGGTGCCTTGTTGGGTGGCGGACTCATCGTCTTCACCGTGCTATGGGTCAGACTGGGAGGGTTGACGGGGAAGAGGGTGTAAGAGGGCACAATTAGCAACAGTACTGTGTGTCGAGGGGGTCATTTGTTGGCTTGCGAGGCTTAGACATTACGCTGAAAAACTCCACGCTCCTACACAGAGATGCCGGCTGCAATCCGCCAATCTCAGCAACGACGCTGCACTTTGTTCCTGCCGCATGGAGGAAGTCCTGTCACACAGTTGTTCCCTCCCATGCACCTGTCAATGACAGTGGCGGTGGCGCATTGGCGGAAGTGGACACCTGTTTCCTGTCTCCTGTTTCCTCTGTGGGACGCACTTAATTAGCTACCATCTCTTGTCTGTCGATGGACGAATCCGTAACGACCCGGTTGGACTTCCTGCTCTGGACACAGGATTCGACGTTCGACGGTCGTACCGGGGGTTAATTAACATTTCCCTGAGCTCAAGCACGCTCACGCCGACTCAGGTGCCAACAAAACACGATGGCTTTCGCAAAGCCGACCCGGTGGACCATGTGTCTCTTGTGGTTATTGTGCTTCCTGTTGAGCAGCACACAGCCTTGTCATGCTGATGCTGATGCTGATGCTGATGCTGACGGTGATGCTGATGGCGGTGATGGTGGTCATGTCGCCCCGAACTTTGAACCCCCTTTCAGCACTGGCCAACATGCAATGGATAGTGATATTGGCCCGAAGTTTGAGTTTCCTTCAGGTACCAGCCAACACACAAAAGACGAGATGAACACGGCGTCAAAGGACGCAATGACACTGGCGAGATTGGTGGCCATCACCTCTGTCCCTTGCGATACGGTAAGAAGTGTCCATTGCCCCTTCGAGCGGGCAGTCCTGTGGCCATTGACACACTCCCTCCAGGGCTTCCTGCGATACTTCCAACCACAAGACCATTTGTTCGTGCAGCGAGTTTTCCGCACCATTGCCAACATCCCCTTCGGCCAGCAATTTGACCCCAGCAATATCGCCGAGCTTTTGACGTCGATGGACAAGGAGCCGACGCTGAATCCGAAATTCGAGCATTTATCAATCTCTCTCGGAGACCACCCCGATGTGCGCGAGCAAGACCGCGGAAGAAGTTGCAAGGATGGCAAGCTGGGAGCTCAAACGACATATCTGCCTTCGGTGTATGGTGATCGCGCGTTGATGGCGCTTTGCCAGCCGTCGTTCGAGTTCTACTACTCCCTGCAGGACATTGAGCATCCGCCTGAGTGGGCCCTGACTGCACCAGGCGGCAAGCCAGAAGGTGGATTCAGCTGTGACGGCTTGCTCGACAGAGATAGCAGCTACATGCTCAGTCCCGGCTCTGTCATCCTCCATGAGCTGATGCACTGGTGAGTTTCGCTTGCTCGTACTCCGCTTCTGACAATATTCTGCCCCAATCAGATCTGCATGCTGACAAGCTTCCTTGGAGTATGTAGGCCCTATCTGCTGCAGGATATCCCAGATTATGCCAGGCTCGCGCAGCCAACGACGGGTGGATACTCCAAGATCCTGGACTTCGCGGGGCCGAATCCGTCCGACGGCTATGCTAAGTTTTCGAGTTGCTGAGCTGTCGCACCAAGGTCGAAATGCAGGTTTTGCCTGTGTTGTTGTTGGCTTCTGTACCAGATCTGCCTTCGTGTGTCTGACTGATTGACATGGGTATCGACTTCAGGTCCAATGTTGGCTACCCTGCGCCACGCGACTTCACCCGTGCTGAGCTCGTCGATGCCGAGCGTCTGGCGCCTTCCCCACGGTTGCGGCGCTGAGACACCCGTGCGTGATGTGCAAGAGATGAGGAATTGAGAAATCGAAAATTTCCAAATATTGTTGGAGCAGAAGCATAGCTATGCTCCAGCCACGACCGCATTACCTCCTCCATACACATAGCCTCTCACACTTCAAGCATTGACACTCTGACAGTTTAGGGTTGTAGCGACATATGCATGGATTGAAGCAGCAGCATACTTCTAACACTCTGACAACTGCAGTTATAGGGTTGTAAGCAACACATAGATACATGGATTGAAGCAACATATTACCCCTAACAGTAAGACAGTTATAGGGTTGTAGCGAGCCACGGACCAAGGCATTGGCAGGTGAGGCGTACATGAATCGAAGCAACGCTACCTATACCTCTAACTAACACCTTGACAACTGCAGATATAGCGATGTAGCAACAATAACGTAATATGGATCGGATACCCTCGTGACCCTGCCATCGACATAATCTCACGGGATCGGATAAGTAATTATAGGCCCTTGCACAGAATCTGTCTCCCTGACTGTCTCCCTGACTGTCTCACTAGCTCACTGACTGACCCTGTAATCTTCCTTGCTTGACGCATATCAGTATGGTATGTACTCCGTACCAGGTATTGAGAAAGCCAAAGGCAAAGACCAGCCACCGCCACTCTTACTCGTGTCTTCCAAGTTTGACAACACCGACACCAACACCAACACCAATAGGTTGTGCTGCTTTAATACACAGCTCTTCCCTGACGAATTCTTATCAGTCTCGGACACCAAACCACCAACACACATTATGTTAACACCACGCTGATGCCTTGCTGACACCACTCTGACACCACGCCTTAGGCTTTAGGCTTTTGAACCACTACGGTAGAAGACAGGGGTATTAATCTACCTTCTTACCTACTTACCCACCCAATCGCCCACGCTACCAACCTATTGACACTAACTACGTAGGTACGTCCTCGACCCACCTTCCCGCATCATATGATACAAATCGTACTCTCATTCCGCTTACTCGAGTTGGGTCCCCAATAATACTGCCCCAGCGCCGTCTCATTATGCCCCGGCGGAGTCGTCAAATTATGCACCAGATCCCTCGTCAGGGAACTCACCCGCGTCAAGCCCACGCGCTTGTACCGGATGCCGAACTCGCCGTCCGTGGCCTGCACGAGCAGACACGTGAGGTAGCGCTCGTCGCGCAGCACGGGCAAGCAAAACACCTGCGCGCACGGGCCGAACACGGACGGCTCCGACGCCGGGCTGTCCAGGTAGACGAGCTGGTATTCTCGGCCGACGGGCTGGCCGTAGCGCACCAGTCGCCAGGTGTACCGGTTCTCGTCCCCGGAGGGAATAGCGGTGGCGGCGGTGGCAGAGGAGGAGAGACGACCACGGAGGTGTCGTAGGGACAGACAGACCAGGCTGAGCAGGCCGTAGCAGCATGTCCAGATCAGGAGGCGCACACGGTGGCGGACGAGGGTGTCGAGCCCGCAGAATTGGAGGACCGCGACGAGAGGCGTCAGGCAGATGGCGAGCGAAATGACGACGAGGACGTCCCAGTTGATGGCGTGGACCTGTAATGAGAAGAAGGTCGGTGGTGGTTAGCGAGTGTGCAAGCAAGCATGTGGGTAAGTGTGCAAGCAATGCAAGGAGATAACACAACATATGACTAGATGATGGGACGGAAACGTCGCGCAGCACTTACAAATGTTTCAGTCCTCGAGAGGGATGGTGGCTTTGGGGCAGCCGCGTCGGTCAGTTCGATCTTCCTGAGCACGCCTTTCACGACGATGTACCCGTCTGTGATGAGACCGAACTTGTCCTCGATGGTCCGGTAACTCAGGCGGACGACTTCCACTTCGATGAGCAGGCCCGTGTCGGTCGTTTCGGCGAATGTGATGCCCCGGGGTGTTTCGACCGAGGCCCATGAGAACGACGGGGCGCGATAATCTGCCGGTCGGGTGTTTTCGAAGGGTTGTCTGTTCTTGCCGGTCCCTTCGTTGACATACCACAGGAGCTGGCTGGCTATGTACTTCTGCCACATGCCGGCAATGTACTGATCCTCTTCGTACCCTTCGTTCTTCATCCTGGACGCCAGCATCCGCGCAATCCCAGACAGGGCAATGAGCTTGTCTTGCGGCATGGTGAGCTCCAGCTTGGTGTACACTTCGACCCAGTGCTTCCATAGCTCGTAGAGGTAGAATTTCTTGAGCTGCACTTCGTCGCTCATCTTCTGGAGACGGCTCGACAGCGTGGACCCATGGCTGCTCGCCTCGCGGATCGCGCGCAGCTGCTTGCCGGTGTCCAGGTCCACGCTTTTCAGGTGCAGGCCCTGGATGAGGACGCCGGACTTCATCCGGAAGTGAGGCATGCCCTCGGGGCGACATTCCGCGCGACTGACCTCTCGACATTCGAACGCGATCTGGTCTTCGCACCAGTGCAGCACGCGTGGCGCGAGCAGCCGCTCCTGGTAGACCCAGGAGCGGCGGTTGACGGGCGCATTGTCCACGTACTTCTCCCAGAAGGAGAGGTCCAGGATGGTGCATCCGACCTTGCCTTCGGCACTGTTTTGAAGGTGCTGGGTGTTCAGTGTCACGGTCTCGATCCATTTCCAGTTCATGTCCCTCTGGCCGTACAGACCTCGGGAGTTGTCCAACGCGGCCGTGGCCGAGATGTTGCAGTAGGAGTTGGCGTAGACTTGCTCCATGGTCGCAGACTCCTCGAGCCAATCCTTCAGGTCCTCATCCTCCTGGATGATGCACAACGCATCGATCCACAGCCATCGTTTGTCCAGCTCGCGGGTGACCTTGATGGCGTCTTGGAACGTCTGCGGAAGATCTCTTAGCGGGATGCCGTTGAGAAAGGAGGTGAGCTTCGCCCTGGTGAGCTTGAGAAACGGCACGTTGCCCCAGCGGTGGCTCAGCGTGACGTAGGGGCCTTCCGTCCGGGGTGCATTGGCATCAGTCTCGCCCGGCTTTCGGCTCACTAAGCGGATGGTATCTGCTGACTTGTCCGGGTCCAGTGCCGTGTGCACATCCAGGAGTCGGTTCGGGACCCATGCTGAGTCGGGGGATACGCGACACTTGTCGTGACCTTGCGTGCACTCGGCGATCCATTCCTTTGCCTTCTCCACCACCTTGGGATCTGACGTCGTGCCGCTGACAGGCTTGACTTGGACGTTGGCGGGACTTTGGGGGTCTTCAGAGGGTTAGGTCCACGCATCACCTCGGGCGGTTCAATGTCAAGGAGAATGGCTTACCGTTTTGCTTGAGGACGAAGCTTGCCACCAGCACTTTATTGGGCTCCAGGAAGAAATCCAGCGGGTACAGGCCGGTCTGGCGGCGGCGGCCAAACGGCTTCAGGCGGGCGGTGAGAAAAGGTTTCGAGCCATCGTAGGCGTCGAGATTGACGTTGGCGCTCTCTAGCCTTTCCTGGATCAATCGGCACAAATAGCAACCTTGCTGGACCGAGCCGACGAGGTTCCGGCCTTTGGCGTGGTGCTTGAAGTTCAGCTCGAGTTGGGACCCTAGGCTTGTCAGTCCTTTCCGGCCTTTGTGGTCATAAAGCATATCATGGCAGACTTTGCAGATCATGGTCGCCAGCGTCGGATGCCCCGTCATGAAGAGTGCTTGCGACGAAACCTTTCGATGCTCTCGACAGCCTCAGCCTCAGCCCCTTGCCCAGGAGCCCAGGCACATTAATTAATTACTCAGCGGGTGTTTCAGTTCCCCGCGTTGCGTCGCTTGTCCAGGGATGCCGCGCTGGCATTCGATCGCTTCGACGAGTCAACTGTCATTGGTGGGCATGGCCGCGCCTGTCCCAAGGCGCTCGAATTGTTCCCAATGCGTCTTCAAAATCCCTTTGTGAGGAATCATCCAGGGAACGCACCGTCGCGTGTCTGTAAAAGGCCGTTTCGACAGTCACACAGGAGGGCAACGACATGGCCGCCACATTCAACCTCCCGAGGGAACAGGGTGAGCCTCTCGTGGAAGTCAAGTTACCCGCCAACATCACGCGGCAGCAGTTTCTAGAATTCAAGCCCTTCGAGCTCTGGTTGAAGACGCTCCGTCAGTCGCTTCGACTTCAGTCCAACCGGGATCACGTCTTCCACGACCGGAAAGAGCGTCATACGCTCCGCTCCATCAACGTGCAGTCTGTGGATTGGTTTGGCAAACGAATCGGCTTCATCAAGATGGAGACGGTGGTATCGAACGAGAATGGCTCACCACTGCCGGGAATTGTCTTCCTCCGGGGCGGTAGCGTGGCAATTCTGATGATCCTCCGACCACAGGTTGGCGACACGAACAGCGACGAGAGATTTGTGGTCATGACACAGCAGCCACGCGTTCCGGCCGGGAGTCTGAACTTCTTCGAGATCCCTGCCGGCATGATCGATGATGCCAAGACCTTTGTAGGCGCCGCTGCGAACGAGCTGTATGAAGAGACGGGCTTGACCATCTCCCAGCACGAACTGAAAGACATGACGAAGCTCGCCCTGAAGGATGCCAAGGGCTCGGAAAGCCATCTGCAAAAGGCCATGTATCCCAGCCCGGGCGGCTGTGACGAGTACATTGCTCTCTTTCTGTGGGAGAGGACGATGCCGTTGATTGAAATCATGGAGTTGAAGGACAGGCTGTCAGGGACCGACAAGGAGAAGATCACCGTCAAGCTCGTGAAGTACGAGGAACTGTGGAGGGAGGGTGCGAGGGATGCAAAGACTCTGGCAGCCTGGGCTCTCTACGAAGGGCTCACAAGAGAAGGCAGCTTGGAGGACGACGAGGATGACGAGGACGAGTGAATGGGTTGATGAAGCTCTAGATGTTTGTATACCCATCCGGGCATCATTCTCGTAGACGACTTTGCCCACATCGGACGAAGATCTGATGTGCCTTTCTCTCGAATGCTATTCGGGGATTCAGTAGCATCCGTGAGGCGGCCACCCACATGCCTCCTATGGAAACTCCGACCCGTCTCCCTCCTTCAAGCACAGTCAAGGTGTATAGGCTTTTGGACGTCTCTGTGACATGAGCTAGAATGGGTAGAATCTGCCATTTCCATCCGAAGCATCTTCGGACATGCCGGAATATCGAAAGCGCTCTAATCAAATGACGTAGCCGGAGTCTTTGGCGACCACCACAACTTGTACCCGTGAGTTTCTTTGTGCAACTACCACGGGTTAGAGGCTGGATTCGGAACGATGGCGGTACACGTCGTGCTTCTCATTTCACCATCCAGACGCTGCGAAGGCTGAACGACGGTCGACAGAGTTTTTACCCATGGTCTCACGCGTCATGCGAGGAGAGATGGCATAAAATCACCTCCGGCTCCATCTTGATATCATATCGAGGAATCAAACGCTTGCGACGAACCCGCAACCAATTCTCTCCCCGGCTTCTACCATCGGAAGAAATGGCCCTGGTGCCAAAGTACAGGGTCAGGAAGAGGCCTCGGCGAGAGTCAAGCGATGGCTTCTCTGTCGAGGAGATGTCTCCGGATGACATGGGCTACGATGGAGATATCGAAGTCCTCCATCCGGACCAGTATGAAGAACCCGAATCCGAGTTCGAAGATGAAGCACTTAAGAAGCTATGGCCCGACACCGACGACGAGCTTGCCAGCAGGTTACGACGGCTCTCGTGCGAGCGTCAACCCAAGAGCGCCCATCGAGGGGATTACGCATACGATCGAGGGCGAAAACGCCTTTCGACAGAGATGGATGATGACGAGGACGAGAGCCCGGCACTCGACGCGACAGAAATCGAGATTTCTGAACTGGTCGACGGGCACGCCGCACAGCCGCCGATGAAACGGAGGCGAAAGAGGAGCGAACGGACGCCTCTGGGGCAGCGGGTTGTGAAGAGACAGGCACAAGAAGCATGGACAGACAGCTCGGACAAGTCGGAGGATGCGGCGCTCGAATCTTCAAACTCTCCCAGCACGCCCGAGCGCACCACGACACCATCCAAACCTCGCGGGCCCGACGACAGTGACGCGATGGAGATCGGATGATGTGGCACCGTATTAGAGATATTCTGTCACTTCACGGCCGGCGTTAGCGAGGCCGCACCAGGACCCTTGTTCCTGACTAGCATGGACCATCGACCAGAATGACTTTCTTCTGTCTCACACCTGCAGCTGTACCAGCAGCCGATCCCGTCTTACATCATTGTACACAGCGATGCCACCAATGCCGCCGCGGTGTGGAGTAGGAACTTTAGCTGCACCTCATGCATCCAGCCATCGCGATGACAAGAATGCGCCAACCGCAGCTTCGTCAAATGCTTCCTGACTTCTCGCTCACCTTCCTCTCACTCTCCCATCACCACCCACTTTAGCTGTTCCTCATCTTCCCCGCACCACCTGCCTGCCAGCCATTGCGAAATCACCTCCCACACCCAGACGCCATGACCGGGCGGCGCTCATCTGCACGCATTGCTGCTCAATCGAGCTCCCAGGGCTCTCAGAGCTCGTCCCCACCTCATCCGAAATCGTCGCCGGCCGGCAAGAAGCGCAAGAATGATGCGACGGGCTCTCCACCCAGCGCAAAGCGCGGCAAGAAGAACGGAGAACCGGCACAGAAGACCTTGGAAGAGACCATACAGAAGTATTACTCCCCTCCGTGGGTGGCTGTCCATTGCTGACAAATGGTTTCTAGTGGAACCTCTGAGCAACCTGCTCCGGAGGAGCCGGATGAAGAGATGAAAGACACAGCAGAGGACAAACAGGAAGAGACCCAGCCCGAGTCGACCAATGGCCATGCGACTGAGTCCAAGACGGAAGACGCGAAGGCTGAGGAAGAGGAGAGCGTCGAACCCAAGAAGGAAGCTGATAATAAAGAAGCCGAAACCGGAGCCTCGGAATCCAAAGAAGAGACCAAGCCAGTTGAGACAAATGGCAACGCGGTTGAGCCCGGGGCCCGGGACGACGACGATGTCCCCTCAACCATCCTGGAGAAAGGTATCATATACTTCTTCTTCCGGCCCCGCGTCAATGTCGACGATCCCCAGGACGTCAACGATGTTGCGCGCTCATTTCTTGTTATGCGACCGATCCCTCTCGATGCAAAACTGGGGGACGGCCCCATTGGCGACGAGGGGAATTGCCGTCTTCTGGCCTTGCCAAAGAAGGTACTCCCCAAGAGCGGCAAGGACCGATTCATCACCTTTGTCGAGAAATGCAAGACCAGCTTCGCCGAACTCAAGGAGACTTTCTTGACCGGCTCCGAATACCAGACGAAGACTCAGGGCACGAAGCACACTGCACCAGTCACTCCACTTGCCGAGGGCATCTACGCGATCACGTCTACTGGCCGCGAATCGCACCTCGCCTATATCATCAACATCCCTTCCGAGGTCGGTGAGGTCCAGACAGACTTTGGCCTCAAGCAGCGCGGAAGCTTTGTGGTCAGTGTCAAAAACCCGGAACAGCCACCTACGGGCCAGCAGAATGTGCCGTCAGGACCCGAGTATCCGCAAGAGATTGTCGACGAGTTCCGGGGACTGCGCTGGAAGCCATTGGAGCCAAAGTATCTGAATTACGACCATGCCCAGTTCCTCATGATCGGAGAGGATTATGAAAAGGCCACTGAGCAACGGCCCAAGGATCAACGTGAGGATAATGCTCCGCCTGAGCAAGAACTCGAGAAATTGGAGGGTGAAGATGAGATCCGCGTCAAGCATTTGAAAGGTAAGTGCTGGACGTGTTCTGTTGTTGATGCGACTGTGTCCTAACCAGCTTGGCAGGCGACGATGCCATCTTTACCGACCTGCACGTCACAGCCAAAGACATCCCCGAGGTGCGGACGACTTGGTGAACGTGAGATGGAGAAGTTGATATCTGTGTGCCGAGCCTCATGTGCGAACAAGAGAGCTCAATGTGACAAAAGTACGAGTCCAGGAGCTCAACGCGACAAAAGTACGAAGAAAGGAGCTCAACGCGACAAAAGTACGAAGAAAGGAGCTCAATGTGACAAAAGTACTTTACTCCTGGAGATAATTAGCTAGGTCCGGCTGTTTTTATGAAAATTGCCAATAAAATGGGTTTCCATACAGTATTCCTTTGATCTTTCCGATAATGGTTGCCCAGTTTCCAACTCATCCTACAGTGGTACCCTGGAGATTTTGACCATGTCGTTTGGGAGAAGCAATCACACGACGATCTATAGTGCGTCTTCCATGAAACAGCAGCGTGGGCGACGAAGTAAAGTCACGCGCCATGGTTGCAAGATGCGACGACCAACTTGTCCCGTGCACACGATATGGCGGTAAGAGTATGTACAGGATGGGGTATAGAGTATACCTGCAGTAGCTATCCTCCCAGAACTATATATACTGCAGTACTGGGCCTACCCTCACGCGAATCTAACCTGAACCATGAGGCCTTGCCATGTACCTACTGTAGGTACTCGTACCAGGTACCTGCCTCCCGGCGTATAAATAGGTAGGTATGTTCTGTACTCGGTGCAGTATCCATCTCCTTTGGTCTGGTGAGTCTCGGATCGAGCTTTTGACAATTAAATTCACTTTTGTCGTACCTAGGTATGTACTAGGTAGAACTCGAAGTATACTCGTGTAATACGGCACCATCCATGACACTTTGGCCTTGAGACTATGACTTTTGCCTATTTGCCCGTGTACCATTTACCGTGTACGGCGTACGAGCCCGAGCGCGATTCGGTTCTGTTCTGTTCATCCTACCCATACGGAATACGGAGATGCTACTATATATATTACATCCCGCCCCGAGCTACCCTACTGTAGTTTCCGTCTAGGCCTTTCTCTAGTCCTGGTCCTGGACTTGGATGTGGAACTGTCCTGTCGTCGTGCCTCTTGATGCTGACATTCCGATTTCCGCAGGACAGACAGACAGACAGACAGACAGACAGACAGACAGACAGACAGACAGACAGACAGACAGACAGACAGACAGACGAGGCTACTATCCTTGCTACTACGATACTGGATACTGTAAGCAGCATGCGGTGTGCTCTTAGAAGTACCTTTGGTAGTATGCTTGTACTTTGGCACCGACCGATACGACGGGTGGCTATTGATCGTCACAAGACAGGACGGGAGTACGCTGATGATCTGTCTAAGGTGCTGGCTGCCTTAAGCGTACAGAGTACTGTAAGTGAGTACTGATTGTATCCTGCGTGCTCTGTCCTGTGTATCGCACAACCACCCCGGCGACCCATATTCAGCGTCTTATCTTGTCAGGTCATGTCTGATGTCCGGTCTCCAGGGGGAAGCACGCGTCGATGAGTCTCCATACGCATCTGCATCTCATCTGCATCTCATCTGCCTACCTACCTATCTACCTACTTACCTACCTATCTGCGTTAACCCGCCCCAGCCGCCGAGGTAATGCCTCTCGATATCTGCCATCGCTTCGTCTGAGCCCTGTTCGCTTTGCGCCGTGCTTAATGGCGTGCGTTCCGACAAAGATCTCATAGGCGGACGTGGTTCAAAGGACCGCCTTTCCATGGGGCGTGTCGCTTCCGAAGGTGAGGGCGGTCGCTGAGAAGGCGTCCAAGGAAGTGGCGATGACCGCCGCGGAAGTGGTTCGATGGCATCTTGTCCGGTTGTAACAACATTGGACTCTCCTGCCATCGGACGTCTGCCGTATTGGCACTGGTACTGGAACGGCCAGACTCATCGCGGTGCGTCCTGGCGGTCGCGTCCTCGTGCTTGTGCTTGTTCTTGTTCGCTCGCCTATTTAATAGTATTCCACATCCCTTCCCAGCACGTCTGGCAGGAGGACGCCCGACTCAGACTCTTCGCGTAAAGTGTCAGTTTCCCCCCTCCTGGTGGACTTCGGTGGCGGTTAGTTCCGTGCTCACTAATGAGCCATGTTTTTGTTTTGCGTCCAGCGCTGAACCTGCGCACATGGTTGTGCCCGTGCCCATAATACCCCAACCACCACCACCACCCATACCCATACCGGTACTCGTCGCACCCAACCCAAGACGCGGGCTTGGCGGCGTCAGGCCCTTCGCGTCGGAGGGACTCCTCATCCCGTGCCGGTTCGTTGCTGGTGTGCTCGTGCAGGAGGTAATCGACTTTCGCAAAACCGAGTATATCGCCTTTTCGCACGTCTGGGGCTCGCCAGGAGAATATACTTGGAGAGATGTCGCGGGAATTCCCTTTCCAATCATTGTCTCGGGATCGAAGGCGCGTTTCCTGGAACAAAACCTCAACAGCCTTGTCGGGGATGCCTATTTTTGGATGGACGTCATATGTGTTGACCAGAGCGAGGATCCGAAGAGCATGGAGAACCGCGTGAAGATGACAAGTGTATTTCCTGAGATCTTCAATCGGGCGAAGAAAACCATCGTCGTGAGAGACTGATTCAAGAGCTGTTGTGCTGGGGTCATCGGGCAGCTGCCAGACTGGAAAGCCTATAGATCTGCTCTGCAACTATGGGCAGATCACTGGAGAGACGACCACCGGTCTGAAGCTTTTTACGAAGGGATCCTGGAGCGACTCTGGCCTTTGCAAGAGGCTATCTTGTCAAATAATCTTCAGTTCGTGAGTTGCGAGGAAAGGGTGAAGAAGCAAAAGTGGAACTTCGCGACCATCTATCCGGAAATGCATCACGCGGCTGCTTTTATGGACCGCATGTGGACATTGAGTCACGCATGGGCTTCGTATGGAGGAGGCGGAGACAATCAGCAGGAGGACCAACTCTCCTTCCTGCGGGCTGTGTTGAACAATGGCACGGTCGCACGCAGTACTCTGGTCCGCTCACCCATTCCCTTCCGAGATTGGCACCGAGTTTTTGAGCCAGAGCAATAGCATCCGTGGTGCTTCGAAGGTGAGGGATTTCATCCTCTGCACCATGGCTCAATATGACTGGTACAAACCCCCACCACCGGAAGATGTGCGAAGGAAGGACAATGAGCCGGGTGGTGCCTTCCCTCGTCTTTTCAAAGACTGCTTCACGCAAGCTCGCGAGGCCAATCGAGCAGTGCTGCCAAAGATCACGAGTGGCATGGTGGGCGAAAACACGAACACCCTGGCCACCGCCAACATGCCAATGCCCAGGTCTCTGGGAGATTTGGTAAAGTTGTTTGGACTAGCGAGATTGGGCGCTCCGCGCCATGACTCGGACGCAGCCGCGGGACTGGATTTCGGACCTGTAGATGTCCGCACAGTCCAGCCGGATAGTATGGCGAAAGTCCTTGATCTCTTGGAGAAGGCCGTCGTCTTCTCGCGACCGGCGTGGGATTTCGCCATCAAGGGCGAATTGAGCCCATTGCCTGCCTGGGCAGACGACAAGAAGTTTACAACCGACATAGACGCAGAGTCGTGCTTTGAAAACGCACTGCAAATTCTGCATCTTATGGCCATCGGGATGGTCAATGATGGAGGAGCTCGCATGGATTACGACTCGTTCAAACTTGACCTCATCAGAGCCAACCCCTCAATTACGCGGAGCCTCTGCTGCGCCTAGCGGCCATCATCTGCTGCGGAATAGGTATCAGCGCATACACTTGGTCGATGAAGGTCCTCGAGCCTGTCATTGTCGGCATTGGCGAGCATAAAGTCCTTGGACTCTTGTCCAAATCAGAAGTTCTGGATCTTGATTTTGTAAAGGTCGAGGAGTCTTGGAATAACCTGTGGCTGGCCGAGCCAGTTGAGTGCCACAGCCTCTTCCATATTGCGCATCCTCTCTCATCCAGCTTCCACATCGACTTTCAGCATGTTGTCATCACGCGACCCGGCGAGGGTCTGAAGCCCCGGCATTGGTGCGTCGGACTGCTTCCTGCATGCGGGAGCGAGCATGAGGATGGGCACGTACGAGCCACCCGGAGCAGCGAGCTGGGGCTTGGTCCACGCTTTGCCGGACGCAGCGTGAACCTGATTTGAATCATAAGATAGTCGAGCGTGGGGCGTCTTATTGGGTGAAGGCATTCGGGCCATTGAAGACGCTGACTTCTTCTTCCCGATGTGCGCCTTCAAGCTCAGGTGAGATGTAGATCTGTTCATTGCTCTCCCAGTTCTGCTCCGAATACGAGCTCGTAGTCGAACCAATCCGGGAAAGTGTCAAACATGTCGAGAGTCTGCTGATCAAGGGCGAACGGACTGCCCAAGTTCACGACCGTGAAGCCTCCAAAACAACTAGAACTACCCTGCATTGTCGATGCCACGTCTTGGTTTCTCGGTGCGAGCATGACCCCGGAATACAAGGCTTCCACGACTTCGCCGTACTTGTCTGTCGACCTTGTCCACGGCGCCATGTCTTTGAAGGTGCGTACAGCTCTTTCGAGCTCCTCTCGGTAGCCGCAGATGGTTGCCTCTTCGAGCTTTGCCTCCGCAGGCAATCTGTCGTTGAGGCCAATGGATAAGAGAGGAATCATGCAGGCTTGGAAAAGATACCAGGAGGTATGCCAGACAGATATTCTCGTGCGGAGCCGGTTAGTGGTGATACTGTTGATGAGCTCGGAAGCTGCATCGCGACATATGGAGACCACGCGCCAGTCTTCGTCGGTAAAGGATTGGCACGTTGCCACCTCTTCAGTCAGCCGGAGGAGGTGAGGCCTGGACATGACAATGCGTGCGATTTGGCAGCGATGATAGACACTGTCTCGGACATATCGTACCCGTTCAGGGCACGCAGTGCCGGCCTTAAACATGGTTGGTCGTGATTTTTCCCATGCCAGCAGTTGACTCTCAAAGGCAAGGACTTCACGCGCAGAGAGACGCGACAGTTGCGAGAGCCTATACTCGATTTTTGACGAAATCTTGCAGAATTGTGAGCTCAGTCTCAGTGAGGTACCCGAGAAGTCCCCTTCCTTTATGGGATATGGTTGGCCTATGTTCGCCTGCTCGCCAGGCTCGGTGTCGCTTGGCATGCATGTGTCCATAGTAAGAGGATCCCATCGGGTCATGGAGGGTCGACCAAGCAGAATACCACTCCAAGCATCACTGCAGATCAGGCACCACCAGGTCCTCCGCCTCAATTCAGCTCGAGGCAACGAGTAGCCAACTGGCAGGGTAGAACGTAGGCCAGCAGAGTGGTGGCGGAAATTTGAGGGAACTGCGGCAGGATCGCGGTGAAGAGCCATGGCTGTTGCCATGCGAAACGCTGTCCCTAATATCAAATATGCAGTATTGGGCGAGTTAATGTAGTGTAAGTACGATCCACCAAGCAGTATCAGCGCTTGAAGCATCTCCAAATGCCCAGAGGCAAAGACGTTGTGCCCAGTGACTTGCTGTACACGAGCATAGTAGCTGGTATGCAACCGATCGTCTCCTGCGGCTATCGACCCAAGAGCCAGTATCATGCCTGAAAGAGCAACCCATGCATCGTCAGTTCGTCCCCGAGTAGTGAACTCAGTACGAAACCAGATCTCGTCAACCATGGGCAGCATTAGATGCACGTGGTCGAAGTATGCGTCAATCGCGAGCTGCTCCGGTTGTGGATCTGAAAAGGATGAAGGAAGCGGCGCAATATCTCGCGGGCTTTGCGATAGTGCGGCAGCAATAGGCTCTCTGCCCCTGGGGATCCTGCTTGATAGAGTGTTAGTGAGGCGGAGAAAAGCTTGCTTCGCGGTCGGACAGAGCGCGAAAATTGACCGCAGCGCTATGCTGATAGACGAAGTGCCCAAATAAGAACTGTTTCCATGGCTCAAGGCTAAGCCATTGACGTCGTCGGCGATGGGTGAAGTGTAGTCCTGCTGTCTGGCAGCCTCATCCCATTCGTGTTCAGCGTCTTCGGCCGTATTCCCGTCGGCCGAACGAGGGTCTCGGTCGAGCTCATGGTCTTGAACTGGGACGCCGTCGTTGCTGTCTTGCTCACTGCTGATGAGCTGGATGATATCCTCACGTCGTAGATCTGGTAAGCTGTCAAAGTCAAGAGACGGCAATAGCTTCGCCAGTACCCGATTGCGAGCTTCGACGGCCTCTGTCAGCTGTTCGACAAGTCTAGACTATCAGTCAGTCTAACAACACTCGTGTTAGATGTCACGCACTTCCAGGAAGGGTTTGTTCTCTTATTCCTCTGCCGGTATGCGCACCGATCTTGGACACAATACCATTGGCAGTTGTTGCAGGGGAGAAGACCATCGCAGCGGATCTTGCGCCGCATGCATTCGATACATGCGCGGTTCAACTTTCTCCTGTTCGGAATTGGCTTTGAGCCTGTGGGCGCTAGAGACATCCTGAGGTGGGTTTTGTATATGGCCCAGCGGAAGCCTTCAAGCGTTTCCACTACGTGGACGATCTGAGAGATCAGAGCTTTTGGAGAAGATACTGGCAGGAGATTCTAGAGATAAATTATAGTTAGAGGAGTTACGGTTTAGGTGTAAAGTCGCTATGAGCCAGGTGTGAGTAATCTCTGAGGGAGCCGTGAGGCAGATGTGAGGGTCACGTAAAGTAGCTTCACATCACCCTCGGCAGAGGCGAATTTCTAATTGAGCGCTAGCAGATGGTAGAGTATTCCTATAAGCCACGAAGCTTGATGTCTACGACGCCTGACGTATCCGGGCAGCCTGGAGGAAGCCGAATTAGTTGTCTATATCCAAGCCTCAAATTTTTGACTCCCTCTGTGCGCCGCGCACCCCCTCCTCGAATCCAAGATACCGCCAAACCAGACCATCGGCATCCACATCTCCTTGTTTGATCTCGATTGTCTGTTCGTCGCCTGGCACAACGTCTAAGCAGTTGTCGCTGAATTTTACCCCGTCAATCTCATCAACCACCAGCGCCTTGACGGGCTTTTCGACGGAGATCCTCAGCTTTTTGCCGGACTTCGTGATAAGCAGCCCGCGGTCCTCGAATGAGTGATACTTCAAAGGCTGGGGCCAGTCGGTGTCACGGGCAATGCAGACTCCATCGACATCAACACGAGCAGCAAGGACATGAGGTTCCTCTTTCTCGTTTTGTGTCTCGCCCTCGAGCAAAGCTGTAGTTCCGTTTTGAACGACTCTGCAGGTCTTCTTCCACGCTGGTTTGATCTCTTTGCCTGTTTTGATAGACACGAATCGTAACTCGACCTGTGCCTCGAACGATTCAAGCCGGCTGCTGGCCACCCAGAGCTTCCACTTCGTCGTCTTCGCGGGACGCGCGTGCATGACACTCCAATCGCGGTACTCGCGCTGCACCCCCACGGCGACAGGTGCGAGGCAGCGTGCGATAGTGTAGAAAGCAGGCTTCTTGCGGAGATGGTAATCTACCAATGCCCACGATGTGCACGGCCAACAGTCATTGATCTGCCAGACGAGAGCACCTCCACAATGTCGGCTCTCCCCGTATTGGCGTCGCCAGGGCTTATACGCAAAGTACATGGCTTCGCTTTGGGAGACTTGGGTGAGGTACACGAAACTCTGAGCTGAAATTAGCTGTTGCCTCTTGTTGTATCAATAGGTGTTGAGGCGCTCACCTCTAAGTTCGATACTGGCCGGAAGTTCTCAGCTTGATACAGGCCAATACGGCGCTCATGGCCTTCCGCCTTATTGTGAAAGTCCATGACTGCCGACCGCGGATGCAAATCTGCTGGGTCGGAGACGAAGTCTTTGATCGTCTGCAATGCTGGAAAGGCCTCGAGGCCAAACTCGCTGTTGAAACGGCCACCAATCTGCTCGTACACTTGATACTTCTCTTGGGCCCCGTGCCAGACTGCGGGCGATCAGCGCTGCACCCCAACAAGAAGGGCATGCTTACCGTTCCATTGGTGTACATCTCCTATTTTCAGGTCGTTGCATGGCTCGCCTCTCGAGAAAGGCGAAGACGGCCAGTAAGCGACGTCTGGTGCGCCTTCAACGGCAACGTCGGGTAGAAGCTTCTCGTAGATATACCTCGCTGGGAAGGTCGACTTCAACCAAGATTGTGGGTCTTTATCCTCTTTGACATAGTCAAGTTTCCACATCTCCTGCATCTGATAATCCTCGTTGTTGCCAGCGTACAGCACGATTGACGGATGGTGTCGCAGGCGGCGGAGATTGCATCGAGCTTCTTCCTCAATCGATGCCAGGATTTCGGGATAGGTAGGATAGCTGGCGCAGGCAAACATGAAGTCTTGCCAGACCATGATACCTAATTCATCGCAAGTGTCGTAGAATTTGTCGTCTTCATAGATGCCGCCACCCCAGATTCTATTTCAGTTAGTTCGTGTCGCACATTGCAATCAATTCATCTCATACCTAACCATGTTCTGCCCACCTTCGATTACAAGCTGCAGCCAGTCCCTGTACTTCTGTTCTGTTACACGAGGCAAGAAGTTGTCTGCAGGAATCCAGTTCGAACCGCCTGCAAAGACATCGACCCCATTCACCCTGAAATAGAAGCTTTCACCAATCTCATCTTCGTCCTGAATGAGCTCGGCTCGTCGGATGCCAGTCTTCTTGACGACTTCATCCAAGAGTCCGGCATCGTCGGAAAGTCGAGCCCGGACTTCATACAGCGGCTGAGAACCGTAACCGTTAGGGTACCAGAGCTTCGGATTCTCTGGGCAAGGATCAGCTTTGAATCATGGTGGCAACGATCAGGCTGGAATTACCAAGTGTGATATTGACCGCGTTCAAGCCATCTGCGCCTGTCTGTGCTTCTTGCTCGAAGACAGCCGTTCCATCTTGTGTCACCTCAATCTTCACGCTCTTTGAGCGACCCTCGCTTGAAACAAAAATCTGGCCCGAAGCGGATTGGTTGTCGTTGCTGACTTGTATGTCAAACCAGACATTCGAAATGCGGGATTGATAAGTTTCGAGCCATATGGGTCGCCATGGTCCAGCAGTCATGAGCACTGGACCCCAGTCCCAGCCCTGGAGTGCGCGTCAGCGGCTGGAACCAATAACTTGATTCAGATCACTCGCGTCTTACCCAATGGTATTGTGCCTTGCGCACGCCGACTCGTCCGTTCTCTCCCGGGATGGAGGCCACGCTCTTGAAGTCGTACTCGGGATGCTGTTTCTCGATCTCCCGACCCTTCAGAAGCGCCGAGCCAAAGTCGATGCGCAATTCGTTGTCGACGTCGGGCTTCAGCAGGTCCGTCACGTCGCATCGATGGGAAAGAAACATGTTTTCCGAGTGTAGGACACTCCTGCCATTCAGCTTGACGTCTGCAAAGGTGTCGAGGCCCTCAAAGACAAGGGCCATCCGGGTCTCTTCTCGCACGTCCGGTCGTTTGACAGTGGTTCGGTATGTCCATTTTCTCTCGGCAACCCATTGGACCTCGAGCTCGTTGAAACCGATGAACGGATCAGGTATCCTACCACTGTTAGTACGAGTAAATGGGCTGGACTGGGACGCCGTGGGCACCGTTGCGCTTCGATCAGGTCAAGATGGACCACAGACGGTACGGTCCTGACAGGAATCTCGTCTTTGGTTTGGGCATCGGTTTCGAACAACGTCCATCCGGAGCTCAATGCAGTTCTGTTGAGTTTCTGAGTCATCTTGACTACTTCACCGGGCACACAAGCAATCTGCTGAACTACAATATGCACGGTCGTCGAGGAGGTGTAGCCACAGTGAAAGCCATGGCTCCCTTAAGTCACTCCGACTCACCACTTTGCTCGCCGTCATTCATCATACGTAATGCTCAACACCGGTACAACGAGCGCCGAGCTGTCGCAAGCGCTAGAATGGCCATATGAAAAGCCGTGTTCTCTCACGGATCTCGAGCGCAAATGAACTCGGGACTTCTGCGTGATGATCTTGCAAGGGCCTTGGGAGCCGCCAAGACGGAAATTCAAAAGACCGCACAAACATAATTGGCCGCTTTTAGCGTCTTGGCAAAGATCTTTCTTCATTCCCCCGCAAAATTGACCTACAAACTCGCCGCCTAAGCCGGTAAATGCTCAAGTTACGCACGATCGCTGATGCAACCCCCCTTGTCTGGGGCATGGGGATACATATCGCCGCATATAGTTGCATCCCCCCAGCTTCTCCCAAACGTCTGCCGAGGCCGCAAACGAGCTCTTCGCGAAAATCTTGGTCGATCCCTCGACCTACGGGAGGATGAAATCCCGTGCTAGCGGCACAACTCATCGTCTATTCCTGTGGGGATTACAGGTCGAGAACCGCGTGGGGTATGGAGCAGCGGAGGTTCGCCACGCGAGTGACAGCGGCGGCTCTCTAGGAGATGCAAGCCGTCGAATTGAGCACCGACCCTGTCGCCAATGCCGGCAGGCTTGATGAATAGCCAAGTCGAACCATCCTGTCCGAGCCAGTCCCGAGTGTCAGAAGGACTTTGATCTCACGCAGCATACGGTATGTGTCCGAGCTAGTAATGGACGCATGAGGTTGTACGAAAGATATATAGATGCTCGTTGGACGCCAAATCTACGTCGGAAGAGAGCTCCCCTGCGTCTACTACAACCTCGTTACTAGTTCTCGTCGTCTGAGACATTTGCGAATCCAGCAAGATGGAGGACCATAAAGACTCACCCACAGAGCACTTTGAGCCTCCTTGTAAAGGGTCAACAGGTTCAGAGATCCTAACAGAGAAGACCATCCACGCCCACAATGTCACGCTCGCGGCCGCGTTGAGCGAAGACAAGCCCAGCCCATGGAGTAGGGGCTACTTGAGACTCTATGCGATATGCATTCTCGTCTATCTCTGCTCGACCATGAATGGTAAGGAACCAAAATCAGACTGGACGTGACACGAGAAACTCATGCTGACCGCCACACAGGATACGATGGCAGTCTGATGGGCTCCATCAATGCGATGCAGAGCTATATCGACTACTACAATCTGCCGCCCGAGGGAAACAGCGGCACCGGGATCGTGTTTGCAATCTTCCAGGTCGGACAGATGGCAGCTGCGCCCTTCATCTGGCTCTCGGACTGGAAGGGCAGACGGCCTGCCATCTTTGCCGGTTGCCTCGGGGTTTGCATTGGCTCCATCGTGACAGCCACGTCCCCTACCTTGGGTGGCTTCATTGCCGGCCGCTTCGTGCTGTCCTTCTTCTCGACAATTGCGCAGAGTGCCGCTCCCCTCTACCTCATCGAATTGGCCCCTCCCCAGTACCGAGGAACCATTGCCGGCATGTACAATACGCTCTACTATTTCGTGAGTATCATGCCTCCGAGCCTCTGGGACGTGTCTCAATTCGTTTCGACTGACGGCTGCATCAGGGTTCCATCCTCGCGACCGTGACAGTCTACGCATCCAATCTCCACCTGACAGACAACGGCCTCATCGCCTGGCGCCTGGCACTATGGTTGCAGATGATCTGTCCCGGCATCGTGTGCATCGGGATCTGGTTCTGCCCTGAATCTCCTAGATGGTGAGTCCACCCATACCCGCAGACACGCGAGCAGCGGTCTCCCATAGGATGCAGTCAAGCTAACATAAAGCACCATCTTCAAGGCTCGTGGGCAAAGACCGCATTGATGAAGCCCGTAACATCGTAGCCCGCTTGCACGCTAACGGTGACAAGGACCACCGCCTCGTCAGCCTCCAGGTGGAAGAAATGACCGCCAGCCTCCGTGCCGAGGGCATGTTGACCTTTAGAAAGATGTTCGACCTCCGTGTGCTGTTCAAGTCGCGCGCCCGCCGCTACCGACTCGGCCTCAACGTCGCATTCGCCTGGTTCGGCCAGTTCAGCGGCAACAACATCGCCTCGTACTACCTCCCGTACCTGGTCGCGAACGTCGGCATCACCGACACGAGCACCCAGCTGTTGCTGAACATCATCTACGCCATCGGCGGGTGGATCCCCGCCGTGATCGGTGCACGGCTGCACGACGTCGTCGGCCGCCGCAAGATGATGATGGGCGTCGCCGTCGGCATGGCCGTCTGCCTTTTCATAACGGCCGGGACTGCGGCCGGGTACGTGCAGACTGGGAGCAAGGCCTCGTCCTCGGCGTCCATCGCGTTCATCTACGTCTTCGGCTCGATCTTCGCCCTCGGATATACGTCCATGCAGCCGATCTATCCGGGCGAGGTGCTCTCCAACGACATGCGCGCCAAAGGCATGGGCGTGCTGCAGTTGGTGGGCGGCTGTGCTGGCTTCGTCAACACCTTCGCCGCTCCCGTGGCTCTGAACAATGTAAGTACTCCACACACACGCACACGCACATGTCTCTCTCTCTCCTCGCACCGCTGGCACACAGGCGAACAACAAAAACATTTTGCTAACAAAAAGTCGCGCGCGCACCAGATTGGCTACTGGTTCTACGTCTTCTTCGCGTTCTTCGACCTCTTCGAATTCCTCATCATCTACTTCTTCTTCGTCGAGACCAAGGGCCGCACGCTGGAGGAGTTGGACGAGATCTTCGAGGCCAAGAACCCCCGCAAGGCCAGCACCATGAAGACCACGCTGAGACAAACAGTCGTCAGGGAGGAGAGCGGCGCGAGACGAGTCAGCGTCGAGGCTGTTTGAGAGATGACGCCAATATGTTCTGAGGCGGGACACGCGCGCGCACACGCGCACGCCCCCTCCCCACCAAGGCCTCAAGTCTCATCCGATTGCATAGTGGGTACAATACTTTGACTAGAGCAGTATCTCGTCACGTTGTTTTCCATCCCGGTTTTCAGGTAGCGAGAGCCGTCTAGATCTGAAAGATAGCCCCCCTTGTATCCTCTTGTTCGGCCATTCGTTGGTATACAGGTGCTTGAGAATCCTCCCACTTGAGAAGCCCCAAGAAACAGCCACCTTTACATGGCGCCTTGCGTTCTATCCGTTCCTGCATGCCTTTTGACGGTTTCTTGGTGGTCGAGCTGCACCCTGAGGCTGCATGAGCTGCATTTGAGGCACCACATACGGTCTCTTGTTCGGAAATGGACAGCGTTCACTTGGGCCTAATGCACGATCATCTCAGAACAAGGATGAGTTCACGGAGGATGCCTCACGTCTGTTCTTGATGCAAAACTGGCAACTGACATTGGATGACGTTTGGCTGTAGACAGCGATATCAGCCTGCACTGCGCTGTGAGGCCGGAGTAATCTGCAGACTCGCTGCCCAGAAAAGTATTTCGCTGATTCCAGTGCTTTTCTATCCATAATCGCTGATCGTGGAGCCTTCCATGAGAGTCATCCTATCATCCCTGCATCTTAAAGCCCTTTGACCCATAGCCTCAGTCCACTAGCTGCTGCGCCGACCTCGCACACCTCACAGATCTTGCATACATGGCCCTTGTATTGGCTATGATACCTCGCACCATCGAAAGGACACGACACGCTTGGCGTTCCGCTGTAGATTGGCGTGAAAGAAGCCGCACAAACGTCGAAGTCCGCAAATTGGTCATACTCTATGTCGATCTTGTCAGTAGAACCTGATCGCTCGGCTTGTTGCTTGATTTTCTTGGCCTGTTTCCGTCAGCATGATGTTAAACGGGCAGGGACATATTACTAACCTGATCAACGAGTTTAGGTGCACCGCCGTTAGCCAGGATGCGGTTGGCGAATGACAGGGCACTTGAAAATTGTTTGTTCGAGAATGCCAATTTCATAGCAGCCATGAGAGCAAGTTGACGATGAGAGACTTCGAGTTTTGGCATGGTGAAGTATGCCGACAGCTCCAGCTGCCGCTTAAGGTGTTCTGTGGAATCGTCACCAGAAGCAGCAAGGCGCCGTCGCTCAAGTTCGATGCTCATTGCAAGAGTGTACTCCATCGATTTCGTGATAAGTGCCTTGGCTTCGTCAACCTGAGCTTGCGAACTGACCACGTTGACGAGCAAAGACCGCAACAAAGAGCGGAAAGTGAGAATGCCATTCTCCAGCTTGTTCGTCCTCATAGCCGTGTAGCCTTCTTGAAGATCTGTATTCGTCAGTGCCTCCAGGTTCCTAGGGATCAGCGGGAGGAATTTTCTGCTGTCTGTCTCATCAAGGGTTCGCCGGACGTAGTTGACGATTGGGGGCAACCCTGCATTTGCCGGCAGGAAAGTCTTTGACGCTTGATAGATTTCAAGAAATCGCGACTTCAGAGGTTCGAAATGGACAGCGCCTACTTGACGACTCAGTAACTGCATAGCACTGTCGAATGAGCCCGCGGCGACGTGGTCAGCTGCCAAAGGCGAGTTTCGCGACCACAGGTCTGCTTCGGAACTGCCTGGACCAGCAGCTTCGAGGGGAGCGTCTGGATTGTCGACGTTGACGAAGTCGGAATCATTGCCCGTGGCATCGAGAGCAACGTCGTCACCCATATCCCAACCGTCGCCAGCATCAGCATCCTCATCTGGGGCAAGGGCATCGCCGTCTGCAGCGGCAGGTACATCCTCGCCAAGAAGATCGGGGCCCGCTTCGTCCTCGACGGCTACACCCACCTCACCAAGGAGAGCTCTCTCAAAGGATGAGTGCGAGGCTTCTTTGACTGGCCAATTTGCTTTATATGTAGGCACAATGGGTCTCGGAGGGGCGAGAGGCTCTCCCGACTCAGGCATCGAGATCTGTTCCTCGGTCAAGCCAGAAAGCTCGAGTATGGATTGGCACTCTTCGGTCAAGCCATGAGACTTTGCAGTGAGGTACGCAAGAGGATATTGGTCAATCTCTTTGAACATCTGTATCCGGCTTTCAACATCGCCGAGATACAAGGCATTCTGGAATCTCGATACGAAATCCCCACGGTGCTCCGCAATCTTCGCCATTCTGCTCAGCTTCTCTTCGTCGCCTGTGCAAAGGTAGAGAAACGAGAGCTTGTCGAAATTTCGGAGTTTCTGATACGTCATCTCGACAGTTTGATGGTTGCCGTGGACGAGAGCTTCGGCTCCCAGCCGTGTCCAGATCTTGGGTCTATCGAGCTCTTTCGCCATCTCTGTAGCGACATCCAGGTTGCCGCATTCGATGGCGAGCTCGAAGCGAGTCTGAGGGTCTTGTACGAATTGCAGGGCAATTTCAGGGTACCCCTTCTTCTGCAGGTACGAGATGATACTCTGCCCTACCAAAGTCGACGTCTTGATGATCTGGAGCATCTCATCATAATTCCGTTTTACGAGTGCCAACTTGAAGCGGTACTCGGTGGGGTCGATACTGAGAACTTTCGGTTTAGCAGCCCTGTCGAGGCAATAGACGTTCCGGCCTTTCACTTTGACAAGGTAGACGGTCTGGTCGAGCGTTCTCACAATGCCATTGTCACCATTCAGCAAGGTGTATTTGATGTGGTTGAGTGTCGAATAGAGGAGGACACCAGAGTCGTCCCAGGTGGCGCTCTTGATTCTGATCGTCTCATGCAAGGTACTGACCTGCTCAAGCGATTTGTTGACAATGGTCACGTTATGCTTGCTGAGCAAAGCAGCATAGAGGCCATCATTGGACCAAGAGACATACTTGACCCCAGTAACGCTCAGGTCTGCCAGCTGCTTCTTCTGCTGGATGTCGTAGAGATAGACATTTGTGGCTGTGATGAGAAGTAAGCACCCGGTACCGCCGTATGTGATGTCGATCGTGCCTGTGGGAGCCTTGAAAGACTTGGTGCTGGAATTGCTGAGATCTTTGATTTCAACTAGCTGGGTGGTAGTGTTGAAGACGGCAAAGCGATTTCGAGCCACAAAAACTGCTGCATTCCCTGATCCACGCTTGATATCCGTGGGATCCGTGGCTCCGGCAGCATCGCGGGGCAATGCAATCAATTCGTAAGTACCACCATCAGTGGGCGAAGTAACAAGGACTGATCGCTCTGCAGGGTTGTAAGAGAGTGTCCGAGGAGGCACCCAATTGCTGCCGAACTTCCTAAGTGACAGTAATGAGGGTGACTCGACATTCTTGGTGAAGTCGTATGACCGAACCTGCTTGTCCTTGGTGATGTAGAAAAGTTGGTTCTGGTACACGGAGGAGGCCGGTCGCTCCCGCTCGAGCTTGAACACCATGACACCATTGTCGTGACCCGCAGCGAAGAGATTGATCTCGGGATGTGCGGCAATTACCCAGAACCGGTCATTCTCACGCTTGAACGACTGTACAGATGTCCTCTTGTTCAAGTCCCAGACCCGAACAGTCTTGTCCTCGCCCACCGAGAGGATCAGGTCTTGATGTGGGTGGAACAGACAGGCAGAAGCGTTCTGAAAGTGTCCACGACACGTATCAACCTCCCACGCTTTCGTCTCACTCATTCTCCAGAGCTTGACCAGTCGATCATCACCAGCCGAGACAATCAACGGCAATGTTGGATGAAAGGCGACCCAGTTGACGCCTCTGTCGTGTCCTTCCAGAACGAATTTGACGACAGCATCCGTGTTCCCGAACATGTCCGCCTGTTGTTGGTTTGCGCGCGCCATCTGATCTTCGAAGCTCATTGAAGTTGGAGCTGAGTGCTTTTTTCGTAGTCCTGAGATGTCCCACACGCGGACGGACTGATCTAGGGAGGCAGACACGATGAGATCCTCTTTGGGGTGGAATTGCGCGCACATCGCATAGTGGTTGTGGCCGGTCATGGTGCAGACTGACAGTCGAGTTAGTATAGCCAGGGGGTCAACTGCATTCGAGACATACTCAAGGATCTATTCTGCCAATTCCAAATTCGAATTGTCTGATCGTCGGAGGCCGACAGAATCCAAGGCAACTCATGGTGAAAGAATACGGTCCGAACGTAGTCGAGATGGCCATTGAGCGTGAACAGACATCTTCTGGTCTGGTATGACCACACCTTGATCTTGTAGTCGTCTCCTCCTGAGACAAACAGTGGCTGCGTCTTGTGGAAGTCGATACCGCGGACTGGCCCATCGTGCTCTTCGAATCTATCGATCAACGTTCCCATGCGATAATCCCATAGCCTGGCCCTGCAGTTAGTGTATGGCCGTTGACAGTCTACTATGGGGTCCGCACTGGATTGTACTGCTATGCAAGCTGACAAGGATCCATGGTCGTTTCGGATGGAAAGCCAAACCCTTGGCACGACTGCTCTTGCTCTCGAACTGTGCTCTCAGTCAATACAAATTGCTGAGCTGAGGGCTCGGGGACAATGGGGGGATCTTGCCTTGGTGAGCATTGAAGGAGATGCCATGGTGGTCAGTTCGTGAAATGTGTAGACTTTTCAAGTGCAGGATGTGACCATGCTGCACCTCGCAGAGCCAGAGTCCCCTACCTGTCGCAACGGAGAAGACAATGTGTGTGCAGTGTATACGCTCAGGTGGCTCTGGTCAGGGTAGTGGTGAATTGACAATTGTCCGCAGGCACAACCAGGGAAGGTACGGCGAGGCTGTGAGTGCGCAACTGAGGACAGATGTGGGGACTTGGCCGGTCCATCACCGCAATCCGTCTATTGTCTATTACCTCAACTTGCCAGAGTGGCTCTGCGTTTTACTAGAATTGCGCTTGCTGGAACTGCTAGGTGGCCAACCTGGGGTTGCCTGCGAAGGAGAGCCTGAAGAACAGTCCTTCCCTCACACTCCCCTCTACCTCATCCCGAACCCATCCCTCACTCAGCATGTGTTTGTGAGAGTGCCCACAGCATAATCTCTGAAAAATGGACCAGGCGCAATACGATGCGATCAAAGACAACTGGGGCGAGGTGGAAGACAGAGACGGCGTCAGGCTCAGCTGGAATGTCTTCCCTTCCACGCGCATGGTATGATATCTCTCCAAGCCTGACCAACGTATCCCGCACTAATACCTGCCTACACAGGAAGCAAACAGGCTGGTTGTCCCTGTGAGCGTCCTGTTAACACCTCTGAAGGTAAGCGCTGGAACTCGGTAGATATCTTCTATACTCACTCTGTCTTAGGAGCTTGGCAAACCACCTCTGCTCTACGAGCCTGTAACTTGCAAAGCACCTTGTCGAGCCGTCCTGAACCCCTTCGCCAACGTCGATGTCCGCGCCAAAATATGGATCTGTCCTTTCTGCTTACAGCGGAACCAGCTACCCCGTCATTATGGAGATATCAGCGCCGAAAATATCCCACCTGAAATGCACCCCGGGAATACCACAGTTGAATACAGGCTCGCCCGCCCTGCACCTGCTCCACCCATTTTCGTTTACGTGGTCGATACTGCAATTGAGGAGGATGGCTTGCAGGCGCTGAAGGAGACTTTGGTCATGAGTCTGTCATTACTCCCTGCCAATGCTCTTGTTGGTCTGGTCACATTCGGAACAAACGTTGCCGTTCACGAGATTGGCTACACCGAATGCCAAAAATCATATGTCTTCCGAGGAAGCAAGGATTACGCTGCAAAACAAGTCCAGGAGATGCTTGGACTGGCTGCTCCAGGACTGAGACCCAACATGCCGCCTGTACAAGGACGTCCACCGCCACCCATGGGTCCCGCTGCTCGGTTTCTTCTCCCTGTCCAGCAGGCGGAATTCCAAATCACCAACGCGATCGAACAGCTGCAAAAAGACCCTTGGCCGGTTGCGAACGATCGTCGGCCGCTTCGTTGCACTGGCGTGGCCACGAGCATTGCCGTCAGCTTGCTTGAGACTTCGTTCCAGAACGCCGGAGCCAGAATCATGCTCTTTGCTGGCGGTCCCGCGACTGAGGGACCGGGTATGGTGGTCGCTCCCGAGCTCCGCGAACCTATCCGATCGCACCACGACATCGACCGGGACAACGTAAAGTACTTCAAGAAGGCAATCAAATACTTCGAGACCCTTGCAAAACGGACGGCGCACAACGGACACATCATCGACCTCTATGTCGGCTGTCTCGATCAAGTCGGCCTGCTCGAAATGAAAGGATTGGCCAACTCTACTGGTGGCCATATGGTCTTGACCGATAGTTTCACCTCCTCGCAGTTCAAGCAGTCCTTCGTCCGCGTGTTTGACAAGGATGAACAGGATCAACTCTACATGGGATTCAATGCCTCACTCGAAGTCGTGACCACAAAGGAGCTCAAGGTTACTGGTCTGATAGGTCACGCCGTCTCGCAGAACAAAAAGTCCAGCTCTGTGGGCGAAACGGAATGTGGTATCGGCAACACCTGTCTTTGGAAAATGTGCGGTATCGACCCCACGTCTAGTTACGGTATCTATTTTGAGATTGCAAATCAAGGCGGTCCGGCGCCAATGCAGCAAGGCCCTCAACGAGGCATGATGCAGTTCTTGACCTACTACCAGCACTCTTCGGGTCAGTATCACCTTCGTGTGACCACTGTTGCCCGCAACCTGAGCGGGCCAACAGGCGATCAAGCTCTGGCGCAATCATTTGACCAGGAAGCTGCTGCGGTGCTCATGGCAAGAATTGCAGTCTTCAAAGCGGAGGTGGATGATGGACCGGATGTGCTCAGATGGGTCGATCGGATGCTCATTCGACTCTGCTCCAGATTTGCAGACTACCGAAAAGATGATCCAACATCCTTCCGACTCGACAAGAATTTCACCCTGTATCCTCAATTCATGTTCCACCTGCGGAGATCGCAATTCCTTCAGGTTTTCAACAACTCACCCGATGAGACTGCATTCTACCGACATGTGCTGAATCACGAGTATGTGGGCGATTCGCTGATCATGATCCAACCTACACTCGACTCCTACGGCCTCGACCAAGAAGGAGGTCAGCCTGTCCTCCTCGACTCCGCATCCATCCAACCACAGACCATCCTTCTTCTTGACACTTTCTTTCAAATTCTCATTTTCCACGGTGAGACTATGGCTGAATGGCGTAAAGCTGGCTACCAGGACCAAGAGGGTTATGAGAACTTCCGCGCTGTCCTCGACGCTCCGAAGGAGGATGCTAGAGAATTGGTGCAAGACCGCTTCCCTCTACCACGATTTATCATTTGTGACGCGGGAGGCTCCCAAGCCCGTTTCCTGCTGTCGAAGCTGAATCCATCAACCACTCATGCAACGGGTGGATATGGAGGTGTAGCTCAAACTGCCCAGACGATCTTCACGGACGATGTGTCGCTGCAAACATTCATGGATCATCTCATGAAGTAAGTTTTTCCCAGCTCGTCGCCTGACCCGTTCTGACCTTGTCTAGGCTCGCCGTCTCTGGCTCAAGTTGATCTCTTAGAGTAGGCTGTCAGGGCTATCGGGCGTATGTGTGCCACACACTAAGGTCTGATGGCCGGGTTTTCTCCGGCCCTTCGACAAAACCGTGGCTCAAATAGATTCAGCGGTGGACCAGATCTTTCCACACAGAGGGAGACGAGCAGATGTTGCATACAAATCCAAACGCTCATGACTCTATCGAATGGCTTCAAATCACCAGTCGTTGCAATATACGGTCCCATCATCGTGACTCCTGTGTCTGTGCTGCCCGTCCGCAATCGAAGATAGCCAGTCCCTATTGGCGCACCATTCCCAATCAGGACTAGAATTTCACCCACATTTAGGAAGTCTTGGCGGGTGCGCCTTAAGAAAAGTTCCTCCCTTGCACAACAGAGAGCTCTTTTCCTTTCCCCCATTCCGTTCATTCAACCATCACCTCAAGAAAGACCGACTACCTTTCGCACTCGCCATGCGTAAGTATCGTCTTCTTGAGCAGCATCAGCTCGGCGGCTAATATGCTCTTCTCTCTCCAGCTCCCAAGTTAGATCCTGGTGAAGTGAAGATCATGTACGAAGTTCCCCGAATTCTTCTTCTGCCCGAGGTCTTATACTAACGAGAGCTTCCTACAGCCACCTCCGCGCCACTGGCGGTGAGGTCGGATCTTCTGCCACTCTCGCTCCCAAGATTGGCCCTCTTGGTCTCTCCCCCAAGAAGGTCGGCGAAGATATTGCGAAGGCCACCGGCGACTGGGTACGTTCGCTAACCATCCACCCTCGCAATTTTTACTTGTCATGTGAATGTTCGCTGACCTCCTCTACATGTAGAAAGGTCTCCGTGTCACAGTAAAGTTGACCATCCAGAACCGACAAGCGGCCGTCAGCGTTGTTCCCTCTGCGTCGTCTCTTGTTATCCGTGCCTTGAAGGAGCCACCCCGAGACCGCAAGAAGGAAAAGAACATCAAACACTCCAAGTCGATCCCTCTCGATGAGATCTTCGATATTGCACGGACCATGCGTGGTGCCAACAAGTCACTTGCACGAGAGTTGAAGGGTACAGTGCTTGAGATTCTGGGCACCTGCTTCAGCGTTGGTTGCCAAGTTGATGGAAGAAGTCCCAAAGAGATTTCAGATGAGATCAAAGAAGGATCAATTGAAGGCATGTCTTTTGCATATGGACATCGAGGTACGACGCGACCGCATGCTGACGCCCCCCCTAGTGCCTTCCGAGTAGAAGAGCGCCACAAAGCTGTATCACCCGGAGCACTCACTCCTGGCCGCCGAATGCCGAACGTTCATGATACAAGATCAACCATGAGAACAATGAGCATGATGTGATACCCTCGTTCCCACTGTGATTCTGCTCTTCACCCTCCTTTTATCAGCACATCCCCCTTTTTGGACTCCTCGTCAATGCTCCCCACCCCTCTTGTCAGTATACACGTCTTGCACTCCTCATCCGGAGTTCCCCCACCTTTGCCAACACTCTGGCCTTTGTCATTATTCCAGGATAATGTGCCTATTTTGATGCAAAGAAGATTGAATCACTCCTGACACGCTACTCACCACGGCATTCTTGACAACTTCCATGGTTGCAGTGGTCCATTCCATTTTGTGTCTACAGACCTGCTCAATAGATTTATATTATCTATGTCGACTCACCCTACGGGAAAGCATCCCCCTGCGGAAAAGTCTAGACTTCATCCTAGACTGACTACCTTACCCTTCCCTCGGGAGTTTAACCAATAAACTTGATTCCTGTCCCTGTGCCCCGTTCCTGCTGCCGCCATCATCCTCTGCGCTGGCTCAGAATCGCGAGCTCTCATGCATTCAGCCCCCCTCTGTACTTCTCAATATCCGCTGCGCAGATAAATCACAGATACTGTACGCTTTCATGAAGTCCTCTGGTACGGGAGTACGGACCAATAAGTCACTCCCCAATCTCGGAAATATCTGTATGGTGATAATTGCATGGTGTGGTCTGAATCAAGAGAATCAAATGGAGAGAATCAAGGTTCTTTGATTTCAAGAAGATTGGTTTCGATGTCTACAGGTCCGCGTGACAGCGTGCGTACCTTGTACCTCGTACCAAAGCGGACAGGGAGATGTATGTGTGATAAATGTCTCGGGCTGTACTCCGTATTCCGTTCCTTCTACAGTATCTGAGGTGTTTATACTTGCCCATTGGCCTGTGGACCTCAGCCTGTTCCATAGCACGACATCGTTACGAGGTATCTTTCTCTGATCCCGCCAGCCACCGTCTCGTGTTGGGTTCAATCAACAACAGTGCGAAATACCACCGCACATCTCCCTGCAGTAGCTTCAGAGCGTGCACCGGGGTGCCCCACACGGATTTACCACAAAAGGGTCAAATCATCTAGCCAGTGCAGATCTAAGACGGCCCAGGCGGCGGCGGTATTGAAGACTTCCTGGACTTCCGTCTCCAGAAGACCCGAGAGAAGACACCCTCCTTCACCCGTGCAGTTCCATGTTCAATGTCATTGCAGGCGTTCTCGGTGGTCTTGGGCGTCCCGATCACAGTCGGGCTGGACTTTGTCGATTCCCTTCCGGCTGTAGATACGTCCCCGTGGGTTGGCTGTACTTGTGCTTGTCTGCGCACTTGATCTGCGATGGTGCTGTTCAATATGCCCAGTCCTGTCGGCCGCCGGTTTGACTCGGCCGCGGTCGGCGTCCCACTCGCGTTTCTTTGCGTGGACCGCTTTGGCTTTGGCAGATTCCAAGATCTCGAAGGTGGTGTGGCTGCCTTCGATGGTGAAGAACTCGGTGGCGGCGAGTTTGGCGTGCTGGGAGCTTGCGCGGTGGCATTTTCCGTTTCACTGGTTGGGTCGATCGGAGTATTGCTCCACCGCTTCTTGAATTCCACGACCGTTTTCTCGAGGAATCCGCCAACGAGGAGGGCCAGCAAAATTAGTGGCACGGCGACTGCGGTTGAGTATCCGACTGCATGGAATTAACATCAGCAATGCTTCGACCGCTGGTCACGCAGCCTTGTCTCTTGGGCCATAATCATAGCCGGAGGCGTGGGATGGGGATATACGCACAAACTCTCCGGAACAGCCACTTTGACGAGTAGGTCGATGTGTCTCCATCGACATAACCGCCGGAGAAGGCTGACACATTCAGCGCGTAAAGAGATGTCAAGAACGACATTGGAGCCTGAGCGGATGTTAGCATTTCGACACCGATTTGCAAGACAACCCGAATGTGGCGGCACAGGCAGGTACTAAGGAGCCTGTCTTACAAAGACAATGGTGACGAACGTCAGAAACAGGATCGTCTTTGCTTCTTTCCCGGACTCTATCGCTTGCTGATTCAACTTGGATGTCTGGTTGGCCATTTCCTGAGCTTGTCCTCGAGCCAATCCCGCTTCGAGAAAGTTGGCATGTTTTTGTTTAAGATCCAGAAGGTGGTTTAGCTGTCACGGTGGCGTAAGCAAGAGCGAGAGTAGGATTTCCGTGGAAAGGCTTCGTGGCAGGCTTACCCGAACGTAGACAGCCTTAGCATCATCTTCCATCTTTTTGACTTGGTCGTATCGGGTCTCCAGATCACTATACTCTGGTAACTCGGAGACAAAGTTGGAATGCAGACACTCAGCATCTCGGGATGCTGTTGAAGACTCTCTGGACGCTTCTTTTCGTAGCTCTTCAAGCACAAATTTCTGGTGGCTGAAGATGTTGGAAATGATTTTGAGCTCGTCCCGGATATCCTTGACCTCGTTCAAACAATCAACTTCTTTGCTGATTTTCAGACTACTATCAAGTGAGCCTTCCTGGACCTTTGCATCGTCCTCGCCCAGCGGGCCTTTCTCGAGTTCCTTGACACTATTCTTGAATTCCTCGAAGTGATTTGACTCGTCGTCACTCTGTTAGGACAGCAGTGTTAGCATGATAGCATCCTGGTCCGGCGCCAGGGCAGCATACTTCGATACCAATAGCGTTCGCGAAGATTTGAAGAAACGTTTCCGGGCTGGTCGACGGTTCTGCTGTGCACTCATCCACGAACGCAGTGCAGAGAGTAGTGATGAATGTAGCAAGGTGGTAAACCGAGTTCAGCTCCAGATTTACATCGCTGTGAATGCGATCGCGAACGAACTCAAGCACGTCTGGGGGCCCGCTGTTCGTATCGGTCTCCTGCGGGTTGGACTGGCTCCATCTTTGGGGAAAGCAGGTGATGAGCGTTTCTATCGCCATCAGTGGAGGCACGTTCGCTCCATTTTGGGAAGCTCTTACTTTCGTCAATAACCCACAGCCATAACTGATCAATTGTACAAATACGAAGATTGCGGAGCTTTAAGAAGTTAGCAAAAGAGGAGAATCGGGTGTGGTGCTCACTGTCTCAGGCCCAAGGTCTTTTCTAGCTTTTCTGAGCTCCCTATATTGAAAGCGGTAAACCACCTGGTCTCCATCGCGGCATTTTGTACGATCCTCTGGAAGCGCAGGGTAGTAGTACTGATCCAGGGTCCGGCGGATGTGAAGAGCGTTTGGTTCGCCAGCCCTGAGATAGTGTCGCAACAACACTTTCTGTGCAGAGTCATTGGGGTGATAAGGGCCCGATATCTTTTTCTGCTCCTCAATAGCCTCTTTCAGATCTAGCCCGCTAAAATCGTACCCTGAGGTTCGTTCCAATGTCCAATCACCCGAGTTAGGAGCACGTTTGAAGGCTTTCACGAGGCGCTCAAGAACCTTGGTTGTCCTACCGCCCAGGTTCCAGTTCGAAGCGGCAATGGCTTCGTACAAGGCTCTGAGATCTCCGTGAGAGTCTTCAGTGAGAAATGGAACAGCATCCCTTTGGGCATTTGCAATCTCCTGTAGGTTCTCGAGCGCATGAACGTTTTTGGAAGTTAGGCCGTTTGCGATAGCCTCTTGACATGCATGCTGTAATAGTTGTTGCTCTTGAACGGTTTCAACAGTGATAAACGGCATCTGGTTGGCGTTAGGATTAGCTCTTTGGAAGCCCCAAGACAGGCGACAAGATATGCTGACATACATAGATCGCCATTCTTCGACCCAGCAGATGACAGAACTCGTCACTTCCGGTGCCTGCATTCTGTAGAGCCATGCTCGGGCCATTTGTCTCGCTACGGCTCTTACCTGCCCTTGTGTTCTCGATCTATTCAGAGAGTCATTAGCTGGAGTGGCTTGAACTTGTAAAGAGAGACGTGAAGCGCACCCGGACATCAGTAAACATGAAACGAGATTGCGGTCTTCCCAAGTGTTCGCGACGGTTGGCCTCCACAAATTTCTGCAACGACCAGCATTCTTTCTCCTGCTTCGTGTGGTAGCAGATGCGCTTCATGAGATCCTTTGTCGATTAGCGAAACGTGTCCGCCGGAACGGGACGATGTTGACGTACCCGAACCCATTTCCACTGACAGAGACGCCTTAGCAGATCCCAAATGAACATCAAGGGCAAGTAGCACTTACATTGTTTGCCGGTAAATGGATCCATCTGAAACGATGGTGGTTCTGCATAGCGGGATGGTCTCCGACGCTCTCTCGCGCATATTCCATGATTTTGTTTGGGCCCAAATCCGGGTCATAGATGACATCGAATACCGAGCGGCCGTTCATTTCCAGAGGGTATATGCCTCCGTCATGGTGATAGAAATCGACCAGGCTCACGCTGAAACGCTTGCAAGCGGCCTCGAAGGGTGTAAATTTGAGCTTTGGCCTACTCGACCACACCGATAGTGGGTTCTCCCTGGAATACCAGCGCGGCCTAGGCTGGGGATCACGCAAGAGTCTGTCAACCTCTGGAGACTTCGTCGGATGTGGAGCTGAAGGTAGAGATTCTGCGCCTTTGATCAACATGAACCGCACAATGTCAGGGTCACCAAAGGCAATCGCCCAATCCAAAGGCGTCCAGTCTTGCCTTCCCATCCCGTCAGTCGACTGCATGTGCTGAAGGAGTACTTTGACGATCGAGAAATGTCCGTTGCGAGCTGCTGCCCGGGTTGCCCTTAAGCAACGATCGTTCGCCCTCGTAGAGCGGCGGAATACGCATCTAATGATGGGTGATTCAGCAGAAGTTTGACAATGTCCTCGTGGCCGCCCAGAGCCGCCCAGAAAAGTGCGATCTCCTTTGGCGTAGATGGCATTTGTTCGTCCTTGACGGTGGTGCTCCCACGTCGGTCGGCCTTGCCCTGTTCCTGCCTGTCTATCTGTTCCACAAAATTCACCGGTACTGCATCTAAAATTCTCTTCACAGTCTTGATATCCCCGTTTCGTGAAGCCCAACGCACAATCATTTGCCAACTGGTATGGCTGGAATACTCGGTCCACGAGATCTTGTCGAGGACTTCCGTGAGGGTGCTGCTCACGCTATTCCTGGCTTGTTGATCCATAGGAGCCCATGTGGTTTCGTATTGGGCTGAGACGTCAGCCTCGTACTTGACCATGAGCTCGATGATGGCTGGATTCGGATTAGGGGTGAGAGCTGCTTTTGCGAATGCGTTTTCGCCTTTATCGTTCAACAGAGCGATATCATCTGGAGTCATTTGCGCCAGCAGGCGAGCGGTGATGTCGGCGTCTCCAATGGCAGCTGCAATATGAAGAGCCGTCTCACCGTGATGGTTTCTGGTCGCGATGGCAGAAGGCTTCAATTTCAGCAGTAACTTCTTGAGAATGTAAGGCCGCTTCTTTCTTGCTGCGAGATGCAATGCAGTCTCCCCATCATTGTTCTGCGAGCATGTGGCTGCGTCACTCATCCAGTTTATGAGCCGCTCTTGGAGCTTGGAAGAACCATCCTCTATGGCCCGGTGTAATGCTGTTGATCCATCCTTGGATTGGACTTCGAGCATCTTGCCGATTTGTGGTACTTTGGTCAGCACCTCTAGTAGATCGTCTCGTCTTCCCCGCGCTATCAAATGGAAGATAGTTTCGCCCTGCTTCGTTTGAGCTGCTACAACACCTTCGTCGAGTTTGTCGAGGAAGAGACCAACCACCTTCGAGGATTCGCCCTTCTTCTTGGAAGAGGACACCGCTAGATGTAAAGCGGTAGAGCCGTCTGCAAGTGTCCTGGCCAGGACCTCTTGAGTTAAAGGCATGCCCCTAGATTTCCTTGGTTGTTGAGATTGGGAGATCCCTTGGTCGAAGTTCTTCGCCGTCAAACTGTCAGCAGCATCCGTTGACGGAGCCTCTTCTTCGGCTTTCCTCGATCCCGAGCCTTTATGACCTTGGGCCAGTGTCCATGTGTTGAGCATTATGTAAATTGCCTCATAATGACCCTTTTCAGCTGCACAATGTAGAACAGTGTAGCCATTGTTTGTTGTTGTATTAGTGGCAGCACCTGCACGCCATAACAGGTCCATGATTTTTGTCTTGCCTCTTGAAGCTGCAGAGTGCAACGGCCGTTTGCCTCTGTGACTGATGACGTTGGGTTCGGCACCGGCCTTCAGCAACAGTTCGACTGTGTCTTTGTGTCCGTCTCGTGCAGCATGGTGGAGCACGGTCATGCCCTCGTCCGTGAAAGCTGTCAAGCTTCTCTGCTGGTCCTCCTTGTCTGTGATTTCATCCCATACCAGCCGCGCTATGGCTGCGTTCTTCCTTTTCGCGGCTAAGTGCAAAGGCGAAAATGAAGCAATGTTTGAGATCATCACCTTCGCACCCTTTTGCAGCAGCCTTTGTACCACTTCGAGGGACTGGGCACGAATGCCATCGTACAAGGCAGTCTCCTTGGCCTTGTTTTGGGTTTCGAGATAGTCAGAGTCGCGGCAAGCGTCCAGTAAAAGGGTCAGCACAGTGTCATTTCCTAAGCGAGCCGCCCAGTGCAGCTCTGTGTCCTCCTCTTCATCTCGGTGCTGGCCTAGATTCGCGCTGAGACTAGGAATACCCAAGAATTGTTTCAATAGGTCATGGTCCTGACATCTGACAGTCCAGTAGATTACTGTCTCCTTTTGGCTGCGTAGTTTTCTGCATGCTTCATCTGCTGAAGCTTTCGGACGCTGTTTGCACAACTTCTGATCTCTTTCCGCCAGCCTTCGCTCAAGCTGCTGTATGAGATCATCAACTGCTGCGTCATCTACGTACACATTAGCCCCAGACTAAGTGGTTCACCTTGTTAATAGATCCACATGCCTGCCATTGAGAAAGGATGTCGCGGTTTCTAATCGGCGAGTCATGCATAAAGGCTGACCGAGCACACCAAAGTAGACCTCCCAATTGACGGCCCTTCCGGAGCAGAGATCCTGGGGCAAACCTCTCAGTCGGTGACGGGTTTTAACACGGCAGGAGACAGGAATCATAAGTCGTGCCACTAAGTCGTGCCACACAGAGTGGGCAGTCAGGTAGCAAGTCCTGTGCGGCCAGACTAAAGGCTCAAGTAGGCTGCAAACCCCGCTCCTTGCAAAGCGAGGACAAATGCAGCTGCATACTGCTCGCAGGTCGATCGTCGATGATGGGTAACGCTCGCTTCGCTCACAGCAGGTTCAGCCGCAGACACGAGGCGAAAGCCAAACGAGTCCATCCGTGTCGGTTGACTCGGTTCTGGATCTGCAGCCTCAGAAAAAGGTGCAGGGATCCCGGGAAGCCACAGATATGCGTCAGGCTTTCGCCGAGTATTGTATGTCGTAGGGGGGAAGGTTCGAATTTTTGACGAGAGTTCAAGCCAATGGAAGCAAGACACGACTTGTCCAATGCGCCTGTTGTCAATGTGCTTGCTTGCAGCTGCAAGTGATAAGTTTAGGGCATCGCTGAGGGCAGTCTCTTCCAGAGCCGTATTGGTGTCGATACCAATGTCAGACGATCCTAGGCGCGCCATCGTGCATACACGAATTGCCTTCAGCCGCACGAGGCAGGGTCATCTGGAGACTGCCGGCCATTACGAAGTGGAGGTCGAATCATGCATTCTCGAGGCAAGAAGTGATTTTTGCTATAACGTAGAAGTGATTTTTGCTATAACGTAGCAACACAGAAGGCGACAAAAGGTACATTCGACAGACGGGTTCGAGAAGAACGCGATGAAAGTACAGGACAAGAGAGGGAGGGAAGGAGAAGTGAAGGAGAAGTGAAGGAGAAATGAAGCGACACCCCGCGCATGGCACATGTCACGTGGCAGCCTCTCTGTTGAGTCTCAGGATGTAACGGCAAGTGCCGTGGCTTGTGCAATCAGGCTGCCACATCTTCTGGGACATGGGAATACTGTCTTCGTGGATCCGTCGTATCTACCAACCTTGGGGCAATCCTACCTGACCAAGCACTGTGCCTTGCGAGGCTTTCGTTTCGGGTTACCTCTATCGGGGCTCAGCCGACCCCATGCCCGCCCACCGATTTCTGATGTCTTCCTGGTTGTAGGGAAAGTACGGCTGATGTTGCTGAGGCGCGAGGACAGCCACGGCCTGTCGAGTGTCCTTATCATGATTTGCGAATCGTATATTGCGGCAGCCAGTGCTGATAACGTAATGGCAATAGATGCGCCGACGATGAAATTCCAATTCTGCGGTGGCTTCTCCAGAATCTCGACCGTGTTCATCCCGTAGATCGAGGAGACGGAGGAGATCGGTATGAAGATGAATGCCAGCAGTTGCAGATTTTTTGAACGGACGGCCTGTTGGGTGGCACGTTTGCTTTCCGATACGGCCAGGAGGCCAAGCAGCGATTGCGACACCTTCTCAAGCTGCGTTGCCCAGCCTTCCAAGCTTGATTCGAACGACATCAACTCGACGATGTCTGGCGAGGATGGCTGCACGCCAGGGATACGCCTGACAGACGCAATCAGGGCCGAGAGGGTCCGCTTGAGCTTCTCGAAATCGTGCTTGCGTTGCAATACCTCTGTAATGTCGTCAAGGTCTCCAGCTAAGGGGGCGTGCGACTCTGAGATGCTCTCTTGAGCCCGACGAATCAGGAGTCTCCATCTAGAGCACAGCAAGCTTGTGATCACTTGCCGGATCTCTGGCGTCGCGTTGATCTCGAGTTCAGGATTGTCTGGATCCATGTGGGCTTGATACGCGATGCTTGAGCCCAGAAACCCTTCTTCGAGCTGATGACGGAAGCTTTTCTGTGGTAGTGCCTCCGGGGGCCAAGTCCAATGGGCTTTCCAACTTTGGAAGCTCGGCAGACTGGTGACTACCCGAAATGCAGATCTATCCTTCGGTAATCGCAGTAGTCCAGGAGAATGAGGTGTATATCTGGACTAGCGCAACCTCCGGTTAGTGCAATAACTTCACTAGAACCATACTCAACCTACATGTATTCAGCTCTTTGTTAAAGAAAACAACCCACACAACCCGCTGGAATAAAGCGTACACATCTCTCCACATCCTCAGCAGAGTGCAAGGCCGTGCGTGATCCCGCACGCTTAAGAACTCCTCTTCACTATCAAGTCGGGGCAGTTTCCCGCTATGGTACGTCTCTGGATAGTCGAAAACGTGCGCATGCACTGTTTGCGATTCGAAAGAGACATCTCGGTTGATATAGTAATCGAGTACGAATGGCTCAAGGCAAAAGATTCACCTAGATACTGCGGGTATTTCAGCTATCAGGACTCTGAACGTGGCAACAGCTTGGAGATTACCTGTGCACCTGCAGGTTGAAGGTCTTCGCAGATGAGGATTTTACGTGGCGAGGGAGTTCGGAGAGCCTGGCACAGTCTCCATGTTTCTATCTCGAAAGCGTGCGTATCAAACGGGAGCCTGGAATGTGACTTGGCCTGGAAGACGACGCTCGGCTGTGCCCCGAGTTCGAAATTGAGGAGTTGTGCCATCGAGAAAGGTGCAATTCTGGCATCGCTCGTGAAGATGTCTCCTCTCCAAGTAACCGAAAACTGATTGTAGCCTAGGATCAACTTCAGCCGACTGTTCAACGTACGAATAATATGCGTCCAGTTCGAGAATCCTGCTGGAGTTGAGGAAGAAGTTGTTGACGTTCGACCACGAGGGTTTTATCTTGGCCCGTGAGAAAGAGCTGAAGCCATGCGAACTGTACACTGACCTGTGGATAGCCGAGGGTCCGAGAACGATGGGCGCGTTCATCCTCCACCGACGATGCATCGCTTCTGTCACCCAAAGTACCTCTACCCATGTCCAGATGCAGTTCGCCGTTGGGGATGGAGGGGAGGCCGGCTCCTCGCTCGCTTGTAGACCGAGGCGACGACATCTTCTGACACGTATATATGCCTTTACCCTTACAGAAACACGGCACACTTATTTCACCTTGCAACCGCGTTCGACCAAATTCAGAACAAAACACAACCTGAGGTTGTCCTCAGGGCTGGGTCGACAGATGCGCAGCCCCTGAAGTTCAGCGTTACGTTCAGCCAATGGGACGAAAACACAAGCATCGTGGCGCATTCTGGACTCACTTGAATACGAAGTCCTCTTCACTGCGAATTGTAGTTTGCAGGATCTGGCACCAATTGAAGGAACTGAAGGAACTGAAGGGAGTGGCAGAAGCAGCTATAAATTCAAGCAGACGTGGTCCCAATTGAACCGAGTATGGAATCATTCATTCTCCTGTTAGAATAATTGACCGAGCATTGGACAGGCTTGGCACTTAACATCTTCGCATTTCTTTAGACTTTCCACGTCGTTACCTACCGGCTACGTGGGACTGAAATCATCGGCCGTAGACGGAAATGAAACGATCAGAGATATACTGGATTCCTTCAGCGCGGTAATAGTCGGGCTCAGGGTGCAGCAAGTCTGTAACGTTCGTGTCGAAGACGATATTCTGAGGATTGTCCAGAGTATACACGGGCCAATGCACCGATGTAGCTGTTTCGGCGTGATAAGCAACACAGAGAAGATTGCAGCAGAGCGAAACGCACCTTTGTTCGTGTTCGGATCTCCATCGGCGATGAAGCTGATCCACATGCGGCTCATGATAGTCGCCAATCTCTGGTAAGTTTGCGGCTTATTCTCGAACGGATCCACAGCCACCGAGTTGTTGTATCCCAAGCCTTCCAGGTTCTGCAAATACTCCTTAGCTCGAATCCTAGAAGCAAGACCAACATGTCTTTCGAATCTACAACAAATAATGTCGCAGGCTGAAGGGACTTACGTGAAAGACAAAGGCAACCTCCTGGAAATGCGTTGCGCCCGAGGCGGGTGTTTGACCATTGACCAGGACATTAAAACGGTAGCTCCAACTACTGATGTTGTTGGCTGCATAGACTTGCGAGATCAGGCGTCGCGATGCATGTTGACTCAGATCCCCTCCATAGGCCGCCGAACGTTTCCACTGGACACCCAGCGAAGCATTTTCTGGCGGCGGACGACCTGATAACGTTGCCGGTATGCCAATAGCAGGGATATCAGGATACAGAGCCGCGATCGTTGCTGCAGTGGCACTGTCCGGTCCCGCCGACATCACGCTGGCCAAAAACTGTTCCGTATTATTGATGCCTCTCGTGCCAAAAGCTGTCCCTTCGTCGCTATTTCTGCCGTGAAGCAGGGCAACCTTGACAAACTTGCCGTTGAGAAGTTGCCGAGTGCCAGTGTCAACGGCAAAGTCATTGTCGACCACCGGGCCCCAGTAAGGGACGGAAGCTGTCACGCTGCTGTTCAAAACAGAGTTGAGAGCGTCGATGGGCACCTTACGGAGGCATGCCAGTGTGTCGGAAGCTGTACTACAGTTCGTGGCCTGAGTGATATTGTTGTAGTACTTGTCCCAGGTTGAAGCGTTGATTTGGCGAGCAGAGTTGATGTGCCCGCCACTCTCTTGGATTGCACCGCGGAAGAGCTTGTCGTCCCTGCCACCGTAGGCTAATAGTTGCGCGCCGACCGAAGAAGCTCCAGCACTCTCACCCCAGATAGTCACTTTCGCATGGTCTCCGCCAAAGTCCGCAATGTTTTCCTGAATCCAGTGCAGTGCTAATCGTTGGTCTCGATAACCTATGTTAGTGACACCTTCCTCCAAAACAGCTGACCCAAAGAGGTATCCGAATGCTTGCAGGCGGTAGTTTAGGCTGACACCAATAAAAGGCTTGCCCATCTGAACAGACTGCTGCACAATGAAGGAGAGGTTGTAGCGCGGATCCAAGCTACTGCCCATAAATGCCCCGCCACCATGAATCCATACCCCAACCGGTAGCTGGGCATTGGGCTTCGTCCCAGTCGGACGGACGACATTGATGGTGAGGCAGTCCTCGCTCACAGGATTCCCAAGCACCCAATCGTCGGAGCCGTATCCATAGCATGCATAGCCATACTGGGTTGCATTCTTCGTGCCGGTCCAGGTCGTATTCAGAGAGACTGGATTGCGGAAGCGAAGGTCGCCAACGGGTGGCTGCGCGAAAGGCATTCCCAGGAAGAAATCCTGGCCATAAGTCGGATTCTGGGTGCCATGATAGCTTCCGTTCTTCACAGTCACGCTAGGAGGTCCACCCTGGCGGGTGGCCACGCCAGCGTAGGATATGTCTGGGAAGGAAAGAAGTACGAAAGGCAAGATAAAGGAGAACTTGTCTACAAGCCAAGCCATCTTTGACTCGCTCGTTCACCTGACACCGGATCTGGTCAAATTCGGATAAGGAGAGATGGCAATACAAAGAAGACAATAGTACTTATACCTGCTTCTCGGCTTCCTCCCTCTCACCGTCACTTCTCCACCTTCTTGACTACCAGGTGACTTATCATCAACAATGTTACACCAGCCGAAAGAGTTCGCCATCCGTTCGACGCGGATTGTCGGCATCTCATTCAGTCCACTAGATCAACAGAGGGTGCGGGGAAGAGAGATCCCACAGTGTACAGCCAGAGTGCCAGAGCAGCAATGCCTGTACTCCGTACTCCGTAGTGTAACGTGACATTGTGGGGAAAGCTTCGAAAGCTTCGAACGCTTCTCACGTCTTCCCCCGACCGTGGTAGCCCGGAAGACAGGCAGCACACCGCGATAAGTTGGCGTTGTGAAGCACCAGGCTCGTTAGTTCCGCGCCAGTGTGTTGATCTGTAGCTTTCGTGGTTGAAATGTGCATGAGTCGAGAGTCAAAGTCAATTGACCAAGGACGAATTAGTTACGACTTGCGTGTCTTCGGCGCAGTTTCCCCATTAAGAAAACGTATGAACTGCATCTGAGATTGAGATGAAGTCGAGCGCGGATTGAGGTGAATGTCATGCCTGACAATAGCATGGTGGGCGGATGAGCTCCTCTGCAAAGAGAATAGTGAGCTTACACGGAAGTCCCCAGCCCCGTCGCCACCGTCCTGGTGGCCCTGACAGCTTGATGACATATTCCACGCGCTTGACAGGTGGGAATCGGCGAAAGACGCGTCAAGCGGGACACAGAAGCGAAGGAGGAAACGATGGCCACACCGACCAGATCCCAGACTGTCTCTACTCCCAAACCTCATCTTTCCACTCCTAATAGACTGATGGCCTCTCCGCGACCCGGCACCTCCGGCAACTCAAGCCGTCCTCTCGCCTACAAGTCACCCGCGGTCAAGACACCGGCCTCCCTTCATGGCCATCACGTCAGTGTATCCTCACAACCCTCCTCCACCCCTCTAGCCGGCACCGCTGTCCACGACGATCTCCTAGCTCTCAACTCCCCTGCTGCTGCCCTGATGAACTCATTGGGCACGACAGGGCTGACACCGCTGGGCAGTGCCGCGGACGGCTTGGGCATTACAACACATATACCCGGTGGCCCTGCAAGGACCACTGCTGCACCTGTGAATCCAGAAGTCGAACGCCTACATCGCGCGCAACTGGTGGTGGAGACTCTGAAACGTGGTGTCGGCGGCCATGGCATTACTCGGGAAGGCGTGGAAAGAATTGCTCAGCTACAGGGCTTCACTACTCTTTGGGACGATGACAACCTGACGATTGCAGGCAATTGCGTGGACCTCGAAGTAAATTTTGAAGCAGGCGGCAGAGACAACGTTAGGGACGTCAGTCTCAAGCTCAATATTTCGGAAACTGTAACGGAAACCGAGGAGCCTCAATTCCAAGCACAAGGCACCCAAGTTATCAAGGACAACCTTCACGGCGTTACCATTGTCAATGGTGTCTCGCAATGGAGAAGCCTCGATGCGTTCGCCTCCAATTTGCAGTACCTCAGTCAACTCGATAGAATCGAAACAGGGTCACCATGCTTCAATGCCGTGGGAAATCTATACCAGACATTCCGGCAAATCTGGGATGCTGAGAAGGCGAGATTTCAAGGACGAAGCCCTTGGCAACATCTTAGGCAGAGCGCCGTGGGCAGGCCTGTCATCGACCGGAAGCCCAGATTAGGATTGGCATTGGACTATTGGACTTCCAGCCAAAGGCCAGGCCAGCCGCCCAATGCAGCAGGACGCGATGAAGTTGACGAGGGTGCCAATCTATACACGGCACATATTTCTTGCGAAGCCGGCTTGCCCTCGACTGCTGTCATGGAGAAATGGCTATCGGACGGTATTCTAGTTGAAGACACCAGCTCAATGCTGAACTCCGAGGCGGTGAAGCCAAGGCCGGACTGGAGAATGCCTGCCCATGATCCAGAAGCACTTCTAGCTAAGCCAGACAGTGATGGGACAGCGATGGAGAAACCTACAGACAACTCGTCCAATATCCTGGACTTGCACTTCTATTGTGACCTTGGCCCTGAAGTCTACCTGCCTCTCAATGTCGCGGCCAACCTGAATGTGGAGATCACCATGGTCAACATCGACCAGGAGTCCACCTTGACCTATCAGGCAGCCCTGCACAAGCAAGCCGATGCTAGAGACGTCGATGGCAACGGGAGCGCCTCTGCAGAACGGTGGCTGAGGTGTTTGCCTCTCTCGGATGCTACAAATCCAGACTGTCCGCGGAAGCATTCCTATGCTCTGCACTCTGCACAAAGCGCTACAGCCCTCTGGTGTTTTCCTGTCAGACATCTTAACTTTACCCATCCCAAGCAGATTGCCGCCGCACTGCCGATCTTCCGGCAGTATGTCGTTCTGTGGCGCATGCTTCAGAGCCTTGTTGAGTATGCAGGCCAGGGAGAGACCATAGGCTCAGGCCAAGGTGCGCCTAAAGGGGGAAGTTCAGACGCACACGCTCGACCTCTAAAGCGTACGAACAAAAAGGCACCGGACTTTCAGGTGGAGGACCTTCTTCAATTGACCAACGTACCGAGCGCTGAGGAGCCATTGCCCATTGACTTGACGCTCGACGTTCTCTCAGACATCTCAAAGGCCAAACTCGATCTTTACGTTCCGTTGGTCAGGTCATATTCACGACAGCAGAAGAGCTCGTTCATCTTCCTAAGCTTATGCATCTGTCAAGACGGAGTAATCGAAGTCCGCGATTTACGTGGATTGCCCTCCTCGCTCGGTGATTCATCAAACATCCAGTCAAAAGTGATTCGAGTTCTGGAGGCGACGGAAGATATCGGCTTGACAGTTGAGTGGCTACTGGAGCAAGCTTCTGCGCATTCATGAGGCTTCGCCTCTCTCGTACCTGATTGCCTTCATCGAGTCATGCCTCCGTTTCGGTTGTTCCCCGCGGTTGCGTGATTCCGGCAGCGGTGAGCATGCAACAGTCGCAAACTCTGGCGGGAATCATGTATCTAAGTAGACGCAGAACGCGGACCATGGATGCGACTTGCGTGGAGACAACTTCGCGGCGCTGTTCTAGACTGATGCACGCGGGCTGCCAGAAAAGTCGTTGGCATTCTCCTCGAATAGGCGAACACTGGCCGGCCAAGGACAGAGCCAGATGCAAACTCGGGCTTTCCTGTTAAGGAGATCCGGAGCAACTCTTCAGCTATCTGGGCGGCTATCAGCTGGTCATTATGTGGACCCGCCTTACGGCAGCCTTGTCGAATTCAGGATCCCTACCCGGTCGAGGGCCATTATTGGGGTAAACACGATGATCGTCGGGGTGGAAGCCGTCCGCCGTACTCGTACCTGCCCGTACCATACCGTTAGGAGACTGAATGCGACAAAGGACAGGCTCCACTTCCGATACGAGGAAATGGCTCCGGCCAGAAAAGGAATGCCACCAGACGCCGCGGCTTCAGCTTTATGTTTACCGGGTATCTCTACTGGGTAGCTAAGCGTCGTTTGTCTCTTGGTCCTGTCCCCGCAATGGTTAGCAACTTATCGTTTGCATTGATCTCGTGCACGGCACTGGAGTACGAGGTACAAGTGCTGAAACTCTATAGTTTCCGTGGGCACAACCAAAGGCGCTTGTCCGGATGATCGTCCTGAGAGATGCAGGGGACCAACGCCACCATCGTCATTGGGAAGGCTGTTTTTGGTAATCCGAGCGGACGGTCTCTTCCACATGGATGGCAATGATGCGGCAAGTTTTGAGGATTCTCCAGGTTCCTTCTCCGCACTATTGCATGTCATTATTGCTTCGATGCAACGGTGCAGCCACAAAATGGAGCAATCCGATCGATGCTTGTCTTCGGAGGATACGGTACCCACGGACGCAAGAACAGACTGGCATTCCGAGAGCCACGATCTCCCTTCCTCGGGTGCTACCTGTACGCTAAATGACTATGAAACTTTTACTATAAGACCGCTACGTTCATCAATGACAATTCCTTGCTGTTCCACCGGCACACTCCCTACGATTCAGCTGCAGACTGATCAATATGAAGCTCTTCAGCAAACGTTACTTGGGCCTCTCCGGCACCAAGCTCAACATCGCTATCGGCATCATAGCCGGTATTGACTTTTTGTGCGTATTGTCATACTCTCTGTGTCTTGTCGATCCTAACACTTGCCAGACTATTTGGATATGACCAAGGGGTCATAGGAGGGCTGTTGACGCTAAAGCAATTCACTTCTGTCTTTCCGGAAATCGACACTACCGCAGAGGGTGTGAGAGGCCTTACTCCGAGTCAAGCAAACCACAGGTCCACTATCCAGGGTATCTCCATCGCTTCGTATAATCTTGGTTGTTTCTGTGGCGCCATCGCCTGCATCTGGATAGGTGACTTACTCGGCCGCCGCAAAACAATTTTCCTAGGTTCTTCAACCATGATAGTGGGCGCTGCCCTTCAAGCGAGCGCTTTCAGCTTGCCGCATTTCATTGTTGGACGTATCATTACCGGCATGGGGAATGGACTGAACACTTCCACCGTTCCAACGTGGCAGTCGGAATGCTCAAAGTCGCACCGGAGAGGCCAACTGGTTATGATTGAAGGCGCCCTGATCACCGGTGGAATCTGCATATCGTGAGTATTCTCCAGGAACCGTAACGTGTAACGTGTGGCCTAGAATTCTGCAGTCGCGGTCTTATCACGGTAAAGTGTTTGAATGGCTAACGATGAAGCAGATATTGGATCGATTTTGCTTGCTCTTTCATCAACAGCCAAGCATCCTGGCGATTTCCCATCGCCTTTCAGATCGTCTTTGCTCTGATTATCTTGGCGTTCATCCTGGAGCTACCAGAGTCTCCCAGGTATATCAGAACACGGGTCTTGTCTTTGTGGGAGGCAGCTAACACCTAGCAGATGGCTGATCCTGAAGGGTCAGGAAGAAGAAGCTCTTCAAGTTCTCGCCACGCTCTCTGATAAGTCAACCGATGACAAGTACGTTCGCTCCGAATTTGCGGCCATCAAAGATACCGTCCTCGAACAAGAAAAGGCCACTTTCCGTGATTTGTTTACAATGGATGAAAATCGACATTTCCACCGGGTGGTGCTGGCATATGCCAACCAAGTCATGCAACAGATCAGCGGCATCAACCTAATAACCTATTATGCGGCTACTATCTACCAGAACGAGATTGGACTTTCAGGTTTCATCTCCCGCATCCTCGCAGCTTGCAACGGCACCGAGTATTTCCTGGCCTCTTGGATAGCTGTCTTTATCATCGAGAAGGTTGGACGCCGGAAGCTCATGATTTTTGGCGCTATTGGTCAGTCAGCCTCGATGATCATCCTGGCGGTGATGACCAAGATCGGTGGCACGGGTCCCGGATGGGTGGCTGCCGTGTTCTTGTTCATCTTTAACTCGTTCTTTGCAATCGGGTGGCTTGGTAAGTCGGCCTTGTCCCCCACCACCTCTACACGACACCTTCGTCCTTGTTCCCAATATGTCGCTATCTTGAGATAGACCCTGACTACTTCGCAGGAATGACTTGGTTGTACCCCGCCGAGATCGTCCCTCTCAAGATCCGCGCTCCCAGCAACGCCTTGTCAACTAGTGCCAACTGGATCTTCAACTTTATGGTCGTGATGATCACCCCAGTCAGCTTTAGTTCAATCAAGTGGAAGACATATCTTATCTTCGCGGTCATCAACGCAGCAATGATTCCGGTGGTCTACTTTTTCTATCCCGAGACGGCTATGCGCAGCTTGGAGGAAATGGATGGAATCTTCCACAAGACGAAGAATATCTTTACCGTGGTTTGGACAGCGAAACACGAGCCTCATCGCTATGGCAAGCATGGCGAAGTTCTGATCGACTACGAAGAGACCGGTGAACATGAGCGACGAATGAGCCAGGCAGAACGACGAGGAAGCGTTATGAGTCGCGGAAGTGCGACTGAGTATGGGTCGGAAAAGGTCGCCGGTGCTGCGAAGGAGGACGAACGCTAGGAGATTCTGGCAAGGGCTCTCGTTGCCACCAAGACGACGCTGCTGCGAAAGCCTCGCGTGTGAATTGAGGGAAAGTATCAAGACTCGGCCTCAGCAAGTGCTATGGTGCCAATAGCCCACATGGGAAAGTCCTCATGGCTCCGAGCCATCTCTTGTTGCGATAGCGTGATCGCAAGAACCTAAATGTTCAATTGGCGCACCGAACCAGACTTCTGCGTGATGGACATGTCTGATTATTCAACGAGCTCAATATGTTGTTTTTCAGGCGTGCTACCAATCTCTATTCCAGGCAATTCCAGGGGTGCGTCCGGACCCCGGACCGTCGATAGCAACCGCAACCCCGCAACAGGTGTAGCAGGAGGGGGTATGTCAGGATCGAAACGTCGTCCATTAGTGATCAGTGTGGCGCAATTGCACGACTCCAGAGCGCGTATCGCTTGACTCAGGCACTTTGGTGCCTCTTTGGCGGCTAGCCACGGATTCCCTGCATGAATACTGTGGATCCTGAGCGCGGAACACCAGCCCAGTTCCGAGAGAGCTGAAGAGCAGAAAGGTATAACTACCTCCCACCACAAAAGCCTGTGGTCAATGCTTTAAACCGTCGTCCGTCAAACACATACTATCGAACAATCAAACTATATTCGGACTGGCGCTTCATTCTGTCGCCCGCCTCCAACTGACACAAAGCCATATCTCGGCCAATAAACTCGGTCGCCCTCGAAGGAAAATGTCCGAGTAAATATGATCTTGGTTTCGTAGTCGCGACCTCGCTGACGATGTACCTCCCAGCCTCGCAGAGTTGGCATCCAAGCTCTTCAACGCCAATCAAGATTCCCAGACGAAGATTGTGGGAACAGAGAAGCGCGTCCGCGGCGTCCTCAATGGCAAATACATCTTTGACACCACGGCGGCAAAGCTAGTGTGGGAAAATGGATTCTACCCAAACTACTGGATCCCCCGGTCCGACTTCCTCAGCACAGTCAATTTCGCCGAAGACAAACCCGTGTTGGGCATCGAGACTTTGACATCGACGATCAGCGTCGGCAACAACTCCGTCGCTTCGCTGGTCGTCCCTGACACGGTCAATTCCGAGCTGGCGGGCTACGTGAAGATCGACTTCAAGGCCCTTGACGCCTGGTACGAAGAACAAGCCCAGATTGTCTACCATCCGAAAGATCCTTTTCACCGCGTCGACATCATCCCCACGGGCCGCCACGTGAAGGTGGAGATCGACGGGGTCGTCGTCGCGGACACGGGTTCCGAAGGCGGCGTCATGTCCCTGTGGGAGACCCGATTCCCGGCTCGGTGGTACTTGCCTCGTACGGCGATCAAGTGGGAATACTTGACGCCCAGCGACACGCATACGGGATGTCCATACAAGGGGGAGGCGAGCTACTATAATGCCGTGATCAACGGGAAGGAAGTCAAGGACGTGGCCTGGTGGTATAAGAATCCGACCCTAGAGAGCGGCAACATCATGGGCATGTTGTGTTTCTATCCAAACAAGGTTGATACGTTCGTCGATGGGAAGGCGATTGAGAAGTGAGTCTCCCTGGACACCGGAAGCGGTGTGCTTATAGCTTGCCCGGACGGTGCTGGCCCGGATCCAGGTCTACGAACGCGGGTACTAACAGCTGGCAGGATCGGGATGCCCATGAAGGAGAAGCCCAAGGGGGACAAAAGTTGAAGAGGGGGGCGTCCATGCCATATCGAACGCCAAGCGAGAGGTTGTTGTCGGAATGTAAAGTCCGCGGAACATGGTCTCGCATGACCTTGTGACATTCTGATGGCTTTCTGATGGCTTCAGAGGTTGACATCTAGGCCACGCTCAAGTAAGGCTGAGAGTCGAGGAAAATGCTGCGCCTGGTGGGACGAGGCTGAATATTATGTAAGCTAGAACATCTCGCGCATGACGTCATTGACACGAGTTTCAATGCTTCCCAAAATCCTCGCGCAGCTCCTGACGAGATGAGAGCTAACCATCTTCCTCCTTTTATTGCCTTTCGATGGATTGAGTGGTGGCCCTTAGCATAAATAGGACGTTGTAATCGCAAAGATGAATGCGGCTCTCACAACGCGTCTCCTCCTACGAGCGCCTCGTCACTTCGCCCACTTGCGAGTTGTGTCAACACTGAGCAACAACCCGCACATCTACGTCTTCGCCAACCCTCAGAATCCCTCGTCTCACATCCTGTCCCTACTACCTACAGACCCTCCGTATCCCTCCCTAGCAGTGGGCACAACCACCAAACTACCACCTACGCCCCAGTCCTTCACTGAAAATCCGCGACTCCTTCCCATCCTCCACTCCGTAATCAGCGAGAGTGCCTCTTCCGATCCTCAGGTCCAATCCGAGGCGGCGGTCATGATTTCCAACTCTGGCGCCTCTTTCTTCCAGACAGCCCGCCGGCAGCAGACCGGGTCTGCTGGCGCGTCTGATCAAGGCGGCCACGGCAGTGGTGGTCGAGGTGGTTGGGTACATGTTGCCGATCAGCGACGGATACCCGACTTCGGACGCATCCCTGATCCGGAGGATATCTTTGGGAGCGTGGAGGTCGATGGACAGGGCCAGTTTGTCGATGGTCATGGGAGATATCAGCCTAGTGGGACATACAGGATTTGTACAAACGACGGTATTCTGGGATTGACGGATTTCATGAGACAGAAGCTTGTGGAGAGGCTGAAGTTGGAAGAGGCGGCTGAGAAGAACAAGGCATGAATTCAGAAGCCGCAGACTGGGAATGCAAACAAGCGGCCACCACAAGGACGAGTTCAAGAGCATCCACCCCCCATCTGAGCTTTGGTCTGTGCCAAGCTCTCTTCTGCCCGGCCTCCCTCAGCATATTTCGCAAGCTGTTTGAGCAGTGGGAGGGTGTACAAGGGTTTCTCCAGCTCTTCGCGAACAGCTGCACCAGGGAAGGAAGTGCAGCGAACACTTACAGCCAAGCAGAACAACATCCGCCACGCCCACAGCCCCGTGACGGCTAGGCCAGGTGCCACGATGAGGGTAATATGCTCAAAATGTCACCAGATATCGCACATGGGCAGAATCCACTCGACTACAAGTGGGATGTCTGCCTAGCTAGGCCACGGAGTCGAATGCATCGGCCGGCCTGCCGACCTTCTCAACGCTCTTCTATATCTCTTTCCTCGAAATTGAGGCTCTTTGCGACCAGACATGCAGCAGTGCCTGAAGTTGTTTCCCACAGGAGGTGGGATTGTCTTTCTTTGGAAGCAGAACAATAATCTGGATTGCACTCTCTGTCCTCCCGATGACAGATCAACCTTGTGAACCAGAGATGCCTCGGGTGATATGCGTTTAGTTCGCGAGTCGCCAGATGCAAAACCCACGGGGAAAAAGGCATTCGCCCATCGGGTAGGATTGTTGGCCGAAGATCCTATGGCGCAGCTCGAATCTGCATTGTATTGGCAGGCGAAGAACAATATCCGAGTTCGATAACACAAGCAGAATGCACCTTGCTCAGCCGCGATCTGGACATTGGCGTCATGGACGATACGAGGCACGACTGGCACAACTCCTCCTCATTCTGCCGGGAAGAGTGTGATGTCAATATTCGAACGATATATTGTGGCCGCATTCTCAGCCCAAAGTATAGCTTCTCTGCATCTGGGCCTGGGTTTAGTAGTTGTTTCAGGACGGCGGACCATCCGCGCGTTCCCACGGCCATACTGGGCGTCGCTGCACAGAGTCTCCGAGGCACCCAGAATGCAGAAGGCTACTTCAGAGATATCAGATTACCGTACTTCACCATAGCAGCTAGTAGAACGGAATGTGCAGCAGTCTGCATGCCTTTGCTTCGGATTCAAGACCTGTTACCGGATGGACAGTGCTACTTGCCAGATGTATAACCCCGTAACCCCGTTGTTGGGGAGCGATCAGTAGCCTTCGAAATGAGACGGACAGACGTGGAGTGGACTGGGCGACACCAGAGGATGAAATTTGATTGCGGTTCTTAACTATCGAGTCCAGAGTAAGTCGTACTCTACTTGGTAGCCAGTATATTACTCCGTACTAGGCAGGCAGTCCCACTCATGGCCGTGAACTACCTACCTAACCTAGACCCAGGGAGGAACTTACAGGGCGTGGACGGTAATTACCATGATTACCATAGTCTTCCAAGGTTGGTATCTACATCTCACCGCCGCCTCGGCAGAAGAGCCCATGTCCCTCGATCCAATAGGATATCAATCCTCCTCGGCGAAGTATCCAGCCTTATCTCCTGATTCTCCTGATTTCGACGACCGTGTACTCCGTCCGTGTCGTAACTCGTACCTCGCGTACACAGGATATACGAGTAGGTCGAATCTCCGGTCCTCGTCCGTCGTTCCTCCCGGCTATCTGCTTGTCATCATTTATCATAGTGTCGTGTTATCATCTCTTACTCCCTACTCCGTACGGGAAGTCATCCTGTCATCTCGCCGTCTCGAAATCTCGCCACCTTGACTTGCCCTTGCTTCTGCTCCTGCTGCTGCTCTTGCTCCTCTCTTCTACAGTATCAGAATTTGAACATTCCGGTTTCTTGCTCACTAACTCACCATGACCATGATGGACACGATGGAATTGCCGGCTTCGCACATTTCGCTGCTCTAACACGTGCTTGTGCTTGATTGCTGTGCGGGCGAGACCCTCGTCGTCAGTGCGATACGGAGAACTTGCGTGCTGGACGGAACGCTCCCTCAGTGCCGTGTACATATACTCACGCGCTTACTGACTTGTTAACCCTCCTGCTCGCTTGCCCGCTCGCTCCTTCGATCGACCAACTATGCGCAAGGGAAAGAGAGCCAAGAAGCGCGACGAGACCGTGACCGGGTCCGAGCAGCAACATGGTCCGGGCTCCCTTGAGGCCGTGGTGCAGGGCCAACGGGGCATAGATGAGGTGAGCTATTTGCGATCGATAAGATCACATTTCGTGTGCACTTCATTTCTCCCTTCATTTCAGTTCATTCCATCATGACTCGTCCCGACTTGTGTGGACCTGACCCGGCACGAGGGGGGATTAATACTAATGTACTTCCACGGACCGTGTAGCAGAAGCCAACACCGCAAGTACAGGTCGAGGTTGGAATAGAGAGGCTGACTCTGGACGACAATCTCGATGGTCCGGGATTCCTTGTGCCGCTACTCGAGGACAACACCTCCAGCACTGATGCGAGCTGCTCCTCAACCTCAACCTCAACCTCAACCTCAACCATCACACCCCCGCAAGACACCCTCCTCGAAGTTGTCAGCACGCCCGACCGCGGCCTCGCCGTCTTCACCACCCGCAAAATCAAAGCCGGTACCCTCATCCTCGCGGAACGGCCGCTCATCGCGCTCTCCAAAACCGAGGAAACCGACTCACAATCCATTGAGCGCCACTTCGCCGCCCTCCCCAGGCCAGAGCAAAAGGTGTACCTCTCACTCTTTGACGCGCAAAAGTCGCGCATGTCCCGCGTCGTCTCGATCTACTACTCCAATTGCTATAACTGCGCGGGCGAGGGCTCCACAAGAGACGGCTCCGCCATCGGCGCGCTCTCCAGCCGGATCAACCATTCTTGCGTGCCGAACGTGCAGTTCTCGTACCATGCGGGCATGGACGAGATGCGCTTCTTCGCCCTGAGGGATATCCCGCGCGGGAGGGAGGTGTGGGGGAATTATGAGCGGGAGGTGTGCCATCGGGTGGCCGAGCGGCAGAGGAGACAGCGCATGTATTATGGGTTTGCGTGTGCTTGTGAGGCGTGCGTGCCCAGGACGGAGTTCTGGGCGAGAAGCGATGAGCGGAGGAGAGGGATGTATGATGCGTTGGGAAGGGTCAAAGGACTGGAGAAGAGATGGGCAGCAGAGGAGCGGGGAGAGGAACGGAGAGAGGAGGAGGGAGTTGGCCAAAGTGAGAACGAGTACGAGAAGGAGAAGCGGAAGCAGAAAGAGGGCGCTCTAATCGTGATTGAAGCCCTAGATGCGCTGACTAGGCTGGAGGGCCTGTTGATAAAGGAAGGTCTCGTCGGTGTGCCGTTGGCGAACACTTATAGGCGCATGGCGAAGTGGGCGGAGAGGAAAGGCGAGACGGCCACACAGGATGTTGTCAAGTGGAAGACGCGGGAACTGCAGGTCTGCATCACTTGTTTTGGCGACGATGGTCAGCGCGCACAAGATATTAAGACGAGGTTGGACGAGTTGGTACGCAGGGAGAGCCCTATCTGATGTCTCATTCATGCTGAGAGACAGGTCCACTGGTCTCTGTGTCCTTCCGTGTCTTTTGTCCCTTACTCGCCATATTCTACTGTATCTGTCGTGGTCTAGTTAGAGAACAGGAGCAATCCAAGGCCAGTCCGGTCGTCATGCAGAGCCGATTTTCCGCTATCCATCGTCGGACCTCGAACCTCTCCACTTTCATACCTCGTCGTCCTTCCCTCATCCTTGCCTTTTCTGCCCCTTCAATCGATACAGCGCGGCTTCCAGCTCCACCAGCATCTCCCTGCAAAGCATATCACCGGCCGGAAGAATCTGCGTGAACAACGTGGCCGCCACGCCACCCTCGCGATCAATCAGCCACGCTAGATTCGGCAATCCACCCCACGACACCGATCCCTTCTTCCGTCGCCCCTCGACATCCAGCATGTTGACTTGTCCGACGAGCGAATGGCCCACAGGCATCAACTCGTCCTTTGTGGCCTCATCGCCTGACTGGCGGAAGAGGCGGTGTCCGACACCCATGAGCAAGTGGTTGCGGAACGCCTGCGTGCTGGCCTCGCCGATCTGGGGCCGGAAGAGTTCGTCCACGCTGGCTTTCTCCAACAAGGGTGCTCCGCCTTGAAGGAGGCAGGACAGCAGTTTGATGTAGTCGGAGGCGCAACCGTAGAGGCCCGCCCCACCGATTGCGTCGCGCACTTCGAGCGGCCATGGCGAGGTGCCCGGTTCGGTCGCGAGAGAAGAGCCAGAACGCACGGCCGATTCGTGGATGGGGGGCATCGGGTCCGGGGAGAAGTGTTTCGTCGGGTGGAAGGTCATGCGTGTGGCCTGGAGGGGGCGCCAGATGTTTTCTTGCATGTACGTCTCAAGGTCCGTCTTTGTGACAGCTTCGATCTGCGTTCGTATTGGATGTCAGCTCTCTCTCTCTCTCTCTCTCTCTCTCTCTCTCTCTCTCTCTCTCTCTCTCTCTCTCTCT